AGAACAGTCGCTGCATTTCTCTTTCTTTGGAAAATCTTCTATACAACCTTTAATATGACGCATTGATTGACAGCTGAAAAATGGAGGATCGAGGAGAGGAATCGAGGAGGAGGAAGCGAGGAATGAGAAATGAGACGCTACCCAGGAATGCTTAAACATGATCATTAAAGGCACTGACTGTATTTAGTCTGTGTTCTTATGCTGCGTTCAGACGTTCAGTTTACACACAGAGTCTCTGTGGACACTCGTCTGGGGCGTCCTGTGTTTTTGTAACGTGTCTTCAGGTGTCAACACGGTGTGAATCTGGTGTTGATGTGGTGTGTCTCGACTGTTCTAGAGTCTGACATCCTTGATGCTCATCCAGGGCGTTGGCGTGAGAAGTTGGAAATGCTGAACTTTTGGCGTCGGAGGTGCTGCATTGACCAATCAGGGACGGTGCTTCAGTGATACAGCAACATCATTATCCAGAGAAACAGGAAGACACAGGAGCCACAAAGAAGAAGATGAGACATTTTTAGCTGAATATAAGGACCAGGATCAAAAGGAGCTCGCCTGGAGCAGGATCAGTGAGGAGATGGATCTGTCTGGTAAATGATCAGAACTTTGGAGACATTGTCAAGTCTTAAAGGAATGCAGGTCCAAGTTGAAAAACTCAACTCAGCTTGAAGATTTTTATTGAAATTGTTCAGTTCCTTCAGTAGTAGTAGTAGTAGTAGTAGTAGTAGTAGTAGTAGTAGTAGTAGTAGTAGTAGTATAGTAGTAATAGTAGTAGTAATAGTAGTAGTAGTAGTAGTAGTATTTGTAGCAGTAGCAGGTCGAAAACCTTTAAAGTAAACAAATATGCATGATAATTAAATTTAATTTACATTTTACAATTTAATTAGTAATATAATATATTTGAATTTTAATTAATATACTTCAATTATAATATTTGTTATGTATATATAATATTTATTATAATATTTATATATATTTATTGTAATATTCATTTATAATAGTTATTAATATACATTTTACACATTAACTTAAATAGCTACTATTTTAACCAATGTATAATTTTACCAATTAATTTTTTATCTTAAATATTTTTTTTCTACAAATTTAAATGACTAATTAATAATAAAATATTAAATTTATTTCATATTAAGACAAATTTGAATAAATTAATAAATTGTTTTTTTAATTGCTAAATATATATTTTTTAAATTAGTGCTACTTTAACTTAGATTTTACCATTTATCTTAATAATCAAATGCCAATTATCAAATGATTTAGTTATTCAATTTAGCTTTATTTAACTTTTTCAAAACTTAAATTGAATTTATTTACTAATCTTCTTTCATAAAATAAATCAGCCAATTGTGTTTAAATTTAACTTAGGCTTCTCCTTATACTTAAATTAAATAGAATAATAATTTTACATCTAAATTAAAGAGATTACTTCTATATGGGTTTTACCACCATTTTACTATTTTAACTAAACTTAAAAATATAATTTTACAGGTAAATTTCCTCACTGGTGTCTGTGTTTTCCTTCACATTCCTTGGTTTGGTTTGGTTTGTGTTTGTGTTTGTTCACCTGGGCCTAATGAAATGATTTCAGAGACACACCTGCTCACCTGTGTTTCCTGCTGCCACCTACTGGACACACTCAAAATAACCTCATCAACTCATAAAAAACAGGAGGAGAGGACAGGGGAGGAGAGGTGAGAGGAGAGAGGCTCAGCAGTGCAGGTGAAGAGTTGGAGCAGAGGGGCTGGGCTTTTTCACTTGACAGACATAAAATATTTGCCTGCCTTTAGGCTAACCAATGTTCCCAGCATAATTAAGTCACAGCAAGATCGTAGCTGATGAGTTTATGTATTTATTCAGTGGACATATGCAAGAAGTGGTGGAAGAGCCTGAGGGACATATACTTGGAGGAGAGGAGAAAGGAGAGAGAAAAGAGAAGTGGGTCAGCAGCAGGGACAGCCAAAAAATGCCTGCTCTCTGGGGTCCTGTCATTCCTCAACCTTCAGACGAGCAGGAACATGCAGCGGGTCGAGGAAGTGCAGGCCTCAGGAGACTCCGAAGAGGCAAATACACGCCTCTGTGTTCCCTGACAGGAGGTGAGAAGGGCACACGTGTCTCCTGTTCTCATCGGGGGCGTCTAAACTCAAATGCAAAGGCGCCCAACTCTAAAGGCGTCTAGTTTTTGGACGCCCCGGTCTGAATGCAGCATTATAGTTTCAATCACAATAAAACCTGAGCTGCCAGTGCCTCTAGACAACACAGAACTCCCCAGAACCACACAGGGACTTTCAAATGTAGATATACAAAGGCATGAAAGTGAAACTGAAAGTAGTTTTTTTGTTTTGAAAGAGAGAAGGAGACAGTGCATCCGCCAAAAGGTTGTCTCGGTCTTTAATATATCTGATGTCTGAGCTGAACGATTGTAGGAACAAGGCTCTGAATGAGACACTGGTTGGAACATTTCAGTGATTAAAAACGTGAGTGGATTATATTTAAACGACGGCCAAGTCCCAGAGTCTCCTTCTCACACAAAATGAATATCAGACTAAATGTCTATTCCCAATACACACCACATTCTATTCTAAAACTTTTCTTCAGGTTTTCCCCAACAGTACATTTTTAGGTGATGTTTTTTCACTGCTGGTGATGTTGAACTTTGACCTCATGTATGCTTCAGAAAAAACACTAACGACAGATATCGGTTTTGAATGGTTTCTGAATAATTACATTTCATGGAATACAGTCTAACAACATGTGTTCTTACCAGTATCGTTTCAGCACTCGTCTTTGTGGTTCTGGGTGATCAGGGAATCATTTTTAGCACACATCTAATCATAAATAAATCTATAAATATATAAATACAATGTCCCCGTGTATGACTGCACATCTCACCAGTGGGGAAAGAGATGGTCTAGTTCAGGTTCTTAAGACACATCAACATACAAAACCAACATCAAGTGTTTTAACAAAATGTCTTCAAAACAAAATCGAGTGTAAAATTAAGATCAGATCAGTGTATTGTAGTGCCATGAGCCACGGCTTATTTGTCTTGAAACCTGTTGTTCCTGTGTTCTCTTTTGTCTTTGTCCCTGTTCTCTTGTTGTATGTAAATCCCATTGGTGAGCCCTGGATCCTGATTGGCTGCAGCACCTTACGCGGGGCTCTGATTGGCTGTGGCATGTGCTGGTTTGGACAGGCACCTTCCCGCCCCTCCAATCCCAGGAGTCCACCTGATGGGTGCAACTGTAAAAGAGCAGCTGGATCATTTTGTTGCCAGCTCACACCTCGTTTTACTTGTGTCTTCTTTTATTTGTTACTTGGCTAAAGAGAATTTGTAATTTTCTTTGAAATACTTATCTTTAATAATACAAACTTTGCATATTTGTTTTTAATTTGTTAGGGTCTTGTTTGGGTAAGAATAAATTTTTTTTTATTAGTTTTCTTTCTAATTTGTGAATTAATTTCATAGGAATATTTCCCTTAAAAAGGGTGAAAATAATAACAAAAATAAAATGCCCATAATTTTTTTTCCTTTTAATAAATGTATTACAGAATATATTAAATTTTTTAAGTTAACCTTATACACTTGCTTTTATTGTTTAGTTTTTTCTCTCCTCCCAAGCTGAGCTGGATGTAACAGTTGTGCAGAATAGTTATGATAATCTAAAAAAACAATAAATAAATTACACCTTTATTTATCAAAATAAAGGTGTAAACCAGGGGTGTCAAACTAATTTTGGTCCAGGGGCCCTATCCAACCTACTTTGATCCCAAGAAAAATACAATTTCAACACAATGTTTTAACATGAACTTGTTTGCAAACAGGAATAAGTCAATTTTTCTTGTAAAATCCTGCACTCGGCTCCACTTTTCTCATGTTGGACATTTTTCTGATGAGGGTGTCATGGTCAACAGTCAAAACGATCGTCCTTTAAGAGCGTTTGGAAAGAGACAAGTCTTCATTTGTGCTGCTCTGGTGGGAGGGGCCACGTACAGAGACGCTGGAGACGCTGCTGTGCTAAGCACCGCAGAAAATTACCAATATTTTAATAGAATATATAACTAAAATATTTCAGTAGCAAATCACCTGAGGGCCAGATTAAAGGTCTTGGAGGCCCCCCGGGCCGTATGTTTGACACCCCCGGTGTAAACGTCACCTTCCTTGTGGGGAAACTGGATGCAATTTTTGGCGTTGATGACATAAGTAGAAGGATTACGTTTTAGAACTTGCAGCCACTTATGCCCCTTTATCTTTCTTTGTATCTTGTATCTTTCTTTTCAACTTTTTTTTTTCAAACTGCCACTTCAAGCAGACTTGGAGAGACTTATCCATGTGTTGTCTCCAGTAGGTTAGATACTGTAGCGGCCTCTCACTGACCTCTCCAAATGTAGAGCATCCAGAACACTGCAGCTCAGGTCCTGACTCAAACCAAGAAGTACAAGCACATGTGTCCTGTGCTCAGGTCTCTGCACTGCCCCCTGTGGCTCAGAGAAGAGACTTTAAAGCAGCTCTTCTTGTATACAAGTCTATGCATGGCCTCCATCCCAAGTCCATCTGTGACATGTTAGTGTCATATGAACCATCTCACACTCTGAGGACCTCAGGGACCGACCTCCTGCTGGTGCCCAGAGTCACGACTAAACAAGGGGAGTCAGAGTTTCAGGTTCATGCAGCTAAAACCTGGAACAGTCTGAACATGTGAGACAGACTCTACTTTGACTCTGTTTTCAAAGATTTTCATTCTGCACTCTTCTCTCTCATTTAATGTCTCTCTCTTAATTTTATGATGATTATTTGTGTTTTGATTTGTTTCTATTGTGATTTTAATGCATTTCTTATTCTGTAAAGTACTCTGACTGACCTTGTGTATAAATTGTGCTGTACAAATAAAAGTGCTTTGCCTTCATGTTAAAACTATGATAAACACTGACCACAGGTACGATCCCATCAAACCAAGTCAGAATTTGAAAAACAGGAAAACCTCTCATACGGATAAAAAAAATACACTTTTATTTTCATTGATTGACATTGTTTGTATTTGATTAGAAATATTTCCAGAGTGCAGTCACTTATAGAAGATGAGGAAAGAGGACATGATGATGTAACCGGGCTTTGCAGAGGGGTTTGGGTCTCTGCCCTCAAACAGACCACAGTACACGAGGGAGTTGCTCTGGTCCACCTGCACACAACATGTAAAGGGATTAACTGCTCACACAAATCATGTTTAGATCACAGTTATCATAATGTTCACTTTTATTGTTTTAAAAATGCTATATTCACTGAAAACAACACATTAACATATTCAATTTAACTCATTTCATTTGTTTGTCATTTTAATCATCATTTCTTGGGGTTGTGTAGGTGTCCATGTCCCACCTGCTTAGTGAGGTCCACCCTCCAGGGGGCGACCTGCAGCCCGTCACACCAGCCTCCTCTGCCGTACAGCCAGGTGCCGTGCTCATTGGGAACAGCGCCGTCTGGGACCTTCAGGGTGCAGCCCAGAGGAGAACCTGGCACACACACACAAACACACAAACACACACACACACACGCACGCACACACACACACACACACACACACACACACATATAGTATTTATGAGGTATTAATTAAGATTGTCTTCCACTTCTTTAGTACCATTTATCCAGAGATGCTCTTGTCTGGGTTAGTATATCGGTATAACAGATATTTGTCCGGGATATGTTCAGCCAGCTTCATAGTAAAGGCTTAAAGGCTGAGGTACACTTATTTTCATTTTTATTCTTGAATGTCACTGGGGCAGCCTGTCAGGAGGAAGCATCTCCAGATCTTGAGCTGGTCTCGGTCAGTTCTGCTTTAGCTGGAGGATTTGACTTTTGATGCAGGTTTAAGGCTGATGAGGAAACTGGAGCTGCTCTCATGCAAACTCCACACAGAAAGGCCTGGGCAGCCTGAGAGTGTGGTTGTAAACTGTAGTACTGACAAAAGTACTGACAGTAGTACTGACAGTAGTACTGACAGTAGTACTGACGGCGGTACTGCCTATGGAACTGGCTGTAGTACTTGTATTATGGGCTGTAGTACGGGCTGTAGTGCCGACTATAGAACTGAGTGTAGTACTAACTGTAGTACTGGCTGTAATACTGATTGTAGTACTGGTTGTAATACCAACTATAATACTAGGTGTAGTAATAACTGTAGTACTGATTGTAGTACTGGTTGTAATACCAACTATAATACTAGGTGTAGTAATAACTGTAGTACTGATTGTAGTAATGGCTGTAGTAAGAATTGTAGTACTGACTGTAGTACCTGCTATAGTATGGATTGTAGTACCGGCTGCAGTACCAAGTGTAGTACTGGTTGTAGTATACGGCTGCAGTACCAAGTGTAGTACTGGTTGTAGTACCGGCTGCAGTACCAAGTATAGTACTGGCTGTAATACCGACTCTAGTTCCGAATGTAGTACCAGCTGTAGTGCTGACTGTAACACTGGCTGTAGTACCACTATAGTACCGGTTGTAGTAGTAGCTGTAATACTGGCTGTAGTACCACTCTAGTACCGGTTGCAGTAGCAGCTGTAGTACTGGCTGTAGTACCGGTTGCAGTAGCAGCTGTAGTACTGGCTGTAGTACCGGTTGCAGTAGCAGCTGTAGTACTGGCTGTAGTACCGGTTGCAGTAGCAGCTGTAGTACTGGCTGTAGTACCGGTTGCAGTAGCAGCTGTAGTACTGGCTGTAGTACCGGTTGCAGTAGCAGCTGTAGTACTGGCTGTAGTACTGGCTGTACTGACCTGCTGTGTCGAACGTGAGCGTGTGGTTGTAGACGGAGTTGACGGTGAAGTGATGGGAGGTGACACAGAACTCTCCACAGCCGTTCTCATCGCTGCCGTGTCCCGTGACCACTGCATACAGCTCCACCTGCACACAACAGATACCACAAAAAATACACACAAATACTAGTACTACTTTCATAGCACACTTTGAGATAATCAGTTCGGTTTAAAATATAATGATACTATGAAAGAATAGGAAGAATTCTCTTGTTCTAGTAACTAAATAAACCTAGTAGTCTACCATTCTCAATACATTCACTCACCAGCACATCAAAATACAGAATGTGGATCGTACCTTTTTGGCAGAGACTGGAACACTGAATTTAAAGGGCTGATATCTTTTATTATAATCTTTGTCAAATGTTCCACCGCTGAACACTGAAGTCACTTTAAATGGACGCAGTGGGCTTCCTTCTGTAACATTCAAAATGAAATATCAAAATGTAAACAAAAAGGCTGTTATTGACCTTAATGAAAGTCATCATTAAAAAAAAAAAAAAAAAAAGCATTCATGACATTAGGTGAAAAAAGGAAAAAAAATATCACAAGGGACTGAAAAACAAGGAGCATTTCTACAGACTCAATGAGCAAAGCACACATCTGAGGTGAGAATAGAGCTATGCCAAAAATCAAAAGATCGAAAGATTGATAGATCGCGAACTCTACTCAGGTTGATGTGAGGTTGAGCATTTTAATGGGCAGGTCACAGTCATTCATGTAGCAGCAGAGCGCCTGGTGCTGACGGGGATTTACGCTCTTGTTTATGAAAAAGCAGCCTGAGCCACAGCGCGTTTCCTCTCCTTTTCGCAAGTTTTGACTTAAATCTGCACAATTTGAATAAAAGTCCAGTGTCTCTCTCCCTCTGCCTCTGTGTGTGCGGTGCCTTCTGCCTGTTCCCCCGTCCCTCCCTCGCTCTGATCCGGACGCCGCTCCTCGTCTTTTCTCCTCTCTCTTTCTCTCATCTGGTGCTTCTCATCTTTATAATCCAAGTTATGGAAAGAAAACCACTTTATGTGAAACATAAAACCTAATTAGTCTTAACACGCATCTGCACTAGGTTTAATATACTGTACAGCAGGCGTCTCCAACCTTTATCCTTTGGTGAGCTCCTTTACAAAACAAAAATGCCGCAGAGCTACTCAATTTAGTGGCTGCTAGAAATTGAGACGATAATAAGAAAGAGGGCGAGCCTTAGAGTACAGTAAGATGCTTATAAAACATAAACTATTGTCCATTTATTAGTTTACAAAACTGGGCTCCAAAATGATGTATTTACAAAAGTAATAGGAAGTTATAAGTAATTAACCAAATTGTTGTTCTTCAGCACAATGGTCTGATTCAGAAATGCCCTGGCGAGCTGCTTGGGGTGGAGAGCTACTGGTTGGTCACCCCTGCTGTACAGACTCATTCCAACTTTTAAATATGACTTTATCCAAAATAATTGTTCCCATCAACATAAAATAAAACCTGTAGTGATCCTGACACGTCACACTCTTTATGCCTGAGGTCTACATGTTTGTGTTTTTAATAAGATGGAAGAAGATAGAAGATAGAAAATCAAGATTGATCAATATGGGGGAAAAAAAAAATCATGATTCCTTTTATCCCCATATCACCCGGCCCTATGTGGGAAATGTAGTTTGTTCAAGTTTATTAGTTTCCTTTTCTCAGCTCTAGCCTGGCTCATGAAGATCAGGTAGGTGGCAAGAGATTTTTTTTTGGGTCGCCTTGTCATGATACATACATGCACATACATACATCTCTGCCCACTGTTTTTCATTGTTTAAAACTTGAGTGACACTAATTGTTCAGCGAGACATGATCACTCAGTCAATGATAAAATATCCTCATTAATGTTCAATAATGGTGACAAATTTATTTTGTGATTTACGAATGTGTATTGACTTGGGTCACAAAGATTTGTGACTTTTAAAATATGGGTCCTCAGAAAAAAAGTTTGAGAAACACTGATGTAGAGCACAGGAACCTGACTGATTTACCTCTGCATAAAAAATAGAGAGAGATAACAGTCTGGATTTGATGAACAAAGTCAAAAAGAGCAGCCCAGATTTTGACATTACATTTTCCAATCCAATATCATGACCCAACCCACTTTTCCCCCAGATTCCAAACTGCCATGGCACCTGTGGAGCTGTTGGTCTGACTGAAGCGCAGGTTCAGAGACACGATCCAGGGCATGGCCCAGGGCACAGTCTTCATGGTGAAGGAGCAGGTGGAGCTGTCCAGCAGAGGGAGCAGTGGAGACACGTCTGTGAGCCAGTGTCCGGTCCCTCTGTGACAAAACAACATCCAACAAGATTACTGACATGTATCGTATAAAAATAAATTAAAAACATAAAAACGTGACAGTTCTAGAGGTAAAAGAGGGTGTATGTACAGGACGTACTGAACTATTCTAAGTGCCTTACTACATGTCTGATGAATAAATCTGATGTAATAATATTAACAAAAACAATGTAATAATTATAAAACTAAAATTTAAACTTAAGGCACGACAATACTACTAATACTACTAACTACTAACAAGTACTATTACCACTATCACTACTACTATTACCAGTACCACTTTTTTCAAAATGTATTTATTTTTTGGTCAGTTTGCTCTTTATACAAGCACCTAAAGATAATCACCCTTTGAATTTTTATAAAAAATATAACATTTAAATCCCCCTAATTTTATTCACAGAGGCTTTATGCATTTTTCAGATTTGTAACTTCCAAATATATGCAAATGTAGCTGTTTTTATTTACACAAAATGCTGAACTTATGCAGGAAAACCTTTAATACATTTTAATTTATGTGTAAACTATAGAAGGATTCTTGAAATGTATTTTTTCCCTTTTCCCCTGCAGTGTCTCGCCTTAACTACACTGTGTTTTTCATAATAAAAGCTGGTGATGGACAGTGTGTGTGTGCAGGTGTGTGTGTGTGTGTGTGTGTGTGTGCAGGTGTGTGTGTGTGTGCAGGTGTGTGTGTGTGTGTGTGTGTGTGTGTGCAGGTGTGTGTGTGTGTGTGCAGTGTGTGTGTGTGTGTGTGTGCAGGTGTGTGTGTGTGTGTATGTGCAGGTGTGTGTGTGTGTGCAGGTGTGTGTGACCTCCTGAAGGCGGTGATCCATCGGCCCAGCTCCAGGTTACACATGTCACTGAGAGGGTCACAGCACACGAACAACTGCACCGTGTGGTCCCACTGAGGACAGGACGAGTCTCTGCTGGAGGGACAAGACAGAGACACGTCCAGCTCCAGACTGTCCCACACTCCTGAAGGACATGAACACACCGCCGTCACAGAAAATGAACATTTTTATAAGTCTGTACGTCACATCTGCTGCCTCTCGTAGAATATGCAGATACACGCTGCCAATGTTCAAACAATAAACAATAGGCGATCTTTTCTGTAAAATCTGTGATATGGAGTTTCGATGCAGCTGTTACCTGAGGGCAGTTGGAGTGTTGCTTGGGCTCCACTCTCTCCCTGCATCTGGACTTTATCAAACACCGACAGGACGGTGGCTGGAGTCTGAAGTTTGCTCAGGAGACTGGTGCGGAAATCAAACCTGCACACAGCACAACGGTTCATAAAGCAGCTCAAAGTCCTGCACACAAACCTTTATAGTAACACAACAACACACACAATAAGTGAAACCATCAGACGAACTCAAGCAGCACAAAAAGCATAAGGAACTGGAATTATATGAACACTTTTTATCAATACTGACCATAAACAGAGTCAAATAAAAAGGTTAAGATTTCCTCTGATTCTCAAACTGGCTGGTCCATAAATCCATAAGTAAATGAAAGTCCTACAGATTTTGGTAACCACCAGGAAACCTGTACTTTGAGAGTGGAGCATTCTGTTTGGACAGTATGGGAGATAAGGACATAATAATTCATAATAATACTTCAGATTCATTTACTTGAATTTATTGCATATTGTAATTTTGATTCCTGTATTTTTCAGACTATAAGTCGCACTTTTTTCATGGTTTAGGTGACCCTGTGACTCCGGTTTGACTTATATTCAAATGTTCACAGTGAAGTGTCCAGAGGTTCTAGTCTTGTGTATCAGTATCTGCTGCTCCTGTTCCTCCTGTACCACTGTCACTTCACTCTACTGCACATGTCTCCTGCAGAAAGAGCCTCTGTTCTCTGTATCATGTCAGTTGATCACACCATTACTTCTGCACCACTGAACAATTTAACATTTAAACAAATTTATAAAGACGACTGAGAAGAGTGAACACAAATGCCCCCAAAAAGAAAATCATATTTTGCTAATTACAAGCTGCAAGTAGTGAAAGTACCGAAGTACCGAAAATGGAAATCAAGCAGCAGAAAGAAAGTTTGAAATGAGTGAGAAAGTTGTGACACCGGGAGGATGCACCATGAAACTTTCCTGAAGTCACTGGATGGATGGACAAAGCCTGGACTTCAGTGACACCGAAACCATCCTGTCAGGATTCAGAAAGACTGAAATAATTCTAACTGGAACTGATGCTGAGTCTGACGACAGCGACACAGAAGAGGAGGAGGTGCACCGTTTACCTCCGGAGGTCGACAAGTTGCTCAGAAGTGACACAGAGGATGAAGAATTGAATGGATTTAGTGATTTGGAGTGAGATGGAGAGTTTGGTAAACTTGTTCTGTTCTGTTGTTTATGTTATATTTATCTGAAGAACTGTTCATATGTGACGTTAACAGTCTGTTGTTTTCTGTTCTATTGTTTTTACTAGAACTTGACTTTCAACAAGAAATGTCAGTTCCTGGTCTTTGATTTTATAATATAAATCACATCAGAAAGTGCAACTTCGAGTCCAGTGTGACTTATATGTGTTTTTTTTCCTTCATTACGCATTTTTTGGCTGGTGTGACTTATACTCTGGAGCGACTTCTAGGTAATCATTCCCCATGTTGAGTTTGGACGAGTAAAGTAAAACTTGACCTAAAGTGAGCGTGCCAGATGAAGTCACTAAGGCCTAAACATTACATTTATTTACATATTATATTATTAATACTGTCTCACCACTGAGCCTGCCAGTTGATGAAACTGAATGTTGAGTAGAGAAACCAGCCCACTTCTGCCAGCGCCCCCTGCTGGTCAATACTGATGAAGACGTTTGGGGAGGGAGTGGTCTGGAAGGACACGTTCACTGGCTGTCCGAGGCTACAAAACAGGAAAACAACATATACTGTTATCATCCCTTCAATATTCAGAACATTATGTAGTACTGCAATACACAGTCAAAGTCATTAGTATCGTAATATACTAGTAATATACATCCAGGTACTTTTTTGGGGTTATTTTGATGCTGTAAAAATATAACAAAAATTCAGTTTTGTCTACTCGTATATTTGAGAATAATGCTGTTTACTTATGACCTGGTCAGTCAAAAGCACTGCTTAAACAAACACGGGTGGGTCTGGAACTGCATCTGTCTGTCTCCTTGATTTAAAACGGACATGATTGACAGGCAGATAAACCAATCAGAGACACACAAGATCCATTCAGGTGAAAAAACAAAACATGAAATAACATACAGTAATTTGGGTGAAATGTAAATGATCAAATCAAATATAAACAAAAACTAATGTAAAACACAAGCCACATTTTGTACAAAATTAAATATTTCAATAATATATAATAAAAAATAGGTATTTTCTTGCAATATGGATATTGTGTAAACCATTACCATGATCAAAAATACTATATAAATTACAGAATTACCTTTACACTCATATTTGTTGCCTGTGTCCACCCAGGAAATAAAATTATAAAGTTTCCCAAAATAAAAAATAAAAATAAAATAAAAACTACTTTATTTCATTAAACCTGTCAATAATAATAATCATCATCATCTGTCATATGCTCTTCATCTACATCTAAACCGTAGTATCTGTTTGTTTTGTAGTTAATTCTTCCGTTACTCGTTAATCTTGTTTTGGAGCTGTGTGTTACCGTAGCGACTGTGCCACAGAGGGCTCCAGGTGCACCATGGCGGCGGGCAGGTCCAGGGCGACCTCACACTCTGCCCCCACACACGTCATGTCCCGGATGGGCTGTCCTGCTCCAGCGTACACAAGGACACCGGACGCATTGGATCTGGCCATGGCCTGCACCTGCCACACCACACACACGAGATGGGACAATAGTCTGAAATTATTGAACATTTACAACATTTCAAAAGAAGGCAAGGCAAGGCAAGTTTATTTGTATAGCACAATTCGTACACAAAGTAATTCAAAGTGCTTTACAGAATAAGAAATACATTAAAATCTTAATAAAAGCAAATCAAAACATAAATAATCATGAAGATTAAAATTAAAAAAGAGAGACATCAATTGGAGAGAAGAGTGCAGAATGAAAACCTTTCAGTTATTTGCACAGTTAAACAGAAATGTTTTGAGCCTGGATTTAAACAGCGTCACAGAAGAGTCTGTCTCACATGTTCAGGAAGACTGTTCCAGGTTTTAGCTGGAAGAACACATATTACGAAAAATGTACGTTTTTGGGAGTTTTTAACCTTCTTATACTGGTGTTCTCTCATCTAAAAACATGTCTGGAGTTGTATTTTGTTTCAAGCTTGTTTTATTAATCCATTAATGAATTAATAAATCTATTAAACTATCTATTAATGCGAGAAATGTCTGTCTGTTTGTTTGTTTGTTTGTGGTATGCATAACTCTCAAACCACTCATCCGACAAATTTGGAGGGTGTCATCTTAATGGTACAGGTGTGTGCAGAGCCAAGTTAGGGCAAAAAATGCCAAAGATCTGGTAAAATGACATATATTTGAAATATAAAAAAAACTTTTGAAATCGAAAGTCGCTTTCTCTGACCACTTAAAATGTCTGATGTATAATATAATGTCGTCTCCTCATCACAAACAGACTTAGAGTTGTGTTTTGTTTCATTTACACATGTTTGAAGCTTTTTACACATATTAAGTTCTTCTTCCAAACAGAAAACACTCTGTTCCACCTTGTGATGTCATGTGGCTTACCAAAAAAGAGCCTTCCATACAGGAAGGCACTTTTCTGGTAAGAGTCCAGCACCTGGAATGTACCACAGTATGGCATTAAACTTGCTTATTATTTCATTATAGGTGTAATTATAGGTCTTTACAATAAAATGATACCTTGAAAAAAATGCATTCTACTGTTTAATACCATACAGGGAAAGCAACAATATCTCCATGGAGACGTACACTCCGCCTAAAAACTTGCACAGTGCGTCTTTCGTTTGCATTTTGCCTGTTTAGTTGCGTTATAGATAAAACTATGGACTTGTCCAATACATAAAGCATCATTGGACTTGTTCTAAGGCGTACACAACAAAGACATGGCTCTGCTAGTCCAGAATTCACAGGGATAAGGATTTAAAGCTACCATCTGTAAATGTCTTTTTTTTTTCACCAGTAGATGGTGGATATGAAACGTGTCCACCTCCAAAAGTTACAGGAATTCATATGTTCTATAAATGAGCCTAGCTATAGAATTTCTTATCATCTGTAAATATAAGTGACTGTTATAGTAAGACAAGTATCAGTGTATCCAGAAGTGCTCTCCACTAACTAGGAGAGTCCAAATGATGCATGAGAAATGAAAGCAGTTCTACTTTTCTACTACTATGACATTGTCTAGTTTTACCTTAGTGAAGAACGAGCACCCGTCCTCTGACACCCAGGCCACTGCACCCTTCACATCAGCAGAGGGTGCACACCCGTCACCTGCATCCACCAGAGAGTATGACCTCTGATCCCAGTGTGCCATCAGCCAATCATATCGAGCGTCCAGCCTTTTGACCACCACAGGCATTTTCCAATCTGGAATAGACATAAATCATTATAGGATACATGCAAAATACAGACTGTGTAAAGACATGGAGTAAGAGAGTGTGACGTCACCCAAATGAAGCTCACGAGGCTAAACATATGGGAAAAAAAAAAAAAAAAAACACTGAATGAGGTCTGTCCAAACCTTTGACTGGTAGATGTGTGCCTATGTGTCTCTCTGTGTGTGTGTCTCTGTGTGTGTGTCTGTGTGTGTGTCTCTCTCTGTGTCTCTCTGTGTGTGTGTCTCTCTGTGTCTCTCTGTGTGTGTGTCTCTCTGTGTGTCTCTCTCTGTGTGTGTGTCTCTCTGTGTGTCTCTGTGTGTGTGTCTCTCTGTGTCTCTCTGTGTGTGTGTGTGTGTGTCTCTCTCTCTGTGTCTCTCTCTGTGTGTCTCTGTGTGTGTGTGTGTGTCTCTCTCTGTGTGTCTCTCTGTGTGTCTCTGTGTGTCTCTGTGTGTGTGTGTGTGTGTCTCTCTCTGTGTCTCTCACCTCTGGATGTGAACACAGCCTGGGAGAGTCCACAGTTGTGTCCGGAGCAGCTCCAGGAGTAGAGCACAGCAGGGATCCAGTTTCCCAGAGCGAAGACAGACAGAGGACAGAAGTGCAGCCGGGACAGAGTCTCCTTATGCATCAGGGAGCCTCTGAGAGACACACAGGGACAATGCTTCAGACACAAAACTACATGCAAGTTTGACATTAAAATGACCAGAAAATCTCTACAGTAGACAAGAACAAACAGTTTGGCAGAAAAGTTCCTTTAATGTTCATCCAGTCATTTTCTTGAGTTTTATCGGGGGCCCGACTGTGGAGGCAGCAGTCTGAGCAGAGAGGCCCAGACTTCCCTTTCCACACACACTTCCTCCAGCTCTTCCACATTCCACATTAACTATTTTAGTAATATATATTATATTTAGTAACCAGTGTTGGGAAGTATCTAAATACATATACCGAAAATACATATTTTGAATACTAATTTTGAGTCCCTGTGTTCCAGTCCAGTGACACTTTCATTAAATACAGTTATTATACATAGTGGTGCTATATGCTGGTACTTGAGCAGCTTTGAACTGCACTGCAGTACAGAGTAACACAGCTGTAGCGATGTGTGTGCATGTATTTTTCCTCATCCAATGAGATATAAATGAATGCATGACACACAGTGCAACAAAAATAAAGCTGTTTGTAATTGTATGACAGTTTTTTTACAATAATATAATCCAACTCGGTGTAAAGGTATTCAGAGTATTCTTCCCTACGTATATATAAGTAAGTGTATATAAACCTGTGTGAGGCGGCGTGGTACAGCTGCTCCCTCATCCACAGGGCATCAGACGGAGCAGAGTCGTCCAGAGACAGGAGCAGCACGTGGGCAGTGCTGGGCAGCCCGTGCACCAGGGCTTCCAGGGCCTCAGTGGAGCTCCACAAACTCTCCAGGAAGGCAGACTTGTTGGTGAAGGCGTGGATGATGAGGGAGGCTCTGAACTCGCCCGGCTTGTACTGAAACGGGCCATCCAGAGTGGGCACAGAGAAGGCGGGCGCGGGGTCCCCGGGCTCCAGGCTGTACGGTGCCGCTCTGATGGGGCTCCTGTGGCCCTGCCCTGTAGGACAAATGGAGGTGGTATCCATGGGTTACAGAATGATGATGAGTTAGGACCACTGCCATAGAAATGAACACTGGTGTATACAGGTTAGATCAATTTCTCGAAATCATCTTTACCTAGCAACCATAATGTTAACAAGGACGAAAACATCTCTAAATGACACAATATAATTAACAAATAAAAATAAATGACAACACCTTTATTTTGTTAAATCAATGCAGTCAGAAAGTTGTCAGAAAAATGCCTGAAAAATGGACAATCTCTTGTGAGTTATGGGCTTACGGTTATCAAACGAAACATAGCTCCAAAAATATAGCCTAATAATAAAAGTGTAATAAAATTAAAGTAATAGTAGTGGCGGAGCGTGCTTTTCACACCTAGGCCTTCAGTAGTGCTCAGTCTGAAACAATCCTCAATACTCCTCCTCAAGAACTATTTTATAGCTACATTATACACAGTACAAAGAGGCGTGGAGAAGACTCGAGGAGCGCTGGGCTGCTAAACCAGGACTAAACCAGGACTGTTTGTCCGGACTGGCCCGAAGGTGAGTCCACGTAGACTGTCAGGTGATCATACAGGAAAGGACCGCGCTGGCCGCATTCGGCTCAGTGCAGCTGTCGCCCGATTGCGCTTTGAGGACACTCTCTCACTCGCTCCCTCTCAAGTCCAAGATTAGACCTGGTGTGGTCCTGGTTTAGACCTGGTGTAGTCCTGGTTTAGACCTGGTGTAGTCCTGGTTTAGACCTGGTGTAGTCCTGGTTCCGCTACAGATGCAGTTTGCTGCTTTGGCTGGTTTGCTCTCTGACTGTCCAATCCGCGGCTCTGAATCCGGTGCCGTCGTACACCTGCTAAAGGCTCTGGCGATACCAACTCAAAATCTGATTGTTGAAGCAACAGTTTCATGGACATGTATTTTGTGTTCAAGGGCCTTCAGAACAGATTGTGAAGGAGTCAGGCTTTTTTGACTTTGACTCTGCCTAGCAACAAGTGACGGCTGAAATGTGACTGGTCAAATGCTTTAATATGAAAATACATGTGTGGAAGCAGCCCAAGCGTCAGAAAAGCTCTGAAAGGAAGAGGACAGACCATTTGGAATTATTTAATAATAATACAATTATTGCAGATCAGGACGCTGAATAATAATATGAAACTTTCTAAAGGTGTAAAGTCAACCGCATGACTCCGTGGGAACAGAAAGTTAAAACCATACTTCAGAACATAATTGACAACATTAAGGACTTTTCACCCTTCAAAAAGTTAAAGTTGTTAAATTGTGAATGGCTAAGACAACGTTGTTAATTTTACATCATTCTGAATCCCATTGATAGAAAGTTTAATCTACTTCATCATTGTAACAGGAGTAGGCTCCGTCACACAACTCACACTTCATCACACTTAAAACGCATTAACCAACCCACCCCAGTCACTCGGGTCGCTGTGTGCCCGCTCAGAGTCGCCTTCCTCGGTCAGGGCGGTCCGTCTTCTCCCCCGGACGCCCTCCGCAGCTCCGCGCTCTGCCCCGATCACATGAGCTGTCACAACAGAAACAAGAAGACACAGCAGCGGGGACAGAAGCGCCATGGTTCCTCTCCGCGGACACTGGACTCTCCTGACCCGCTCTTCTCATCACCGGTCAGAGACGAGCGCGCTTCCTCTGCGCGCTCCACGGAACTTTTACGCACAGGATTATCCAGGATGCTGCCGCTCTAGTTTGGACAGCTTTACCTTATTCGGCTCCGTTTCACGTGATAGGAAAGGCGTGTGTTGATGCGCTGGCGACACGCACAGGATTGGAGCGCAGATGCACGTGATGTAGGTCTTCTGCCTGTGCCACTCATGGATCTATTAGGGGCCACTGCGCTTTTGGTTGCACCTTGAAAACCGCAAACCCGGGTTCTCATGAGCCAAAGTGAGAGTTCTTTCTGACATGTTAGAGTTAACATGTCAGAAAGAACTTCTGCACACTTCTCTACAGCAGTGCACTTTTAAACCCACAAGAGGGCGCTAGAGACAGAGACTAGCACTCAAGCTACAAAGCAAGAAGATTGTGGGTTCGATTCCCAGGTCGTCCAGGCCTTTCTGTGTGGAGTTTGCATGTTCTTAAAGTGTGTGTGTGGGTGGGTTTTCTCCGGGCACTCCAGTTTCCCCCCCATCAATCCAAAAGATGCTCCATAACCAGTGTTGGGAAGTTTACTTTTAAAATGTATTCCCTTACAAAGTACAGATTACATACCCCAAAATGTAGTTTGTAACGTAATCCATTACTTAAAGTGAGTAATGTAATCTGAATACTTTGGATTACTTGATTTGCTGTAGAGAAGCAAAGACCAAGAAATCTTCACATAAGATGTTTTGTCTGATAAAAGACAATGAAAAGCCCAGATTTTACTGAACCAAATTAAAAATATTATTGATAGAAGAGGAGGAGACATGGTCCACACAGCATGGTTTAGTCCTGTTAAATCCTGTTTTAGACTTGGTTTAGACCTGGTTTTAGACCTGGTTTGGACCTGGGTTTAGACCTGGTTTTAGACCTGGTTTGGACCTGGGTTTAGACCTGGTTTAGTGTCCGGCAATGAGTGGAATTACTGAGAAAATAAATAAAAAAATTTAAAAAAAGGGAATAGCCCAAAATGTGAAAACAGGAAAATACATCTGTGTAATCCATTTATTTCAACCAAGTAACTGTAATCCAATTACCACTCACTGAAACAGTAACTGTAACCAAATACAGTTACTCATAATTTGTACTCTGATTACATAACTCCGGTACATGTAATCTGTTACTCCCCAACACTGTCCATAACTTCAAACCCTCCAGCTAAAACATTCCTGACCAAAACTAGCTCTAGATCTGGAGCTGCGTCCCTGCTCCTTTCTTTCACTGTTTTGTGGGCTCACTGCTCCCGAGATGCCCCAGTGGCACTGAAGGATGGGTCAAACGCAGAGGACACATTTCCCTTCAGAGACAATTAAATGTATCATAACCTTAAAGAATGCACCAACAGTGTCAGCACAGCGGGGCAAATACTCTTTCGCACACTTCACTGTGTTTGGTTGGTTCGTCCTGTCATTTATTCACTCAGAACATGACAAGACTCAGACCAATGACGTGAAGAAACCTCATCTATGCACATCTTATGCATCTGTAGCACATCTTAACTAGTCTAAGCCAAAACTGCCGCAGAACCTCCACATCTGACCCTTTGTGCGTAAAAAGAATGTGATCATCTGTGCACAGCCTGCGTCCATGTCATCACAGGTTTATTAAGTGACTTTGTACAAGTACAAATGAAAAACAACATTAAAAATACAAATGGATACATAGCCAAAGCAAAGTGTGGTGTTGTCTCTTCATGTCCCACTTTAAACAGTCCTTTAGTTCAACCAGGGCACATCCAAACAGATTTTCTTATAAAAGATGTGAGAACTTCAGCTGGCTCGGTATATATAAAAATAAAGTTATAATGGTGGTCCAAGAATAGATAAACACAAAAGGGAGAAGGAGGGGGTTACATAATTCATATCTATAAAAAGGCCCAAGGTGCGGTTTTATTGTTTTATTTCTGCACTTTCAACTGTAACGCAAAGTCTAAAGTAAAATGAGTGAGTTCACGTCCTCACCATAAAAGGTTCACTACTACGGAGGCCCCGAAGGACAAGTGACCGCAAATCACAAAAACACAAAAATAATGCAGAGTTATACTTACTTATGGGAGGTTGCAAAAGCTATCTTGGAATATAACTTTAATTTACGGCTAAAAAAAGAGCACAAAGTCAAAAGTATTTAAAAGCTCCGCAATGTAACTTTTCTGCTCGTCTCTACGGAGATATTTTGTTGCCTGTATGATTCTACAGTATGACATTAAAATTATCAGTATTGTATTTTTATTGAATGTTATTGTAAAAAAAAAAAAAAACATAGAAAAAAAATGTAACAGTGAGCAGATCTGACTTGTAAAACTGGGTCTAGTAACATTACCTGCTTGTCTCCATGGATATAGATTATTTAATGTCATTTTGTGGAACATTCTAGGCAAAAAAGAAACACCTCCATGGAGACAAGTTGCACGTTGACCACGCAGAAGAAAAGTTACATTGTGTCCCTTTAAAGGTCCTATATTACGTAAAATTGACTCTTGTGAGCTTTAAGCCGTGTTAGAATGTTGTTATCTCCTCAAAAACAGACCTGGAGTTGTGTTTTGTTTCATTCACACATGTTTGAGTAACACTTTATTAGTCTGTGTATATCTATAAAGCTCAAAATGCACTGTTCCACTTTGTGATGTCATGAAGCTGTAGAGAACTGCTACTGTTTACTTTTTGTTTAATAGAAATGAGCAATTCTTTGTAAAAATCACCCAAATGATTCTAGTGAAGGTGTATGGAGTTTAAAAACACAGTGGAGCACTTCCTCAGCCTGTAAATATGCAAAATTTGTGTGTTAAACGTGTGAATGAAACAAAACACAACTCCAGGTCTGTTTGTGATGAGAAAAATCGTGTATTATGAGCCCTTTAACTTACTTTAATTAGACACTTTCACTTGTATATTCGTTGTAGTTTTTGCAACCATGCCACTTGTCCCTTCAGAGCTACCGTACTATTCACACGTCAGAATTCCTGTAAACAAATTCACCACCAGAAGATGATTGTACAACATTTTGTCTGAAATTTAACTGTACACACACACACACACACACACAAGTCCATCGAAGCAACCTTGGTTTTAGAGAGAGCAGCGGAGGGGCTGAGACAGAATCAGTATGACGACGATTACATTAAAGGCTCATTTATGCTCCACTTTTGTACGTAAACACATGCGTGCGTCACTGCGTTAATACTTTTTATACTTAAACCAAATATCTCCAATGTAAAGACAGTGTTCAGTTAAAAGTGCACTGTGTAACTTTTCTTGGGTACTACTTGTCTCGCTGGAAATTTTGTATATTAAACGCATCATTTTGCATTTATTCATTACGTGTGTTTCTATTGCTTTAAAATAAAATACCGTATTTTTCAGACTGTAAGTGGCACTTTTTTCATGGTTTGGGTGTTTCCTGCGACTTATACTCCGGTGCAGCTTATATATTAAAATTTTCAGACTGATAGCCAGGCCGGAATAATTCTAACTGGAACTGATGCTGAGTCTGATGACAGCGACACAGAAGAGGAAGTGGCGCTCTGTTTACATCATGGATCTATGGTTTATCTCCGGAGGTCACACAGAAGTGACACAGAGGATGAAGAATTCAATAGATTTAGTGATTTGGAGTGAGATGGAGAGTTTGGTAAACTTATATTCTGTTGTTTATGCTATAATTATCTGAATAACTGTTAATATTAATATAAGTAACTTCAGTCTGTTGTTAATACTAGAACTTGCCTTTCAAGATGAAATGTCGGTTCCTGGTCTCTGATTTTGCAAAATACATTTCCCCAAAAAGTGCGACTTATAGTCCCGTGTGACTTATAGTCCAGAATATACGGTAATTCTGTCTGTAAATAGAGGCGCCTCTCCACAGATCTGAACTGTAATGTAGCGTAGTGTTGTAACCCGCTTGTCTCCCTCGTGATAGATCGGTTTAATGTGTACTGTGGAATGTTCCAGTCAAAGCAATGACATCGCCATGGAGACGAGCAGGAAGCGGACCGTCCATCAGAAAAGTTGTGCAGTGCACCTTTAAGCCACCACCAGAGGGCACTAAAGTCTGTTTGGGAACTGACCAAAATGGACAAAATAGAGCAACAAACATGAGGGCGTCCAGTTTTTCCAATCGTATCTGGTGGAAAAAAGTCAGGAAAAATGTGGAGAGCAAAACATTTATTTGTTTTGTAGATGGTTTTAGTGACTTTTTTTTTTATTTTATGTTTGCCTCCAATATCGAGTTGTGTTCAATACTGCCCCCAGTGGTCAGCTCATGTACAGCTCCACTGCTTTTGAAGAAGAGATGGACCAAATGACGGACAGGGCAACCCAGAAGACCAACAGAAATGTGTACGCGTTTAGAACGTAGAGCACAAATGAGCCTTAAAGGTGCATTGTGTAACTTTTCTGGTGGAGGGTCCAACAAATATTTTTCTCCATGAAGATGTTATTGCTTTGTCTGGAATGTTTCTCAGTCTCTCGTCTTCATGGAGATGAAACCAGACCAGGTTACAGGTCAGATCTAGGTATTTTTGAGCTATAAAACCACCTGTAATTGAATCAATATAAGGTAGAGCTGTTTAATGTCATACTGTGGAACATTCCAGGCAGAGTACATATAGACGTATCCATAGAAACAAGCAGGTGACGGACCCCTCAAACAAAAAGTTACATATTGCACCTTTGAGAAAAGAATGGCATGAGAACAGATGGGGGTTTGGCCTTTCTAAAATGGGGTTATCTTTTGTGGCGTGGTTAAAGTAAACACATTCGTTGATGGTGATGAGTCCGTAGGCAGTGCGGAACCCCGGCGCTCCCTCTGGTGGCCGGGAGCGGTGGCGTACGGGAGGGCGGGGTCAGAGCCGCACGCCGGAGTCCTGACCGCAGTCGTTGGCAAACACGACCCAGCGTGGTACTGCCCGCCGCATTAGAAGATCTTGCCTTTCTTTTTGTTTTTCTCCAGAGTTCTGAAAACATAAAAAATTGAAAGGGTTGATTGTTAAGTCAGATCAGATCAGTTAGATGAGTGAAGACAGATATAAGTCCATAAAAGTACAATTCCAAGCCTGGTCTGTAAACTTTAAATGCATGTCTGTTTATGCTCCCATAACAAAAGGGTCACTAAATGACAATGTATATCCATAAAATCCACAAGAATGTGTGCTGAAAACAGAGTTGTTGTCCACTTGGTAGCTCTAAACCATCTTAACACTGCTTCTGATTGGTCACATTTCCAGTCAGTCTCTTTTTTAAACCAGTCACTGACCACGTTTACATGATGCCTTTTAACTCCAAATGAACTGTTCTGAATTAAATAGTTCTGATTTAAAATATTTACATGGATTGAGGTTAACATGGAAAACCCATTAAATGGCCTTTATTTAATTCCGCTCAACTTCTGGGGGTGGGGAAGGTTCTGATTGGACATGGACATGAACATATTTACGTTGACCGGAAGAAAACACACACTTCAGCTGCTACTGGCTTTTTTGTCATCTCAGATTGTCGTTCCACCACGAACACAAACATGAGCTGGAATATTCTCTCATCATGCTTTACAGACGTAAAGCATGATGAAGAAGTGAGAAAGAAGATCAACGAGTCAGCGGCTGCTCTACCTCGGCCCACTCCCACATCCCGCTCACAAATCCAAAGAGACGTGGATGAAAGTCCAGAGCTAGGACTGGTGGAGCTGGATCGGCTGGACTGCGTGCGAAGGGCGACCCAACGAACATGCACTGAACCACCGCAATTATTTTACATTTACATGATTGAGGAATAAATTAATTTGGCTTTAAAAATAAACCACCCACTTACTTCGCAATGAACTATTTCTGAACAATAATTTTCATTAGGCATTTACTGTTCACATAATTTTTTAAAAGTGGAATCCATTTTCATTCAGAATCAAAGCTCTCATGTAAATGTGGCAAAAGTCTCTAATCCCTCGCCTCGTTCTTATTTATTTCTCAAAACAAAGGAAAAACTTTGCGAGGTGAGAGCGCAGTCTAAAGTGTCACTGCTGCTGAGAGTCACAGTCAAATAACGAGCCCTGTTACACTGACAGTGATAACAACATTATTCGTCACACTGCTGTGCTTGTGGATGTGGAAGCGCCGGGCTGCTTGAAGATAAAAAACAGCATTGTAATCTAGTTCCTATCATGATTATATAAGAATAAGAATGCCTTTTATCATTGCACAAACTGCACAATTGCAAAAAAGATGCTCCATAGTGGTTTTCTGTTAATGGCATCACACAAAACATCATAAATTAGTGAGACAAGTTCATAAATCAAAAGATAACATTTAAAAAAGCCATAATGTCTTACTGGGTCATTGGGAACCACAAATGTACTAATGTTTGTGATGAAGTCACAACATTCTAACAAGACTTAATGCTCACAAGAGTTCATTTTGTGTTATATAGGACCTTTAAGCTGGACGTAGTGATGTTACCTGGACGCCTCGAGTTTCTGCTGCTCCAGCCTCTGTAGCTCCTCCCACTTGTTCCTCTCGTCCTCAAACACGCGTCTCTTCTCCTCCAGCTCTTTGTGCTGAGCCTCCAGGTTCTTCTTCATCTGCTCGTGTCTCCTCTGCAGCTGTACAGCACAAGCACCACCACAGTCATCATCCAATGTGTCTCGTTTTTTCTTACACTAAGAGAGCTATTTTTTTTTATTTCATGTCCAATCTGAACTGCATATGGACTGTGATATTATTATTATTATTATTATTATACATTTTATAATTGTACTTGGGAAACATTCATGGAAGTGGAAAGACAAAACCTGTTTAAGTCACTTAAAATAGTCTCCAACAGTAAAAATAATAATAATAATAATAAAATCTTTCAAAATGTATGATAACATGAAAAGATACCTGCTATTGTATTTTTTAGCCTTGTCAGCTCGTGCCATTTTGTGTGTATTTTTTTTTGTTTTTTGCGCAATGTTTGACACTTCTCAATTTTTTTTTATGTACGAAAAAAAAAAAAAAAAAAAAAAAACAATTATAATTTAATTTTTTTTAATAAAAAAATTAAAATCTAACTCACCCTTATGTAAGAGACAATACTCCCTACAACTGTACAACTCACTCCTACAACAGATAATACTCCCTACAACTTTACAACTCACCCTTATGGAACAGATAATACTCCCTACAACTGTACAACAACTCACCCTTATGTAACAGATAATACTCCCTACAACTGTACAACAACTTGTCCTTATGTAACAGATAATACTCCCTACAACTGTACAACAACTTGTCCTTATGCAACAGATAATACTCCCTACAACTGTACAACAAGTCACCGCTGAGATATTTTTATTTTATATTTTTAACATCAGTCTTTTGCTATTTTGCAACATATTTAGAAAGTATAATACAATTTCTCTTTGTTATTATAATTTCCCGTGCGCTATTGTGTCCAAATAATTCCCCTTGTGGGTAAATAAAGTTATTCTAAGACTAAATTACCTCAGCCTCCGAGTCCTTGAGCTTCTGCACCTTCTCCTTGACCTTCATCTCGAACACCTGCTCCATCTCCATCTCCATCTTCTTCATCTTGGCCACGTGTTCCCTCCTCTCCTCCTCCATCTGGGCCAGAGGACTCCTGAAGCAGAGGGAGGAAAGGGTCAGATCACTCGCTCCGGAGAAGAGCAACCGCCGACGAGAGAGGAAGACGTGACTGCTGTTACTCTATTCTCAAGTCCCACATTAGGAAAACCAAAATCACACCCGAATCAGTGTCGTTTAAAGTGTGTACGACAGGTTACACTGCTCGAGACTTTCCACAAGTACATCTTGGTTATATTAAAGATCCATTGTGTAACTTTTTGGTGGAGGAATCATTATTTGCTTCTCATCATGTAGATATTGCCTGGAATGTTTCACAGTATGGCATTACGCTTATTTAGCTGGACGGAGACAGCAGGTGACACCACAAGGCATAGTCACAAGTCAGAACTTTTTTTTTTTTTAAAGATTTTTAGGTAATTTAAAGCCCATGTTATTGAGTAAATGCAAGATGGATATGTCTAATGCCATTCAGGGACATTCAGCATCTCCATGGAAACAAGCAGGTGACTGACCCCCAAACCTAAAAGTTGTACATTTAAAGTTATAGTATGTACGTTTTTGGCCAAAATAGACACTTTTCTTTTCCCATATTGGTTGCATTTATTGCACTAGAAACATGTTGTTACTGTGCGTGGGCTTGCATCTCCACAAACCTGACTCTTCTATGGCTTCCTCCTGTTTGTTTCTATGGAAATGTTGTTCCTTTGGCTATAAACTTTACACAATATGGCATAAAACGTATCTATCTCCACTGTGAATGTTCCGAAGTATGGTTTTAACCTTTCTTTAATCTTTAAATACCTGACAATCTGATCTGTTTTTTTTCCATTTGGCAATTTTGGTGAAGTTTATAATTTTACTTTTTCACTGGACAAGGGCATGTAATAAACTGTTACCTAGCAACAATACTGTACACAAATGCAAACACTTGTCTATTTACACAAAATTTATCAAATACATCTTTAAACTGCCATAAATACATCTCTCTTTCATGTAATTTAAAGGTGCACTGTGTAACTTTCTGGCAGGGGGTCTGTCACCTGCTTGTTTCAGTGGATACGTCAGTGCTCTGCCTGGAATGTTCCACAGTATCACATTAAACAGATCTATCTTACATTTATTCAATTACAGGTGGTTTTATAGCTCAAAAATTCTTAGAAAAACAGGCATTCTGACATTCTGAGTGGGGTCACTGCTCCAGAGATCTGACCAGTTACTTGATCTGGTTTAGTCTCCATGGAGAAACGCTTTAAACTTCCTGATTTTTTTTTTATCCATCTTCATAAATTGCCACTTGTCTGATATAAAACTATGACTAATATTTACCACTGAAACTAAATAATGATTAGAAAACCATGAACACCTGTCATAGACACTTTAAACAATTATTAAAAGAATTTCCCCCAAAAAACATTCGTAAACATTCTGTTGAGATTCATTCCCGGTGAGATTTTGACATTACACCCCATGACCTCCTCACAGCATTACAACTGAATTCTGGGTCTTTTGTTTTGTAAGTTAGACACTGGAGAAAGGGGGATGCAGAGAGGGTACGACGGAGGAGAGACAGCGGCAGTACCACGAACATCCAGGAGGGGGCCGCACCTGTGGGCTGAGTCAGGAGGCGTTTACTGGTTAGTAAGGAAACGATGTCATTCTCCATTATCGGTTTATATAATTGTGATTTTCAACAGTATTTTAATACTACATTGTTTGATCAAATAACAATTAAAATGTATTGTCAAAGCTTGAAGGCGCTGTACCAGATTTTTCCATGTATTTGAGCAAAATTGTCTAGCGTTGTCACGAAACACGATGCTAAAATATCTCGATACTGAGGAATAGACTTGATACTCAATACCGATTCCACAAAGATTAAAAAAAACAAAAAAACATGTACCCTTATATCTGTGTAATAAATACTAGTCTATTTGCTCTGCAGTGTTGGGAAGGTTACTTTTAAAATGTATTCCCCTTACAGATTACAGATTACATACCTCAAAATCCATTTATTTACTTTAGGTGAGTAATGTAATCTGAATACTTTGGATTACTTGATATTGTCATGCTTTTTAAACTACATGAATGTACCAACCACATCCTGAAAATTCTTGTTTGTTCTCTTCAAATTGTCTGTTGAGCCCAAGTCTCCATGAACAGGTAAGTGTTTGCTGTAGAGGAGCAAAGACCAGGAAATCTTCATATAAGAAATTTTGTTTGATAAAAGACAATAAAAAGCTCAGTCTTAAGCTTAAGCATATTCAAAATATTTCTAATAGAGAAATGCTTTTTTATATGCAATCACTGCTGCCTTCAATTATGTCCACCTACTGTTAGGTTTACTGTTTAGTCCTGGTTTAGTCCTGGTTTAGTCCTGGTTTAGTCCTGGTTTAGTCCTGGTTTTAGTCCTTATGGTTTAGTTAGTCCTGGTTTAGTCCTGGTTTAGTCCTGGTTTAGTCCTGGTTTAGTCCTGGTTTTAGACCTAGTTTTAGACCTAGTTTTAGACCTAGTTTTAGAGTCCTGGTTTAGTCCTGGTTTAGTCCTGGTTTAGTTATGGTTTTAGACCTAGTTTTAGTCCTGGTTTAGTCCTGGTTTAGTCCTGGTTTAGTCCTGGTTTAGACCTAGTTTTAGACCTAGTTTTAGAGTCCTGGTTTAGTCCTGGTTTTAGACCTGGTTTTAATCCTGGTTTAGTTATGGTTTTAGTCCTACTTTAGTCCTGGTTTTAGTCCAGGTTTAGCCCAAAATGTGAAAACAGGAAAATACCTCCATGTAATCAATTTATTTCAACAAAGTAACTGTAATCCAATTACCACTAATTGAAACAGTAACAGTAACTGTAACTGAATACAGTTACTCATAATTTGTAATCTGATTATGTAACTCCGGTACATGTAATCTGTTACTCCCCAACACTGTTGCTCTTATACTTGTTCTGATACAGCTCAAGATATTTCTAAAGCTATTCAGGAAAGGCTCATTTCTGTCTCGTGAATGTGACTTTTTTAGTATCGATACCTGCTCAAAATAGTATCTAGTTTCGATATTAATATTAGTATCGATTGGTATCTGATTTTCAACATCTTTTGACAACCCTACCCAGCAGTTATATTCGTAAAAAGCTCTTGAAGTCGAAATATGTCCACTGCACTAATGTCTGCATCTAATAAGACAGCATTTTATTCTCTGATGATCAGGAGGTCAGTGTTAACATGCTAGTTGTTGTTAGCTTTGTCCATACTGCTCTGTAAGAGTTATGAGTGCTTATTAGTTCATTGTGGTGAATAATGATGATGCTCTGAACGCAGAAGGTAAGTGAGGACGAACTCTGGACCCCTGCAATATTTAAAGGTCCTATATTACGCAAAATGGACTCTTATGAGCTTTTAGCCATGTTATAATGTTGTTACCTGATCAGAAACAGACCTGGAGATATGTTTTGTTTCATTCACATGTTTGAGCAACTCTTTGTTATTAGTCTGTCTACATCTCCAAAGCTTAAAATGCGTTGTTCAACTTTGTGATGTCATGTAGTGGGAGTTTTCAGCTACACTTAAGAGCTACATTTGACCTTTTTTCAGTAGAGATTTGCAATTCCAGGACTGAAATTATCCAAATGATTCCAGTGAAGACGCATGGGGTTTAAAAACACAGTTCCTGTATTACCACATGACATCACAAGGTGGACCAGAGTATTTTCAGTTTGAGAGATGAACCTAAATATGCAGTTTTTGTGTGTTAAATGTTTGTGAATGAAACAAAACACAACTGCTTGTATGTTTGTGATGAGGAAACAACATTGTAACACATCCTATGGGCTCTTTAAAATGAACTAGTTCTGTTTTTCACACTTTTAAGACAGTGAAAATCAGGTACAGCGCCTTCACTCCATCCGGTGTGCTGATTTGTGTGTATCTGAGCAAAAAGAGCGGTTTGAGTTCATTGATAATGGTTAGGGCGTTGTTAGAGGAGGACAGGGAGAACAGAGTGATCCAAGGAGACCCAGAGAGGAGGCCCGGTGTGGGGGGGAGGAGGAGGAGGAGGAGGCCCCGGTGTGGGGAGGAGGAGGAGGGCTCATTCACGTGGAAACCAAAAAGTGTAAAACACCCACTTACATTCCTTCAACTGTGTCAAGTCTACGGGACAAAACACACAGGCGCATTTCAGTAAAGTTACAACAGCACAGCAAGTCCACAGGTTGAGTTTATGTCATGTCATGGAGAGTAAAGAATTTCTGGAACAAGTTTTGAAACAATTTGTAGCTTGTGTGACATTTTTCCCTTGAAATTAGTCAGTCACAATTCAGATTTCTGTTTTATTGTCTTATTTAAAAAAAATCAGCAGGCGTTTGGTGGCATTTCTATTTGGGCATTTCTTCCTAAGTCATGCCTTACTTATCAAATATAATAGTCATTTTATTTTAGAAGGCAAAGGCAAACTGTTTAACTGAATTAAAAAAAAAGTCCATGACCAAATCTACGCATTTCTTGCATGACTGATGTTCAACTCATAGAACTGTACTTCCTCAAAGTGCATATGACAGATTAGAATACTCAGCTCAATGAAACAGGTAACAAATATTTCAAGAATTTCACACAAAAAAAAAATCATGCCTGGTTCTTTAATTTTGGTGATGTTTATAATGTCACTCAGCAACTATGACATACGTAACATGTCTAAATAACACAATAGTTGTAATTAGATTGAAAATAATACATGACATCACCTTTATTTAGTTAAATAAAGGTTTAAAGTGTCAGAAAAATGCCTTTGTTGTGCGTAAACTGCACTTTGGCTCGAATTTTATGCGTTGATGTCATAGCTAGAGGTTTTCAATTTTAGAACTCATCGCTACTTCCTGTAAATGTGTACTTTTCAACTTCAACTTTTTACACTGCTACTGAACTGATGTAAAACTGATAAATATTGACCACATGTATCATCTCACCAAACTAAGTCATACTAGGGCTCCTCGATTATGGAAAACATCATTATAACGATTATTTGGGTCAATATTAAACAATTATTTTTTAGTTACACGATGTATTTTATTCAGCATTTCTCTCTCTCAAAAAAAACAAAACACTTTGTTACTGGTAATTTACGCAAAACTTTCAAATTGAAAATATAGGCTACAAATATATAGTACCTACAGTTTTGTGATGTATAAAATATAAAATAAATAAAATATACTTTGAATATGAAATAAGGAATGGAAAAAACAAATATATCCAAAATAAACTATATATCCATCTGTTCTACAATCTCCATATTTAAAAAAAATTAAATAAATATACTAATTTATATAAAAAATAAACTCTGTTAAACGTTTCAACTCGATTATATGAGTTTGATTAATTGCACAGCCTTAAGTCAAACCTGAAAACCTTATGTTATTAGGTAATTATGTTTTTTTTTTTTTTTTTTTCAGACCAAGGGCTTGTTTCTGTACCTCAGTTTTTTCGACTGCTGCTTTTGGCACTGTCGTCCTGTCTCCAGCAATAGGAAGACAGTGCCAAAACCTGTATAAACCTGCAACATCACATGACCACTCTGAGGAAAAACGCTAGTGAGCAGTCGAAAGATATGAAGGTCAGGTATGAAAACAAACCCCTGGTCTGAAAAAAGAACCTAATAACATAAATCGGGAGACCAAATAACCTGAAAACCTGCCATATGCACTTTAAGACAGGAGCAGAGACTCACTTGGTGGAGAGTTGTGCTTTGGTGCGATTGTTGTCCACTCCGTTGTAGGTGACCGCAGCCAGTTTTCTGCTCCTGTAGTTCTCGTAGTGGACATTGTTGGTGACGTCCTTCAGGTCCTGCATGTGGGTCCTGGAGACAGAAAATACAAGAGTGATCCAGGACCGAAAGAGAGATATTCTGATACTTCTCAACAGGTGTGTGACATTAACTGTGGGCACTGCTCTGTCTAAGGCTTTGTTAAACTTTAATCAGACATCACAGGTTCATAAAAATGTGTTGCTTAAATCTATTTTCTCTTTTTCTTTCTAAACTCTCATCAGTCTGTGTTTGTTAATGTGTGCATAATGTGTCACCATGGTACCTGCTGAACATTCTCCCATAGACATGTATACAGTGCTCTCCAGCGTGCAGAGTATCAAAGTATCAAAGTAGTATTTTCCGCACTATAGGGCACACTTAAAAGCCTTTAATTTAATCAAAAAACGACTACACGCCTTATAATCCAGAGCACATTATATATGAATTTATCGGGATGTCTTACTACAACTTTAGTAAACTACAAAGTTTACATTACGGCTCCCGTAGTCAGGAGCATCAGGAGTAATACATACTGTGATTCCTTTTAATATAAAAATGCACCTGTCAAGAGACACACTTACAACTCCCATTTTAAACTCAAGACTGTTATAAAGTGAAAGTGTGAGGTGTGTGGGAGCAGTGGATGAGAGAAGGAGAACACACATTCACCAAGACAGAGAGACAGCGCCGAGCGACTTACGCCACGATCTGCCAACGGATCGTGGACGCCCGGGATAAGGATCAGTATCAACTGTGGTCCGAGCTTTCACCAAGACCCGAATCATCACTGAACTGCCAGGGAACAGTAACCACACTGACTCGGATAATGACGAGAGGGATGTGGATGTGCTGGACGCCGGAATCACCCAACTGTTTGAACTATTATGACTTATTGTGAATACACTAACAATTTAGCGTCTCAGACAATATTTTTTTACACGTTACAATTGAACAAAGTTGAGAGTTATTGTGAATGCCTTAAATAAAGTTTGACTAACTAATCTAACTGTTGTGTTTCGTTTAATGGGGATTATAGTTTGGTTCAGTTTATATGTGAAAAAAGTTTGAAAATAGACCATTCAATGACAGTGTGGTATGTCATTGAATGGTCAGTATGTGTTTTACAGGTGGTGCGTTCAAGTGTACCTGATGAGCATGTCTCTGAGGATGGTGAAGTCACAGTGGTCACCGTTTTCAACTGTGGAAAAAACAAGATTACATTAGGAATTACAGTGTTATTTATTCAAATTCTATTGTTTAAATAAAGAGAGTTTTTTATTATCATCGTGGTGTTAGAAACTGTTTTGAAAATTGAGTCTATTCCTTATTATCGAAGTGGAGTTTGAAATTTTAGCATAGTGACCAAACTGGTCCCGTTTGGATGAGTTCTGATGCCCGGGCCGTACCTTCTGCCACTCCCCAGGGGTACTGCCTCCCTCGGACCCGCTTTCCGTTCACTTCGATGATAGTGTTGCTTCCTACTACGGCCAATGGCAGTTTGTCCTGTTCAAACAGCACAAGTGTAAACATAACCACAACCACGCACATATATACAAACACACACACAGGCAGACATACAGTGACACACACGCAGACACACATGCACGCAGACAGAGTTTTTAAAGACTTGTGTGGACACCTTGATCTTCTTGACCATCCTGTTCTCCTCCTCGTCGTCTGTCTCTGGAAACTCGTAGATCTTGATTTTGTGTTCTTGGATTTCACGCATTATCTACAGAGAGGAAAGAGAATATTTATTTATTTATTTGACCTTTATTTAACCAGGATCTATGACACATGTTTTTAGTGATAGGGGAAACACTACCGGTCAAAATTTTTAGAACACCACACTTTTTAAATTTTTAAAAAAGTTTACTCTTTACTGTTGACCAAAAGTATTCTAAACTTTTGATTGATGTGTGTGTCCATCTTTGTCAGATATAACAGCTGCACACACTCGGGACTCGTTCTTTCTACAACAGAAATCAAATATTCTTCAGAAAGTTCTTCCTAAGTCTGTTGCAGAAGTTCCCATAAATGTGTGGCACTTGTAGGTTGCTTCACTCTTCTGTCCAGTTCATCCCAAACCAGCTCGATGGGGTTTAAGTCTGGACACTGTGCTGCTGGACACTCCAGGTTTTCAAGCTTTACCATCTTGTTCTTTTTTCCTGAGGACGTTTTGGCAGAGCTTGGACTTGTATTTTGTATCTTTTTTTTTTTTAACCTCTGTCTGTTCAGTTCTTACCTTTGTACCATTTCAAGTTCTTCATTAGACTTGCACGACTTGAATTGCAATAAATAACTGGAAAAAATTAGGGTGTTTTACAACTTTTGGTAGTATAATTCTTGACTGATATAATGCAAGAGTGTAAAATCAACCATAATTACTGAGCCGTCATCCATTCCCAAGTTACACTCTGATGGTTATGGTTTTATTTAGACCATAAAATGATATTGCTTCATTTGCATATGAAAACAAATATCAAAACATTTCTCCCTGTATGTGGTAATCTACAAGAACGGGTTCAAGTTTCATTTCAATTATATGTAACTATTTGTTTGACTAAATTATGCTGTAGAGAATTACAAGTTACAGGTCAGATTTGTAAAGAGGCAAGTCAACTCACAGCAAGAATGCATGTTTTTCAAAGTATTTTACTAACAATAAAAATATCTGTTAAACACCTCTAATTGTGTATAAGCTGACTGTCACACTGGAATATTCGAGGCGAAGCAACAACAAGCAGCAGGACATGGACCCTTCGCCAAAAAAGTCACACCGTGTCCTTTTTGCTATAATAAGAACAAGTACTGAGACTAAAACTAAACAAAATCCCTTGCCTCAATGCTTAACGCTGTGTTCTGACCTGTTTCTTGAACTGCTGGCACTCCTCGGGGGTGAGTGTGTCTGCTTTGGCGATCAGTGGGATCACGTTGACCTTCTCATGGAGCCTCTTCATGAACTCGATGTCCAGCGGCTTCAGTCTGCACACAGCAAACAGGACTCACATGAGAACTCGAAACACATGATGGTTTTACATGCTATGGCACGTTACACTGACTTAAAGGGTCACTGTGTAACTCTTCTGGGTCTGCAACCAGTATGGTATTACACTAATCTGTCTTGAGATATTTTTGAGCAATAAACAAACTCCTGTAGTTGAAAAAATCCAAAGACACCCATGCTTACTGTCAGTGGGGTCAGTTCACCACAATCTAAACCAGGGGTGTCCAAACTTTTTTCATCAAGGGCCACATATCTAAACACAGACGAAGCAGAGGGCCGATTGAGGGCTGCAGACTGATGCTCAGTACAGGGAATAATTGAAATGTGTGCATGTTTAACATGCTAGAATGAAACATCAGTCTTTATTCATGCTAAGATCCTTAAAACCACACACTAAATATGAAATATTAGCTTAATCAAGGTAGATTTCAAAAAACTTGCAGTAAAAAAATATGTTTTAATTGATGCAAGGTAATTTGGGCCAATTCACCTGGAAGTCTGAGGGCCAAGAAAAATTTGTCTGAGCACCGCATTTGACCCCTGGGCCATAGTTTGGACATGCCTGATCTAAACTGTTTGGCTTAGGGCTGGGTGTCATTAAGAAGTTGCCAATACGATACATACCTCTATACATAGGCCACGATACGATACATATCTTGATACAGTGCGCTTTCGATTCAATAAGATATATTCCAAATCGATTCGATACGGTTCAGTAAAATATAAAGGCTAAATCGTGGCTGTGATACTAAAAGTCTTTGTTAAACTGCTTCTTGTGGAAAATTCATATGAAACACAAACATTTTAATCATCAAAACAGTGAAAATCTCAAATGTGTTGAGTTTCCTTCCACAAAACTGTAGCTGTTACAAAATCATTTAGTAAAATACACCAAAAAATACTCTTGGTGATATATCGATACAGCAGCCCACAATATCGATACTGTATCATCACATTAAACGATAAGATATCGATATTTCAATATTTTTGCACACCCCTAGTTTGGCTTGCAAGTCTCCATGGAGATTCTTAAGTTTATGGGAATACTGTGGAACATTCTGACCACATCTCCATGGGGACAAGCAGGTGAAGGACCCTCCACCAGACAAGCTATACAGTGCACCTTTAAACCTATCCTAACCCTAACCCATTTCCACGAGACTCATGTGTACAGATCTAAAGTGCAGGGTTTAAAAAAAGTGATTGGATTGAGCTTAATCTTGCAGCCTTATCATTTACGGTCATGTGCGTGTTCTTCCTGTGTCTCTGTATCCTCCTCTCTCAGTTTCCTCCTCCCTGCAGACTGAAGCCTTCTCCATCACAGGAAGTGTGCGGCCACAGGGCAGATACAATGACAGGACCCCAGTGAACACAACAGGCAGTGGTGGAAACACTACACCACAATGGAAGACATGAGCAGCTGTCGTAGGTAAGGTTGCAGTACAAATACTATTAAATACAGGATACTATGAGATTCTTGACCATTTGAAAATTGTACTTCAGGTTGATAACAGAAACAAAAAATAATCTCTCAGTATTTTTGGGCCAATAATCAGATAATGAAAAGATAAGATTCACAATTCATCTGAATATCACTGTCTATAACATTTATTATTTGCAATTTTCCAATTTTGTCAAAAATCTGAGAATATATTGTCCCACTCCATGTCCACCTGTGAATGTAAACACCCCATGAGTCTCCTCCTCGTAAAGTGCATGTGAACTGTCTGACCCTCACCCACTCGGTACAAACTGAGAGACGCTGATGTGGAAATCAAAGTATAGAGCTGACAAGCAAAGTGCACAGGATGAATCTTATGAAAGGAGGAACGTTTCACGGTCGTGTCATCAGTGAGACTCCTCATCACCTTTGAGAGCACTTAAAGGGACTGGTGCTTATATCCATCCCTTTTCACCATACTGTAATAAATACTGGGCCACATACAATCAGAGAGGGTACAGGGCAGTGGGGGAGGGGAGATCGATCTGCCCCACAGCCTCAAGAGGAGAACTGGCCTCTTTCACAAATATGGAACTGCATTTGATGAAAAAGGCAGCACGTTTGAAACTATGCGTTTTAGTAAAATGTTTAGAAACAAATTTAAGGAATAATGAAAAGCCAAGTGACACATTGTGAACAGAATTAGTGCCGCTACAGTGTCCGGCCCCTCCTCCTGTACACTTGAATGGCAGTTGTTTGTGAAGTGCTACATTCCATAAGGATTACAGGGCGCTCCTTTGACCTTTGGGCCAATAATGACCCCTCATTTCCCTCACACTATTTTGGGCTCTTCCTCTCATTCTTCCCCTGCACAGTCACGCTGGAGCTGGAGAGGTGAGCAGCACTTCGTCACATGTGTACCATTTTCTTACCAAATCACCAAATGTGGCAATCATTAAGTGAAGAAAATTGACTTGAGAGGCAGGGTAACAAAATGGGACCAAACTATTCTTACAAATGTTTCTATAAAGTGAAGAGCATGTGCAAATTCACTGTTGTTGCAGTCCTACCCGTGTCCAGAGGGGGCGATGAAGTACAGGCAGCAGTGGATTCTGCTGTCGGGCATCTGTCGGCGGTTCACACGAGACTCTGAGTTCAGGTAGTCCTCAAACTTACTATCTATGTGGTCGATGACGGGCTGCCAGCTGCACACAGAAACACAAGGGTGTGAAAATGCACAATGGAACAGCAGAATTTCTAGATATAGTCATTTTGTGTCTGTTGGGTTTGTTTGGGTCGGTTGTTTTTGCCATTACCAGTTGCTGTTGTCGACGGCATCTCCAAAGCCCGGGGTGTCCACGATGGTGAGGAGCAGCTGCACACCACCCTCTTTTATTAGCACTTTGGACTGTTCCACCTGACAGTGACACGGACACACAGACAGAGACAGACAGGGACACAGTGTTAGAACCAGCAGATTTACAGTCAACAGTGTGTGTTTTTCTCCTTAAGGCACTCCCCATCAACCCAAAACATACACAACACAGTAGGTCAAATCCTCCAGCTCAAGTTCCTGACCAATGATCAGACAAGGTTTTGTGATGTGGGACCATAAATAATGCAGCCCTAAAGTACAGTCTGCTCAGTCCAGACACAAGCCATCCAACCCAATCCACTTTATTTAAATTGTGCACGGTCACATTTTTATACAGTGCTTTTTCATCTTCACTGCCCTCAAAGTGCTTTACATCAAGGAACCACTCACCCACTCAGCCACTCTTACACACCGGTGTACGCAGACACTGGGGGCATGGTGGGTTAAGTGTCTCTCCCAAAGACAGAAAGACAGCTGTGGGAGCTGGAATTGCTCTGCTCTGAATTGCTGGAACTGACCGCTCAACCAATGTTGTTTATGTCAATAGTGGAATTCTAACTGTCAACCTTCGGCTCTGAGGACAAACTCTCTACCACCTGTCGCCCTTTAGTATTTTTTAAACTAACATTTCCAAAGTGCTGCACAGAGAAAATCAGTGCTCATAAAAATAATGATCATAATGACATCCTAAAACAATAAAAAGAGGCTGCGAATAATAAATAAAACCATAGCTGACATAGTTGAGCGTTGCCTCACACTTCTGGGTTCATTATGTGACTATGCAGAGGAACCTGAAGATCACAGACACATGTGGAGCCAGAATGCAGTCAGTCAGCTCTCAGGTACAGGCTTCAGGGTGCTCTATGCTCTACCACAACATCACCACAAACATGATCCAAGTTGGAAAACAACAGGCCTGTCACGGTTGGGGATGTTCCGATCTGATACTGGTATTGATATCGGCCACAGATCTAGGCATTTTTAGAGTATTGGCTTGGATCCGATTGAGTGAACAGATTGGGCGATGCGGCGCATAAAGCCTTCTGCACAGAGCTGTCACTGCCAACACTGCAGCTAACACCTAGAGCAGCTTAAACACACCCTGAGGAAGCTCTAAATCCACACAAAATATGATTAATGACAGGGATAGTGTTTTGTTTTACCTCTCATGTCCAAACTGCTGAGCAGAGCCACAGGCACTAACTTGTTTACATATGTTAAGTAGCCATTTGCTTAGGCAGGGTTTCTCCTCTTTTTACAGGCCTCAAACATAAATAAATAACATGGTGAAAAACATCACCTCACGTCTCTGTCACAGTGTTCTGAAGCAGTTGTACTGTGGTCGACTTTACGCCATTATTTTACAATATTGTAATCGGTACTGGATTGGTATCGGGAATTGCAAATATTAAAAAATCTGTATCGGATCTGTAGTCAAAATAAACACGCTCAGGACTTCCCTACTTCAGCCCCAGACAGGAGCATAGCTGTGGGAGTGGGCAGTGTCTCACCTGTACAGTCTTTTTGATTCGATGTGAGGGCCCGGGGTATTCTGCAGAGTACAGGTCTGTGAGGAACAGGGAGTTGATGAGTGTGGACTTGCCCAGGCCCGATTCACCTAAACACAGAGAACAGAGACACAGATCAGATTAGAATCACAAACTCTATACTCAACATTAGGCCTAAGCAGTTGACTGAATTTTATAAAGAACTGTACATAAGAATTTCATTTGAAATTCCACAAACGTCACCCAAATATGAGGCAAACATGTTCAAATCTATTACTGCTTCAATCATAAAACTGATTTATTTTTTATTAGAAAAACATTGGACATGTATATTACAATTGTTTATGTTACAATTTGGTGTTTTGGTTGTCAAGACAATTATCCAGTCAGAAAGCAGAACGAGCCTCACATGAGTCTGTTGAAATCCAGTTGGTTTAAATCCAAATTGCCTCTCTCTGATCTGAACGGTCACCACATGAGAATTGTCTGTCCATATACTGAGAATGAGACAAACGTGGATGTGTCATGTATCTGCAGGTTAAGGCTCTGGGGACACAGGTTCAGCTGTGGTTTAGTTCCCTTTTTTTAAACTGTATTAGTGCAGCAAGTACATACAGTTCCTGATAGAGAGCGCAGTGCCCTCTTGAGTCTAAGACCAAAAGCCCTAAATTAGTGCACAAGAAAATAAAACCTAAACCACTTGATAATATTTTAGCATTTTAAAAGTTCCTATATTATTTAAAATTTACATTCAGACAGGACTACATTCTTACTGTACTCCATACACTACAACAACTCACCCTTCATTATTTCATCTTTGTACCGTTTTCCCCTTACGACCTCTTGTATATAGCTGAGATATATTTGCATTACTACGTTTCTTTTTTTCTTTTTTTTTTTTTCTTTTACTTGTACATGCATTTATATCACTATGCCTAATTTTACTTTATACTTATTTTGAAGTTATTATTACCATTTATTACGGATGGTAAAAGATCTCGTGAAACTAAATTACCACAAAATTGTGAACGCATGAGCAAAATGATCTTGTGAAGTTTTTTTTTTTTTTTTCCGTGTGTTTATATTTGGATTGGACAAAAAAGGGTCACATGTTGGTGAGTCACATCTGTTACAGTTCCAAAAAGCAGTAGTAGAAATTATGAAATCAAATAAATACAAAACTGTGAGGCAAAAACTGGAAATTGAATCGTGAAACGTTAAATGTTAAAAGTATTCGAAATGATGTTAAATCTCGTCTTGTCTTGTGGAAATTGTGTCTCGTCCCAACCCTACCATTTATATACATACTTTTTTTTTTACTCTTTGTTGTTATAATATATTGTGATGTGTAAGTTACTATCTCCAAATAATTTCCCTTGTGGATCAATAAAGTTTTTTAAGTCTAATACGACCACAATAACACTGAATACCGCTGTGTCCGTTTTGTGTAGTTAACCTGAGAGATACGGAGCATTTAAACCATGTTGTTAAATGTGTCTGCGAAGAAAGAGGAGCAGAGCACAGATCTTCCTCGTGCTTTTTAAATGGGCCCATTGTTTGTCAGATCACACTTGCGCTCAGACTTGGCGATCAGCTGTGGGCCCACATGTCCCGCTGAGACAGGACCACAGCCAAAGAGCACAGGGACAGCTACGCTTTTAGACACACGCAGCTAAGAGCGGAGATACTGACAAAAATGAAGATCTGTGTTATCTAAAAATGATTCAGACAAGACTACTCAACTCACCCTTATGTGACAGATAATACTCCCTACAACTGTACAACAACTCAGCCTTATGTAACAGATAATACTCCCTACAACTGTACAAGTCACCCATATGCAACGGCTAATGATCCCTACAATTGTACAACAACTCACCCTTATGTAAAAGATAATACTCCCTACAACTGTACAACAACTCACTCCTACAACAGATAATACTCCCTACAACTGTACAACAACTCACCCTTATGGAACAGATAATACTCCCTACAACTGTACAGCAACTCAAGCTTATGTGACAGATAATACTTCCTACAACTGTACAACAACTCACCCTAATGTAACAGATAATACTCCCTACAACTCTACAACAACTCACCATTATGAAACAGATAATACTCCCTACAACTGTACACCAAATCACCCATATGCAACAGATAATACTCCCTACAACTGTACAACAACTCAACCTTATGGAACAGATAATACTCTCTACAACTGTGCAAAAACTCACCATTATGGAACAGATAATTTGCAGATTTGTAGTTACTAGGGATGGGATAAAATCTCTGCACTGGCGAGTTACATTTTTTGACCATGTGTCATCCCAAAAAGCAGAGCTAAAGTGACAGCAGAAATATGAAATAAAGTAAATAAAGAACTGGGAAGCTAAAACTGGGGAACTGAAAAGCACAGTGTATTAATTATAGCCTAAAGAATATCAACATGTCATCTTGTCCTATTCTCGAAGGTCCAGTGTTTAAGTGTCATTTTTAATAACCCTATACCCACATTTATCTCATGTATTTGAACAGAATTTGTCTTGCTATAGCACAGATACATGGCATAAGCAGCTGTTGAGGTCCAAATACGTCAGCTGTTGTGTACTGTCTGCATCCAATTATAAAGGGTTCCATTGTCCGATAATCAGGAAATGCGAGGTTGGCATGCTAGTTGTTGGCTCCACTCTGGCCTCTCAAAGTTGTGATAAGAGCAACTGAATCGAAATCCCAATCTGAATGGATGCAATTAGCAAAATGCAAAGGATGCAGTTTTTGAGGCACCAGAATTTCCGCCACTAAAAACTAAATCTCCTGTCTCCTTATTCTGCGTAAACGCTCCTAACTCTGTAGTTTAGATCTGTGAAGGACAAAAAAAAAAATAGTATAAAGTTTGTCAGTTCATATTTGAGTTTTGTGTCAATTCTTCTTGGCACGTTTGAATTGTGAAAAATGAGAAAAGTAACAACAATGTTTCCCATTAATAGAAGAGACTATAGTGGTCCCCTGCAGTCTAAAATTCTCTCTGCAGTCTCAAGAGAACATGGTCTAGATCAGTGTTTCCCAAAGTGTTTTTTCTGGGGACCCACATTTTAAAAGTAAAAACAAATAAAATCTTCGCAACCCAAGTCAACAGACATTATTCGTAAACCTCAAAATAAATTTGTGAGCATTATTGAACATTAATGAGGATATTTTATTGTTGACTGAGTGATCGTGTCTCTCTGAACAATTAGTATTACTCGTCACTTCTTCTCCGTGCACATAAGGAGCGGGGAGGTGCACGAAGAAGAAGTGAGGACCGGTGAGGGGTGCAGATTGTGACAAAGCGACCCAAAAAAAAAATTTCTTGTGACCCACCTCCACCTCACGACCCTGTCTTTGGGAAACAATGGTCTAGACGTTGGCATGACAAAATCTCATTAACATAAAACGTAACTACTAGGGGTGACACGAGATACAGTTTCCACAAGATGAGACGAGACACGACGTTGGACCTACGAGAACGAGACAAGACAAGATTATTTAGGCTATAATAAACACTTTATGCCTTTCAGTTCCCAATTCTAGAATAACCATTTTTAATTTACTGTCATTGTAGCTCTGCTTTTTTGGAAGTACGCATTCTCAAAAACTTAACTTGCAAACTAAATTTTTTTTCAATCCAAAAAATTAAAAAATAAAAAAAATCACACAAGATCATTTTTAGTATGTGTCATCTTGTGTTTTGTAAGATCTTGTCCCATCCCTAGTAACTACACTGTTCAAAAAGACTGCTTAAACATGAAATACAAGAAATAAGTGGCATTCAAACACTACAAATTAAATGAAAGTTTATTAATATAGAAAGTGTGCCACTGTAGTCCGAACAAAATCAATGGGAAACTCTGAACAATTACACATTATGTTATATTGTTTGGCCCTGCTTAGAATACAGTCATTTTACAGGCTCAAATAAGAACTACCACAATACTTCCTCTTACCATAAAATGTGACATCCCCCACAACACATGTATTTATCTCTACAGTTGCTTAACATGATTAGCTACAGCGTGCACTCAGTTGTATATAGGATTAGTATATTTTTATTGCTACTTATTTACAATTCATTATTACAGTTTATATTTTTTACTCTTTGTTATTAAAATATATTGTGATGTGTGAGCTACTGTGTGGATTAATATGAAGTTTAAGTCTCAGTCTGAGCTAATTGTAATCGGTCAGTGTATTGCGATAATGAAATCAGTTAGAATCCTGCATGCGTTTTGTCCTCTGCAGGAGTTTACCACATGACCTCGCATGTGGCAAACAAACGCCGCTGTATGGGTATTTCCCTGTGATTAGTTAAATATTGACCGGTGAGTAGCCTGTGCCACTGTTGATTGTGATTGTGGAGAGTGGAGCTGGGCGGACTCAAAGGTCAAACCGGCCCGGATCTCTCCATCACAGAGTCAGTGATCTGTACAGAGCCGCCGCCTTTGTTTAAAAGGGCTAACTAAGAAAGGCAAACAAACAAAACAATAGAACCACTGGTCTTTATGGCACGTAGGGCTGGGCGCTAGGACACAAAACGGAATTAAAATTTTCTGTGCACTATGTGACTTTTTGGTTCGGGATCCATCACCTGCTTGGTTTTTATGTTATTGCTCTGTCTGTCTCATGGCTATTGTGTTCAGTGTTTTTGTAATTAAGAATAACTCAGCATTATCTGTTATCAGTGAAAGCTGTATTTGATTTCCACATTTACATTTACCTCGTATCTGGGGACACAGTAAGGTCACGTTTATAGAATTTAAAATGAAAGTTTTACACACAGTTAATTTAAAAAGACATCTGATAAAACAAGTTTATACATTAGGTCTAGACTTTTTGCTCAAAATACTGTTTCACTAAATCACTAAATGTGTAGAAAATAATAATAATAATAATAATAATAATAATTTGACTTTGTTAGAATCAAACCTACTAAACTTCAAAGTAAAAATTGTTGTTGAAAAAAAAAAAATTTGGAGTATCACCTTTTTGAATTGGGGAGATGTTCCAAAGTTGCTTTAAAAAGTCCTCTGATAAGTCAATGTTGTTCATTTTTTAATTCAAAATACCATATTTTCCGCACCATAGGGAGCGCTCATAAGCCTCCAACCCCATCAAAAAATGACTGCACGCCCCAGAATCCAGAGCACCCTATACACGAATCCACTCGGTGTCCCAGCACGACTTCAGTAAACTACAAAGACGCACTACCCACAGAAGCAGACAAAGAGAAAAAGTGAGTGCCACTTCTAGACACAACTGAGTCACTGCGAACACGCCGACAATCCGTTGGTCCCAGACAGCACCCTCCCTACACGCCAGAACTGAACAAAGCCCAGAGTCACCGTGAACGCACCAAACAAACAAAACCACTCACCCATCACACTGTTGGGTTTCCTTTAAAGTCTGGTGCAGTTTATTTGTGAAAAAAGTTCAAAAATAGACCATTTAATAACAGTGCGCCTTATAATCCAGAGCACCCTATAGTGCGGAAAATACGGTAGTTGTTTAAATGTTCACAAAATGTCTGGAAAAATATAAAAGAATTTAAACTTGCTAGAGAATTGTTCCGAGGAGAGCCATTATTATTATTTTCTCCACTTTCTTATCAGCTACAAAATTGTCTTAAATATTTCTCATAATCAAGTGGCCCCAGTGAAATATCCGGTCCAGTGACATGGAGCCAGAACGACGAGCATGCTGACAATCTACAAGTCTGTTTATCTTTCAATATAACAAACTGGACTCCAGCCAAATCTCCACACTGTCCAAGATACCAGCTATTTTAAGAGTCCATCTTCAGCTCAAACACAGCTCACTCTCATGCTGATTTTCTTGCGCAAAAAGCCATTGATTACAGCTACGCCGTGTAACTTCTCAGGTGGAGGGTTTGTCGAATGCTTTTCACCATGGAGATGTTGTTGCTTTGTCTGGAATGTTTCACAGTATGGCATTAAAACTTTCTATCTTCAAGGAGACCAAAACAGACCAAGTCACAGGTCAGATCTGTGGAGAGGAAACTGCGCTCACAGTCAAAATACCTGTTTTTCTAGCTATTTTTGAGCTACAGAAACACCTGTCATTGGATAAATGTAAAGGTAGAGCTGTTTAATGCCATACTGTGGAACATTCCAGGCAGAGCAATGCCATATCCATAGAAACAAGTAACAAGAAGGACCCTCAATCAAAAAGTTACATAGTGCACCTTTTAACTTTCTTGTCTATGTAAATCTTATTTCTTTATCTAGAATGTCTAGAATGTCATTAAACTAATCTATTTTATGGTGACAAGCCCCCAGGCCAAGTAACAGCTAAGATCTGTGGAGAGGCGAGCTCACTTACTGTAGATATGCATGTTTTTCACAGTATTTTTGAGTAGTAAAACCTGTAACTCAACAAATGCAACATAGAATAGATGAGTTTAACTGTGAGACCTTTCAAGCAAAGCAATAATATCTCCATGGAAACAAGCTTGTGACCGGCCCCCTACCGGAAAAGTTCCACAAGTGCGCCTTGAAACTACAGTAGAACAGCTCTGCATAGGCTCATGTTGCAGCGCTCTCCCACAGGAAACAGCAGTGACCTGGAGCAACATTTCCCTCCAAACACGCAGCGGTCACACCAGAAGGATGTTGGCCCCGAGACAAGAGCCACATCAGAGCCCCTCAAACAATCCAGTGTTACAATCAACACGAAGCTCCAGCAGGAAGCCACATCCAAGAAATACAGGCAAACTAAACAAAAGTAAAAGTATCGAAAAACACACACTAATCGATGTTGAAACTTGTATTGAAAGTAGATACTCAAACACTATGGGACCTACCTGGACCACTGAGGGATTACACTAATATAAGGGCACATGGGAATACAATAAAGTACCATATTTTTGGGACTACAAGTCACACTTTTTTTATGGTTTGGGTGTTTCCTGCAACTTATATATTAAAATTTTCTTGTGTATCAGTATCTGCTGCTACTATTACTCCTGTACCACTGTCACTTCACTCTGCTGCACATGTCTCCTGTAGAAAAAGACTCTGTCCTGCTGCAAAGAGTGAAATATGCAGCTGAAAAAAAGTAATCGAGCAGCAGAAATAAAGTTTGAAGTGAGCGAGAAACTTGTGAGGGACTGGTGAAAGGCAGAGATGGAAAACAGCTTCAGGGCAATCGGGTGGGTGCACCATGAAACTTTTCTGAAGTCACTGGATGGATGGACAAAGCCTGGACTTCAGTGATGACCGAAACCATCCTGTCGGGATTCCAAAAGGCGGGAATAATTCTAACTGGTACTGATGGTGAGTCTGACAACAGCTACACGAAAGAGGAAGCGGCGCTCTGTTTACCTCCAGAGGTCGCGGAGTTGTTCAGAAGTGACACCGAGGATGAAGAATTGAATGGATTTAGTGATTTACAGTGAGATGGAGAGTTTGGTAAACTTGTTCTGTTCTGTTGTTTATGTTATAGTTTATCTGAAGACCTGTTCATACGTGACGTTAACAGTCTGTTGTTCTCTCTTCTATTGTTATTACTAGAACTTGACTTTCAACATGAAATGTCTGTTCCTGGTATCTGATTTTATAAAATAAATTTCCCCCAAAAAGTGTGACTTATATATGTTTTTTTCTTCTTCATTAAACATTTTTTGGCTGGTGCGAGTATAATAAGCGACTTATAGTCCGAAAAATAAGATACTACAATTTTAAGATGCAATGAGAAACTTTTCTGATGGAGTGTGCGCCTCCTGCTTGTCTTCATGGAGATATTACTGTTTTGCCTTCAGATCTATGGAGAAGCGAGTCTGCACATGGTAAGAATCTATGTTTTCTTAAGGTATTTTTGCGCTATAGAACACCTGTAATTGAAATGGAGATATGTTTAATGCTCTACTGTGGCACATTCCAGTTAAAGAAAAAACATCTCCATGGAGACAAGCAAGCAGCAGGCCCTCCACCTTAGAAGTTCGTGCACCTTTAATGTTGAAAATCACATTCTATTTGGAAGCTGTATGGAGTTTTGAGTTTTATTCCTTAATTTTGAAATCGAGTTTGAAATTTTAGTTTTATGACAAGACTAGATCCATGTATTATGTATCGTATCGAATCATGAGGGAGCCTGTGATTCCCAGAAGAAAAACATGCAAACATCTCCCCTATATCTCTGACCATAAAGATACACAGGCAGAACGAAGGGGCACTGACTTACTCGGAGCACAGGGGGAGTTCGAAATGCCAACCACAAACAACACAATGAAATGATTCAAGAGAAGCAGCATAGAGCCTGATCTTACCCACGACCATCAGGGTGAACTCAAAGCCCCTCTTCACGGACTTCCTGTACACTTGGTTGGGCAGGCTGGCGAAGCCCACATACCCCTCCAGATTCTTCTGCTGCTGGAAGATACAATAAACATCAGATTTAGTCATACATTTTAGACTTTTTTTAACACTTATTTAAACAATCTGTGAAATTGTATTGGATATAGTTGGGAGCGCCCACTAACAAAAGGTTGGATCACATTTGAACAAAACTATTTTACTGTACATGAGCTGCTTTATTACTCACTGTTCAACATCTTAGGATAAAGAATAAGCCTAAGTACACGCCAGTACGATACTGGCATTGGATATTGGCGTAGATATTTAAAATTTTTGTGTATCAGTTAAAAGATATCCGATATTTTAGTCTATAAATTGGTGTACCACTGTGCCACTGATGTTTACTGTACAATGTTGGTACAAAATGACTCAAAATATATATATTTTTTTAACAAAGCTGTTTAGTTGAAATGATAAATAACAATTACCGAACATATTTGGATAGTTTTTTTTAAGATGTAGTGGTATCAGGCATCAGTAGATACTTAAAGCCAGTAATATTCAAGTATCGATATTTGCATCAGAACTGAAAACCTGTCAGTGCATCCCTAAATGTCCCAAAAATTATATAAAATAATTAAAGTGTACCAAATCTGTGGAGATAACCAAGAATGCCAATAGAAGCTTTGACCTGAAATGCTACCATGATGCTTCCTTAATATAAACAGAAGTTGAACATTTGATTAATTATCCTGGGTTACGTCAGCGACTCAATGACTCAGCTTCACTTAGTCTGTGTTTTTCAAGCATAACCAACAGGAAATCCCTTAAAAGTTGCATTTTCCATTAAATTCTGTGTTTTCGGTCACACCACGCTCCCCTCACTATGACAGCATCTATGTCACCTCCCACAAAGAAATCTGCACGTTGCAAAATTCCAAAAGCGAACTGTGGAATGCGGATCCTGCGTTATCAAACACGTCAAGATTTTGAACGCAACTGGCCTTTAATAGAGCCTCTAGAAGTGAAAGGTCTGAAAGGTTTTACACCAGCACTAAAACTAAAACATGATTAAATGGCTCAACACTGCGCTGTGAAACTTTTCTGGAGGAGAGTATGCCACCTGCTCGTCCTCCTGGTGATGCGATTGCTTTGCCTGAATTGTTCCGCAGTATAGCAAGCAGGTTATGTGAAGTTACAGATCAGAATTGTGGAAAGCTGACCATGTATTCTCACAGTTAAGAAGACATGTTTTTTGTAATGTATTAGAAGCCACAAAACAAAAGTGCAATACTACTGTTTCACCATAAATGTTCCACAATAAGGGACTGAAATTGTTAAACTCCAAGGAAACAGGTCTACGTAAAAAGTTACATGGTGTTAGGGATGCATGATACCAGATATTAGTGTTGATCCTGAAAAATGTACTGGATCACGTATCGGTTCCATGATACTGGTACAGCCAATATCCTGGTTCAGCCTATAATTGGATGTATAAGACTGTCTGATGCTGGCCTAGGACGTCTCGTAAGGTTTGAACTTTTATTCATACAAAGCTTTACTACAGTTGAAAGATTAAAGCCAAAGTATCGCTCCACAGTGTACCTTCAAAAGTAGAGCTATATAACGATATATTGGGCCGATATTTGGACTTCTTAAAGTATTGGCTTGGCTATCGGCCTTAAATCTACAGCACAGGCTGATATTTTGTTTATTTTATTTATAAAGTATAAAAAGACTAACAGTTTCTTAACATTAAACATACAAGTAATGAATGAAAATTTGAAGAAAGAAGAGTCATCTTATATTATCTGCCCCCTCTTCCCTTTTCCAGACAATACATTAACATTGATAGTTACTTTAAAACATTTCAAATCAATACATTTCATTTTGTTTTGGTCAATGCAGCCTAAAAATCACTTTAAAAATCACTTTTTTTCATAGCTCTCTTATATGTTTGTGGTAAAAAGGCACTTGAAGGGCAGTTTGTAGTAAATTTAAATGACATCATTTGGCCCAAAACTATCAACCAAGTTTATCGGCCATGCTCTGTTTGCTCTGCATTCTTAACAACTGGTATCGGCATCAGCCATGAATAAAAACACATCGGTCAAACTCCACTTCAGTACTTCAGTAGCACTATTTCCTGCTGGCATGTGGTGTAGGGCAAATGCACATATAGTAGTAGTGTAGGTTGTACCATCTCAGCACGTGCCAACCACAACTGTTTGCCTAATGTCTCTACCCTCTTACTCCCCCATTGCACGCTATAGTCTGTCCTATCCAATAAAGCATTTGGGACAGACATTATCAAAAAAGTCACTATAAAAATCACTATTCTCAAGTTCCAAAAACCAGTGTTAAACAAAGCCTGGCAGTTGAAGAAGAGATTTTTCACTGTTATATACTTACAGCTGTTGATGGGGACCGTTGGATGGAGAGTGTCAGTGAGTGGGCAGAGCCGGGGTTGTCACGGCAGCGGAGAAAAAAGACACAAGAAAAAACACCATTAATGGAAAAAATACGAATGCAGATATATAGTTCACGAAACACATTCTGTAACTCATGTGGCCTGGGGCAGGATTCTCCATCAGCTAATTCACTGTTTGAACAGAGACATATTTCACAACATATCTCATTTCTAGAGTGAGATAAATGTATTGTATCCGATCCTTCAGATATTCCTTGCGTTGCTTAAAAGTGTGTTTGTGTCTCCTGCCCACCACTCACAGCCCACGTGTCTTCTGTATGACCCATGATTTGCCTGAGGAAGGGAAGCTGCGGTATCAAGACAACATCAAAATCTTAGCTAGCTTGGCGAAATGACACTAATTTGTAAAGGTATTTTGCAGTTTTAATAAATCTTTCATATTCTAGAAGAAAAAATTTACTGAATCAACTTTGGTCCATAGATCTGTAATAGAAATGATAAGGCTGTTCAAAATGCTTTTCTCTTGACCTCAAAGATGTACACATAAAAGCTACAGTATGCAGCTTTTTGGAGGTGGCAGATCACCTACTTGGGAACATTCTCCATGGAGATAGATACGTATTATGTCATACTGTGGAAAATTATAGTCAAAAGAACAACTTTTCTTTGGAAACCAGCAAGAGGCCCTCCCCCAGGCCAAGTAAGAGTCAGGTTTGTGGAGATAGTCATAGTAAACAAAAAAAAAACTTAAAAAAAAAAGCCTGGCTATCGATTTTTTTCTTTTTATGTGGCAGAAATTTACCATTTTAGGAATTTTTACAAATGACATGCCTTGCTTTCATACAACCTTAAACAATGGTAAATCTGCAATACATTTGTTTCGTCAACATTAAACTGGACAAAAAAAAAAGAAAAAAAGATTTCCTTTGATTTATTGACCTGCAGTCTATCATCTTATTAAAACAAATGATACTAGTTGCCTTTACATATTTACACAAGGAAGTGGTCAGATGTGAAATCTCCATAGTCATCATCACATCATAAGCTACCCATGTCTGCACGTACACGTACAGTGCCATAGACGCCCGTGTGTGATTTTAAAGTAAAAACAGCCCCTCCACTGCATCAGATCAGATCCAGGTTAATCCAGATTAGACGCTACAGACTTGTCCTCTTTCCACCCCACAGTGACACAGCTCGTAGGGTGTGTGCCGAGATGCCCCTGTCACGAATGTAGGGAATATGCAAATAATCGGCGGATCAGACAAATTGCAACACACAAACGCCATGTTAAGATTGAATTTGGTGATGAAAATGTCGTGGTAACACTTTAAACTGTAATCTTCATCTATGTGCCTGCGTATTACCTTTAGACACAAGTGTAGATCCAACATTTTACGGCATTAAATCACGGAGATGACAGTTAAAATCAAAACGAGCCAATTAACCCGCACGTATCCTGATAAAGGCTAGCAGCGGGAGTTGGACTAGTTTGGTCGTTAATAGTTATTCTGAGGCAGTTTTTGCAAATCAGATGGTAGTAACCACAAAGACCTACAACAACAATATGTACTATATGGAAACAACAAAACACAGACATGTATGTGCACAGAAAATAGACATTTTAAGCGCTTTCCCAAGGCAGGAAATGACACTGTGGTTCGGATATGCAGCCTGTTAGCGCAGTTAGCACAATGCTAAGAAGCTAGCTCCGTGTACTGGAGGCGGACGACTGGGCGTTGGTTGCTCAGACAACTGCAGAAGCTAAAATCGGTACCGCTAAACTTCTTTTTAGCGTCCATTATACCGTTCAATACTGTCACTATGAGCTAGTACACAGCGCTGCTTGTGTGTGTGGAGAGTAGCAGACTGAAGGAGGCTCACCCATAACGTTGACGCTCTGTGCCGTCTCTAAAGCGATCATTCACGAGCCGACATTCCCCTTCTGAGAGCACACTTACGCACGATGACGCACGTACGGGCGCCGGTCCGCCATGTCACTACGCCGCAAGTCTGGCGTAAAACCTACGTGAATGAAAAAGTGGAGGAATGTTAGAGTCTCGCGATATTATAGTATTTTCTTTAGTTATACGTTACTCTCGCGATAATCCAGTTAGGCAAATAATCATATCCAAAATCTCTCTCTCTCTCTCTCTCTCTCTCTCTCTCTCTCTCTCTCTCTCTCTCTCTCTCTCTCTATATATATATATATATATATATATAATCTTTGATTAATCTTTAATCCTTCCGAATACATTAACCAGCCATAAAATGTACTAAATTAAAAGCGTCTACACTCTCATGTGGATGGCCTGCTTGTTTTCACAGAAATTAGTCTCTTGGGCATAAAATTAATCTATCCCCACTGACAATTTTCTGTATTATGTTTTTTCTTATCCATTTTCATGGAAACATGCAGGTGACGAGCCACCTTCAGAAAGTGTTGATTTTAAAAATTTAAATTTTTTCCCATCCTTGTATGCCCAGCTATTAATTTGCCCTCTCCTTTACAATATTAGATTTATATATATGTAATACATACACTAACTGATCAAAACACAAATAACACAATATTAGGCCTGTGTATCATAACCAGTTATGTCATACAATTCAGCCTTATTGATTATTACATTGGCACTACATTTAGCTCATTGACCATGGACACTGTGGTTTGTAATTTACATGTTTTGTGTCTTAAGTGAACAATTTATTTATGCCTGACCAAGAATTTCAATTCAATGTCCAGAGTATCCAGAATCCATAAAAAGAAGAGAATTAAGAATTAAAATACATTTTCCTCACCCTGTAAAAATATTCAGCCTGATTCTTTGCCCACGTACCCTCACCTTTTATTTTTGTCATTCAGTGTGATTTGCAGTTAAATACTTATTTCAGGTTTAACATTTGTGTTTGTTTTATCCTGTTGTCTCACTGGTTGCTTTTGTTTTTATTTTATTTTATTATTATTTTTAAAATCATTATTCGTTAGCATTATTATTTTATTTAATGTTTTTCACTGGTTGACAACAGCAGGTGACGGAATGTACAAGCGGAGACTAGAGCGTCTGCCGTATCTATGGCAACGCTCCCACTTCCCAATCATCCGTTCGTTCATTGGTCCAAACTGTGCTACTTTTCAGCATCACGTCTTCTTATTCGCCCAAACCGCAAAGTGAACGTTAAATAAATAATACACGCGATGGCTGGAGCACTTTTAGACAACTATCCAAATATCGTACAAAATATGCATCTAGAAGAATTAGGAAATATAGTGTAGATTTGTTATGACGCTAAAAAGGTAAGGATCTGCAAAGTTGTGCTGTTTTGTGTTCTCATGTGGTCGAAAGAAACAGCCGCGTTAACTTTAAATAAACAGTGCTAAGCTAACTTCAAACGGGGCTAACCACCGGTAACATTTAACTAGTACATTAGTTGTGTTTTTTCCGTTTTTATTGGCAGAAATAATTCCTCGTTTTGTTTATTTTAATTTTTTAGCTACAAATTTCAAATCAATGGCGCGTAATTATATTGCGTTTAGGACTACATAACATAACAGTTATGTTTATGGTGCATAAAATCCATTTACTTTTTTCTGGTCTCACTGAGGACCAGTCCGTGTGTCTGATGGGTCTGATCTGGTCCCCGTGCCACCTTTGAAATTGCACTGCTGCACGTATGATGATGAAAACTTTGGGACATCGGCCATCTGAGTGTGCTATGCATTTTTTCACTTTTAAAATTGCAAATATTTAACAGACAATATCAAATATGGACTAATTATTGCCTACAAACAGAATACATACAGGCCTACTGTATATGGTCACTTTTTTCTATAGCACTTTTCCACCTTCAAGGCACTCAACGTTTTACAACAAGGAACCACTCACCCATTCACACACACATTCACACAACAGTGTACGCAGACACTGTGGGCAAGGTGGGTTAAGTGTCTTGCCCAAGGACACACAATGACAGCATTCATCTGTAGGAGCTGGAAACACACCAGCCAACCTGTGGGTCAGTGGATCTGATTGCTCAACCAATGATGTTTATATTTGCATTAATATTATATAGTACTTTTTGTTTAGTAATATAAAATTAAAAGAACCCTCATTTCGTAATACTGTAACTGTGAAATATAAAATAAATGTGTGACCGAAACCACTTCATCCCAACTAAACCTATGTGACCAGAGTCTTAACCTGCAGATAGAGGACACACAGTTTTTCTCATTCTCAGTATTTGGACAGGCCTTATGTGAAAGCTCAGAACCTCCAGAATTCCCTTCCTGAGCTGCAAAGGCTGCACTAGCACTGATTCAGGATTGGCTGCAGTTGCTGGGGTTTAGTATCATGATAACACTTGTATCTTATGTGTTGTATTTTCCTCCCTTCTTACAGATAACTAATGAACCACTCGGGAAGCAAGAAGAACTTTACTGGTGTCTTTAACAATGTCTAACACAGTGAAAACCCCCAAACAGAGGGAGAAGCTACTCGTGAGGTTGAACAACGACAGCCAGTGAGCAGCAGACAGTCTAAACCTATGATGGTGGCTTACATTTTTCTGACATAAAAACAAACTGATAACCTTGTGGTTATAGGGCATCTCGAGATCTCAAAAAGCTTCTGTCTCTACTCGAAAGGAACACACCCAGACCAGAGGTAAACCGAGTAAAACGTTTCCTGCTTATTTTGATGTTGAAACAATGTTAGTCATATTTCTACCTGTGTGAGAGAGAGCTTCGTTATTGATTCCAATTCAAGTTTTTGCTGCAGCAACATTTACACTGCAGTTCTCAGTGGCCTTTGTGTCTCAGTCAAAGGTCTCATTGCAGTTTAACAGGAGGACTGGTCAGGTAGGGTCAGTGGATCTGTGTCAGGGCAGTTCGAGGAGAGGAACAGCCAAAAGTGTCTCTCCTCTGTTTTGTGCAGCACCGCAGCAGCCTCTAGGGGGCGCTAGGTGAACACCACAGGAAAGGTCTCAGTTTTACTCCACCCTATCGTTTCAGTTGGTGATGGTGATTTCTGTGTAAAAATGTCTTTCAGGTGGAATTAAAATCACGTGTTACCGGGGCCAAGAAGTCACAAATATCTCATCCAAATAACTCAAACAAGTCCGAGCTCAGTGTCAACTTGGCTCTGCAGAAATTCAGGTCTGGAATGTGATAATTCATTAGTGACTGTATTGCTGTATGAAAGTTAATGGAAACACTATATGGATGTGCATATCGAACAGTTGGGATTGTGGGAGATTTTAGGGCACTGTGACTTAAATAGTATCTTATCTTAAATAGTATCTTATCAAGCACAAGAATAATTACAAAATATACAAACCTTTGAGCATCTGGAAAACCGTTGCTTAATTTGTCTTATACAGCACGCTCAAAGTCACTTTACAATTTGGTAAAGCAACATTCACTCGACACTCAGTGGTGGTAAGCCACAGCTGTCCTGAGGCAGACTGGTGGAAGTGAGGCTGTTAATCTACACCACTGGTCCCTCCAACCACCAACTCTCAGACAGACACGCACACCACACACACACACACACATGCGGACACACACACACACACACACACGGACACACACACAGTACAGACAAAATGAAGGAAAAACTACTGTAAAACATTTGTCTTAATCTTCTGAAATGTGGCAAATGACCTAAAAAATACTAGATATTTACAGATAGTGCAATGTTGTTAGCTCCCACTGGATTTACAGAAAAGTTACATATTGCATCTTTAGATTTAAGGTAATTGCTTCTTAAAATCATTGGATTAACATGGATTTTTAACTTAACTTGTTTTATAGTGAAGAGTATGAGAACCAAAGATGCTTCAGCAGCCACCCCCTGCACAAACTCTTTAGTAACCTCCTGATTTCTCTGGTCAAGAATCGACTGTGCAGGTACGCTCCAAAATGTCTCAGTAAAATACTAAATGATTATTTAGTTTAGATATTTTATATATTTTGTCTTTGCAGTGAGTGGATTGACACGGCTGTACCAGAGTCAGTCCTCACAGTTCTCACCTGCCTCCGAATACTGGTCAGAGACATGGAACTTCAGGTAAACAAAGCATGTTGCTGTTAAAAAAACAGAATAAATATAGGGTGTATTCATATTTGGCTGGGTGCTCCCTTAGAGACAGGGTGAGGAGATCAGTCACACGGGAGGAGCTCAGAGTAGAGCCGCTGCTCCTCCACGTCAAGAGGAGCCAGTTGAGGCTTGGGCATCTGTTCCGGATGCCTCCTGGGTGCCTCCCTCTGGAGGTGTTCTGGGCATGTCCCACCGGGAGGGGGCCCCGGGAAAGACCCAGGACATGCTGGAAGGACTATGTCTCTCGGCTGGCCTGGGAACACCTCTTAAACAACAGTCTTAGAGTTTTAGTCTTTTAGTCTTTTAGTCTTAGAGTCTTATAGTCTTTTAGAGTTTTTTAGTCTTTAGTCTTTTAGTCTTTGAGTCTTTTAGTCTTATTGTCTTTTAGTCTTTTAGTCTTATTGTCTTTTAGTCTTTTAGTCTTATAGTCTTTTAGTCTTTTAGTCTTTATAGTCTTTTAGTCTTTTAGTCTCTTAGTCTTAGAGTCTTTTAGTCTTAGAGTTTTAGTCTTTTAGTCTAAGACTAACTAAGAGACTATAAGACTAAAAGACTCTAAGACTAAAGACTAAAAGACTAAAAGACTAAAAGACTATAAGACTATAAGACTATAAGACTCTAAGACTAAAAAGACTCTAAGACTAAAAGACTAAAAGACTATAAGACTAAAAGACTCTAAGACTCTAAGAGTAAAAGACTAAAAGACTCTAAGACTAAAAGACTATAAGACTAAAAGCCTCTAAGACTAAAAGACTCTAAGACTAAAAGACTATAAGACTCTAAAGACTAAAAGACTATAAGACTATAAGACTAAAAGACTTAAAGACTATAAGACTAAACTAAGACTATAAGACTAAAAGACTCTGGTTTGGTCCTATTCTAGTCCTGGTTTAGTCCTTGTCTTTACCAGGTTTAGATTCAGTTTGAGCTGCAGCTTATTCCTAATTTAGGTGTTTGTATATGTGGACTTGGACTCCTGCTTATTTCCATGGAAATGTTGAAGTATGGTTTCTATTTCTATGGAACCAGGACTCGAAAACTTAATTAAAACTATGGACTACTAGACTTTGTATGGAAAAGAACATATAAAAAACAAACATCACAAGTCTCCATAAGAAGGAAAATCTGTGACTTGTCATTTGGATATAAATGTTAAATACATATCCACTGGGTGCACCTCATCACTTACACAGTAATAACAGCTCAGTGTTTTTGTTTCCTTTGCAGAAACTCTTCCATCAACACCAGGGCATCTCATTATTGGCCAGGGTAATGTTTTCCTTTACGGTACTTCCTCCCAAAGCCTCTCCCAGATGTGCTGATATGTGTGATTGTGTTTCAGTATCTGGAGTCAGTGAGTTCAGCGTACTTCTCATGTGGGGGACAGGCCTTTGTAGGACAGATGCTCATCACCATGACATGTGAGTGCAAGAGCACTGTGATACCTGCGATAGAGTCAGTGATAGTACATGTGATAGTACTACTATAATGTGATAATGTGATTATTGACAGACATGTTCCAGAAGATGTCTGCGTCTGAGGAGCTGAGACCACACATCATGGACACTGGAGTCCACAAGGTCAGTTACATTTAAATAAATGTATTAATATATATATATATATATATATATATATATATATATATATATATATATATATATATATATATAATATATATATTATTCAATTCATCAGTTATTATTATTACTTTTGCTGGCAGTTTTTGAGCCAGTGCCCATTTTAGAACCAGTTCTCCCATTTTCCTGTGGAAAATGCAGACCAGTTCCAGTGGAATTTTAAACATAAAAGATACACTTCATAGTTAAGACTTATTCATGGAAAAGGCAAAACATAGTCAGTTTTAGATGAAATACAGCAAAAACTCCAGTGAGTAGTTAGGAGAAAGATAACCAAATGCTAACTGCTGGGTAATAAACAATGTGTTGCTATTGCTAGTAACAAATATTAGCCTTTAGTTGGTTTAAAACTGAGGCATCTTAGAACCAGCACCGGCCCAGAACCAGCACCTGTGTCTGTCTGATCTGGCCCCTGTGCCACAAGTTACATTTCACTGCTGCTTGGATGATTAAGAAAATGCTTTTCTGCAGACTCTGGTGAAGCTGCTGTCCTCCACAGACAGCAGTGTGTTACTGGGAGCTCTGCTGGCTCTCACCTCCTTGGCCCAGTGAGTATATCACCCAAACACATGATGTCTCATGTACATCCACATAATTTCCTTTGAGGTAATCCTCCGATGAACACTAGAGGATGCTGTGCTCTCACATTATGAAGTATTACTGGTGCTTTACATTCATGGCACAGCATGTATTTGTGTACAGTCCTGAATGCAGACAGCAGATTGGAGAGCTCCACATTGTGGAAAACCTGCTCCTGATTCTTCAAGAATATGACCTCCTGTCGAAGAAGTACGTGTGGGTTTAACTTTGGTTTCTTTAAGGAGACCTGTCTTATAAAGTTTACTTTTCAGAGCTTTTAATCATATTCTCATTTACTCTCTCAAAGTTGTGTTTAGAGTGATTTATGCATGTTTGAGTATTCCTTATTCTATATTCAAGTCGTCAGTTCTGCAGTCTACCACAGTTTTCACCACCACTGGTACATTCTTTAAAATGTCCAATTTGACAACATAAAGACCCACGGGTGTCCACGGGTGCTGTACCAAGTTGTATCATAAGTACAGCTGTATGAAGCGTCTTCACTTCTGATCCCTTGCTTTGTTATGGCCTTTCTCTGAGCTCCGGTGTGCCCCCTGCAGGATGTGTGCGGAGCTGCTGCGTCTGCTGTGTTCAGAGCAGTGTGTGCGGGGACAGCTGTGTGCTCTGAGGGGGGTGCCCGTGCTCCTCAGCCTGCTCCACTCGCATCACCTGAAGCTGCTCTGGAGCCTGTGCTGGGTCCTGGTGCAGATGTGTCAAGAGCCTGAAGCCAGAGCAGAGATCAGGAGCTGGGGAGGAGTCCAGCAGCTGCTCCGCCTGCTCAGCTGGTCTGTATCATGCTGCACTACAGAAATGTGTTGTACAGAGTAATGGAAGGAGGAGTGAAACTATTAACTTACATTCTATTTGGTAAATTTGTGAAGAGCCTCCAGAATTCATCTTGAAAACCAAAACAAAAATACATGTTCAATGTTTTTGTAATTAAGAATAAATCAGCATTACAATTGTTGTCAGTAAAAGCTATATTTGATTAACCATGTCTACCTTTTATCTTGGGACATAGATATATATCAAGTTAAAATCAGAATCTTATTTCCTTAATTATTCCTATAATTACATACATAAAAGAACCCCCCCTCAAATACAACTCTTATTCTCTGCACCTAAGCCTGGAGTCACAAGTCAAGTTGATTTATGTGAGTAACATTTTTGAAGTTGTAGTTTAGGCCTAATATAAACTGTAATTTAGAAAAGGCTTTGGCCCACATATTCTGCTGTGGTGTTATGACTCTCCCTCACAAACCTGTTACAGTGACAGACAGTATGTGTGGGACCGCTCCTCCATTGAGACCTTGTCCAGTGCAAATGCAGCAGGTCGACTCCATAAACAGCACACAACAGAAGAGCCGAGCCCACAGGAGCAGCAGGACAACATCGCCGCTCTGCAGGCAGGTCAGTGCAACTGCAGCTGCTGGGTTTCAGATGGCATCACTACATTATGTAGGCTGGTTATAAGGCTGCAGGTTTAAATGCAGTCGAATCAAAATCACTATTTGAATGAACACAGTCAGTAAATAACAAAGGCTACAATTTTGTAAATAACATAGTTGCCTTCGTAGTACTTGGATGGGAGACCACTGGGAATAACAGGTGCCACAGTGGAGCCCCCAAAACTGTTGTTGTGTTCCTAGGCAAGACACTTCACCCACTTGCCTGGTATGAATGTGTTGTGTGTGTGTGAGTGTAGCTGGTGGTCAGAGGGGGCAGTGGTGCAGATTGGCAGCCTTGCCTCTGTCAGTCTGCCTCAGGGCAGTGATTAATAGTGATTAATAGTTGATTATAATGGATGGATTTGATGTTATGTGTCTGCAGCGTGTTGCACAGCTCTGACAGAACTGAGCCTGGACGACTCTTGTGCTCATCACATTGTGCAGGTGATCCCTGCTCTTTAGTCTTGACTATTATAGTAACTGTACACTGCACTGACTGAGCCTCTGTGCAGGAGAATGGAGTCTTCATCATTGCCAAGTTCATTCTGCCGCAGACATATGGAGCAAAGGGTGTTTTACAGGTACAAAACATACTTATATCTTTACACACATGCTGTGTATGTTTCATAATCACTAGGATCCTTGGTTCCTGGAGTATGTCATCAAAACTCTGCCTGTGGTGTTCCCATTTCCCCAAAGCCCTCACCTCCTCCACGCACCACTCCTCCATTTACCCACAATGCACCTGTGGATCCTTGGCCACCTCGGAGCACAAAAAATGTATCACAATGTATTGCAGTTTCCATTTAGTTGTTCTTTATTTAAGCAGGAAAATACATTTTAAGCAACCATAAAAAGTCGTCACTACCCCACATAATGAGTTCATTTCAATATTTGCCAGTTTTAGTCAACACTGAGACAGGCCAGGCGGTGAGCAGGACACAGAGTGCTACAAAGTGCTTTTTGGACAAAGGATCCTGGGATTTAGAAACATCTATAGGTTTGGGTCACTTTAGTGTTAAAAAGTGGTGCCATTATTCAAACACAAAAGTTGTGAAGATGTTTAATCATGAGATGAATGTGGAAAACCTGCAGATGTTCAGATGTTTAGATATTTCTTTCTATATCTCTTCATCCTCATGACATTCTCCCTCCCTTGTTGACAGTGCTATGCGTTCAGGGCCTTACGCTTTCTGTTCAGTATGGAGAGAAACAGACATGTCTTCAAACGGTACAGTCCCAAATTCACATCTTTAAATAGACTCAAAGAATAAATAAATATGACCTATATTTGACCTGTGATGCGTCCCCAGGCTCTTTCCCACAGATCTCTTTGAGCTGTTTATTGATGTTGGACACTACGTCCGAGACCTCACAGCCTACGAGACTCTGCAGGACAAAGTCTCCCTCTACTCTGTAAGAAACTCAGAGATATCAGACAGTTACACTTATAAAACTGTGTATGCAGTATTGCAGTTATTATTGACATTCTGGGACATTGAACCACTTGGGAAAAATATCTAATTATGATTTTTCCGACAAGCTTTGTGATTAGATTTGTGATTTATGCTTTAATAACAGGATCAGACAGAAGAATTGATAAAAAGACTGAAATCTGAACTGACAAACTAACAAAAGAAAGAGGGTACAAGATTAGCAGCTTTTACACAGAATAAGACTCCATGGAGACACGGGGAGGACATCTGACTCACAGGGACACACAGGGTCTAAACTACAGTGTTAGCAATTTTTTATGCAGAACAAGACTGTAGATGTTCTTTGTGGAGGAATTTCTAGTACTGCAGTCTTTGTGATTTGCTTATTGTGTACATTCTATTGTAATTTCGATTCGATTGCGATTCATCTTGTAGCTTTAATGGGGCAGCAGTAGTTCAGGAATCAGAGCGTTTACCCACCAACTCCAGGGGCAGCCATGCTTCTGTCAGTCTGCCTAAGGGCCGTTGTGGCTACAGTAATATATTACCACCAGTAAACCCGCAAGATAAATCACAATCAAATTTGAATCGCAATTGGAATGGATACAATACAATTCAAATCTCAAAGGCTGCAATTTTTGAAGTACAGTCATTTCTTCCAACAACAAAATCTCGTCTTATTCTGCGTAAAAAACTGCTAACCCTGTAGTTTAGTTCTGTACATGTTCTGAAATGTGATTCTTGTATTAGTTGGTCAGTTCATATCTCAATATTTTTGTCAGTTATTCTGGATGCGTTAAAATATGAACAGCTACAAATGTGTATTTTTTAAAATTTGGTTGTTTAAAGGTGCAATGTGCAACTTTTCTGGTGAATGGTGTGTTGTCTGTTTATCTTATCGCTTTGTCTAGAATGTTCCACAGTACAGATTAACCCTGTCTGTCTCAAGGGAGACCACTATAAGCTACATTACAGATCAGATCTGTGGAGAGTTGCCCCTATTCACAGAAGGAATGATTGTCTTTTTGAGCAATAGAAACACCTGTAATGAATAAATGCCAGATAGATGTGTTTAAAGTCATAGCATGGAACAATCCAGGCAAAGCAATAACCAGGGTAGCTGCAGGGTCTTAAAAGTACGGAAGCCGAGAGGGGTCACAACAAACGCAAACACCGCAACAAATACAAATGCGAGAACATGACAAAAAGCCACAACAAACCAAAAAAAGCCACAACGGAAATGACCGCGGGACTCTATTTTAATGCAAACACCGCAACAAATACAAACACCACAACACAAACGCAAAATGCCGCAACACAATAAAAAGCCACAACACATCAACACATCTATTTTTGGACAGACCGATCAAGCGGCAAGTGAAGAAGAAGAACTACAACGTGAAACGAATAATGATAAAACAATAAATTACTTTTACTTACGTTTCCAACTTCTCTGTTCCTTTACTTTTCACGTTGTAGTTCTTCTTCTTCACTTGCCGCTTGATCGTTGTGGCTTTTTAATGTGTTGTGGCTTTTTAATGTGTGTTGTGGCGTTTGTGCATTTGTGTTGTCACTTGTATTAAAATAGAGTCCCGCGCTCATTTCCTTTGTGGCTTTTTTTGGTGTGTTGTGTTTTTTTGTTGTGTTGTCGCATTTGTATTTGTTGCGGCGTTTGCGTTTGTTGTGACCCCTCTCAGCTTCCGCATAAAAGTCTTAAAAATGTTGTAAAAGTCTTATTTTTTTCACAAAGGTCTTAAATTTCATTAGCCTATTTTTTTGTATACTCAACCGGGCTGCAGTACAATGTTAAATGGAGGGAGATAAAAAAAAACAAAAAAAAAACTGTGTGAATTCACGTAACGTGAATGAAAGTCTAATTTGGAGTATGCGCAAAAAATACTTGGTTTCTGGTGCCGGCGGCAATGAATAAAGTAGAGTGGAGGAAGACGTTGGATGGATCATGGGGAAGTGTCAGTTTAATCCACAGTGGCTCTTAGATTCTAGATATAGTCCTGTAGTTGGTTGGTCATTATTAGAATTGGATCTGGTGTTTTTCGCCTGCATAATGGGTGCGATGTTGGTCTTAATTTTTATTTAAGTGGTCTAAAAAAGGTCTTTAAAAAGTCTTAAATTTGGGGTAGTCAAACCTGGGGATATCCTCAATAACATCTCCATGGAGAAAAGTTGCGCATTGCACCTTCAATATTAAAGTAGTTCACATCCATCTTGATCTCGCTGCAGGAGGAGGAGCTGGAGAGTCTGAGGGACAGTATTGTGGCTGTGGACCAGAGCAGACCTCCTCTCAGGGTCATCAGTGGGTACTCCATACTGGACCATCTGGGCACGGGGGCATTTGGGAGTGTCTTCAAGGTAAACACGCTCTCTGTGTTTATTTTCTCCCGTATTATACAGAATATATTAGCACAAACATTTCATCACAGTAAAAAAAAAAACATATTAAGTTATTTTTCTGATCTCTTTTTAATGTAGTTTCCTCATCACAAACAAACCTGAAGTTGTGTTTTGTTTCATTCACACATGTTTAACACACAAACTCTGCAGATTTATTTATTTATTCTCTCAAACAGAAAACACTCCACCTTGTGATGCCATGTGGTAATACAATAGGTGCTCTACTGTGTTTTTAAACTCCATACACCTTCACTAGAATCATTTGGATAATTTCATTCCTGGAACTGCCAATTTCTACTAAACAAAAGGTAAAATGTAGCTGATCGATTCATGACATCACAAGGTGGAATAGAGCATTTTGAGCTGTGGAGATGTAGACAGACTAGTAATTCAGGGTTAGTCAGACATGTGTGAATGAAACAAAACCACGTTTTTGATGAGGTAAAAACATTCTAACCTGCTAAAAGCTCACAGTTTTGCACACATTTTTGCGTAATATACAGTAGGACCTTTAAAAGCAGAGAGGTACCGTATTTTCCAGGCTATTAGGCGCCTTCTTAAGCCTCCAGCCGCATCTAAAAACGACTGCGTGCACAGTAATCCAGAGCGCCCTATACACGAATCCACTCGGGTGTCCCAGCACAACTTCAGTAAACTACAAAGCCACACCACCCACAGAACACACAAACACACACGGAGCAGACAGCGACCGCACAGCGAAAAACACCCACAGAGTCACTCATCACTCCACGCCAACGAGGAACGGAACGGAGGAACCAACCGAAAAAGCGAGTGCAATGTGCCTTTTTGAGTCACAACTGAACAACCGAGTCACTGCGAACACGCTGCGAACAAGCGGTCCCAGACAGCACCCTCCCTACACGCCACAACTGAACAAAGCCCAGAGTCACCGTAAACGCGCCAAACTCCCACTGACCCATCCAACTGTTGTGTTTCTTTTAAAGTCGGTGCGGTATATTTGTGAAAAAAGTTCAAAAATAGACCATTCTATGACAGTGCATCTTATAATCCAGAGCGCCTAATAGTGTGCAAAATACGGTAGTTTCCTTATCACAAACAAACCTGAAGTTGTGTTTCGTTTCATTCACACATGTTTAACACACTAACTACATATTTAGGCTGAACTATTCTCTCACAACAGAAACAGAAAACTCTCCTCCTTGTGACGTCTTGTGGTAATACAGTAAGTGCTCTACTGTGTTTTTAAACTCCATACACCTTCACTAGAATCATTTGGATAATTTCATTCCTGCCAGTTTCTACTAAACAAAAGGTAAAATGTAGCTGATAACTTGAAAATTATCTATTCATGACATCACAAGGTGGAACAGAGCATTTTGAGGAGATTTAGACAGACTAATAATTCAGAGTTACTCAGACATGTGAATGAAACAAACACCACTTTGACGAAGACCATCCTGCTGGTCAAAATGCGTTGTCGTCCCTTCATGTAATAAAGGACTTTTAATATATTCAGTCGAAGTGCCTCTGGTTCGTACCTTGCCCACTTTTACATTTTCCAGTAAGGGTAACTTGAGCACCTTTACTGCTATTTTTTACTCTTTTATGACCCAGTGAAGCCCTCTACCTCTTTTTCTCTTTTTCTTCATCTGACACAACACCATGTTTTTGATGAGGTAACAACATTATAACATGCTAAAAGCTCACAATTTTGCACACATTTTTGCGTAATATACAGTAGGACCTTTAAAAACAGAGAGGTACTGTAGTATGTTTCCTTTGCACATGTGTCAGGTGAGGAAGCAGGGTAGTCAGACGCTCCTGGCTCTGAAGGAGGTGAACCTACACAACCCGGCGTTCGGGAAAGACAAGAAGTCCAGAGACAGTAACACGGACAAGATCATCTCTGAGCTGAGCATCATCAGAGAGCAGGTCCCAGCACACACACAGCTCACACTATTCCACTGTTTAAACTGTCAGCGTCTAACATATCTGTATTCCCTTTACAGATGGCTCACCCAAACATTGTCAAGTACTATAAGACATTTCTGGAAGGTATATGAATTACTGCATTTTTTTTTTTTTTTATGTTAACAACCATGTGTTTCCCTCCTGATCATCTAACATGTTAAAGGTGCATTGTGTAACCTTCTTGTTTCTATGGAGATGTCATTGCTCTGTTTGAAATGTTCCACAGTATGACTTTAACAGCTCTACCTTACATTTACTCAGTTACAGGTGGTTTTAAAGCTCAGAAACACTTAAAAAAGAGGCATTCTGACTGTGAGTGGGGTTGCCTCTCCACAGATCTGACCTGCAACTTGGTCTCGGCTGGTTTCCATGGAAATAGGAAGGTTTAATATCATACTGTTAGATAAATCAGACAAAACAATAACATAACAGAAAAGCATTTGACAGACCCTCCACCAGAAAAGTGACACATTGCAGCTTTAACTGGTCATATCTGAGTATTTCTCGTTAGTTCACATTACCTGGTGCTTGTGGTGTCCGTGTGTGTTCCAGGGGAGAGGCTGTACATAGTGATGGAGCTGATAGATGGGGTTCCTCTGGCTGAACACCTGAGCTCTCTGAAGGAGAAGAACCAGAGCTTCACAGAGGAGAGGGTGTGGAACATCTTCATCCAGGTCAGCTCTGTGGTTGTGTCTGTGTTTTACCACTAGATGGCACCCCAAGTCAATGTTTGGCTTTGTAATTTACAGAAGAGCTTGAAAAGTGTATTTGGACCCTGGAGCTGCTGTTTTTTAATAGTTACAGTGGAATGTGGTACCATGCTCTTTCAAAGTGGTTATAGGTGGACAGATGACAATTATAGTCTAAAGTTAAAACCTGTTAGAACTAATACTGTTTAAACAGTGCAGTATATGTGCTTATTGATGTGCGTGTGTGTGTGTGTGTGTGTGTGTATGTATATTATAGGATTGTCAAAATATCCAAAATCAGATACTAATTGATAATAAAACTAGTACTGAAACTAGATATTTCAGCAGGTATCAATACTAAAAAAGTCCCATTAAACTTTTCCTGAATTGCTTTAGAATGATCTTGAGTTGTATCATGGATAGGAGTGTGCAAAAATATAAAAATATTGATATATTGTATCATTTAATGTGATGATACAGTATCGATATTGTGGTTTGCTGTATCTATATATCACCACAAGTATTTTTTGGTAAATTTTTCTAAATTAATTCGTTACAACACCATAATTTTGTTGAATGTTTAGTGGAAGGAAACTCATTTATGTGACACATTTGACAGATCCTATTTTTCGGATTGTAAGACACACTTAAAATCCTTTAATTTACTCAAAAATCGACAGTGCCCCTCATAATCCGGTGCGCCTTATGTATAAATTCTGGTTGTGCTTACTGACCTCCAACAGATTTTATGTGGTACACAGCGCTCAAAAATGTGACAAAATATTTTAGTATGACTTTGGTAAACTACAAAGCTGCACCACTTGATGGATTGTTGGAGCATTACTGTTCATTGTTTTGATGATTAAAATGTTTGTGTTTCATATTCACTATGCACTAGAAGTGGTTTAACAAAGACTTTTAGTATCACAGCCATAAAAATTAAACATTAAAATATACCGTATCAAATTGAAAGCTCACTGTACTGAGATATGTATCGTATCGTGGCCTATGGATTGAGGTATGTATCATATCTGCAACTTCTTAATGATACCCAGTAGGGATGTAACAATGTCCAAATCTCTCAGTACAATATTATCATGATATGCATCTCACAGTACTATATTCATTGTGATATTTTGGAGTGGCAAATATAATTCTAGATAGGACACGTTTTTGGTTTTTAAAATACCTTGACAAGATTTTGGTGCAAATTATTACTGTCAAAATCTTAAGAATTCCAGTAAAAGACACATTTTTTCATGTTGTCTGTGTTGAAATGAATCATGGGATATGTAGTTCCCAATGTTTATAAGCTGTTTCTACTAAAGAACTATGCATTTAAGCAAAGGAACTTATAATTTGATATGTTATGCCAGCTCTTGATATTATTGTGAAACTTCTGATAATACAATATCATGATATTTCAGTTATTGTTACATCCCTAATACCCAGCCTTACCCATGGAGCATTATGGAACCTACCTGGACCACTGAGGGATTACACAGATTTAAGACCACATTGGAATAGGAAAAAAAAGTACTACGATTTAATGTTAAAAATCACATTCTATTGTCTTCTACTGTGATATCTGAAGCTGTATTGAGTCTATTCCTTAGTATCAAGGAAGCACACTGGTAACTATGTTTTCAGATGTGCCTGGCTCTCAGATACCTGCACAGGGACAAACGCATCGTGCACCGGGACCTGTCTCCAAACAACATCATGTTAGGAGAGCAGGACTGGGTCACTATCAGTGAGTCACAGCACCACACAATACAAGATCATCTGAATACGCTCTGGGTAATGTGTGTGTGTGTGTGATCTCTCTCCTCAGCTGACTTTGGACTGGCCAAACAGAAGCAGGAGAACAGCAAACTCACCTCCGTTGTGGGCACTATTCTGTACTCCTGGTGAGCCAAGAATGACATCAACAGTTAACAACTGAATAGGCAACATTTTCCTCCTCCAGAAAACCATTTTGACATACTTTTTTTTGTCACTTTTTTTATTGGATATGATAAATTTATAATCATAACAAGAAAAAAATAAATAATAATAATAAAGGGAAATAAAAATAGGAACAGAAGCCTAGGTGACACTAGAATAGCCTACTTTTGCATAAATAATGTCAATTTTCCCCATTTCTTCTTCATTTGTACCTCTCGCAATCTCAGTTAGTTATTTTTTCCATGAGATAGTTGTCTTTTATTGTAGATGTCCACTGATCCTTTGAGGGCACAGAAGTTGTGCCCCAGTTCCTGGTTATTGATTTTTTGGCAGCTAATGACATCACTTTGAAAAGATATATATCGCTTTGGTGAATAATGTTTTCTGAGAAGTTATATAAATAGACCAGTTCAGGTGACAAAGGGACAGAATATCTCAGCACCTGCCCCAGTACATCACAAAATATTTCCCAAAATACAGTCATATTTGTACATTTCCAAAATATATGAGAATGGTCCATATTAATCTCTCCACATTTCCGCCAACACATCTGATGCATCTTTAACTGTTTACTCTTTAATTTAGGTGTAATAAAGAATCGAATCAGGTTCTTCCAGGCAAACTCCCTCTATGTTTGAGAGCAGGTGGTGGTGTGGTGATGCCGCCACATGTTTAACCAATCTTTATTTTCAGTTTTTATGTTCAATTCTTTTTCCCAATTCCCCTTCACCTTTAGAGTTGTGTTCTTACAGTTTTTAGGTGTTTATATACATTTTGACATACTTAAAAGCTCATAAAAGTTGATTTAATGAATAGGCAGGTAACTCTGTAGACCATGATTCCTTGCTAATGCTATTCCTGTTTACATTTGTGCTTGATTCTCTTGTTTGTGTGTTTGTGTTTCAGCCCTGAGGTGGTGAAGAGTGAGCCGTATGGGGAGAAGGCAGACGTGTGGGCTCTGGGCTGCGTGCTCTATCAGATGGTCACTCTGCAGCCTCCTTTCTACAGCTCCAACATGCTCTCCCTCGCAAACAAGGTCTCATCATTCACACAATAACATAATACCAATGCACTCTTATTTACGGTAGTGTAGTAGTAGTAGTATATTTGGTCATTTTGCAGCACTACAAAACAAAACAAAACAAAACATAGACTACAACCCCATGGATCATGTACAAAAGGGTTTAGGCTGAAGCAAAAAGTACTTATAATGGCAAACCCTATTAAACAATGACAATTCCAAGAAAGAAAAGCAGTGAAACTTTAATGCATAATTCATTCATTTCAGAGCTCTGTATCTTTCAGAACGTAACGCTTTATACCAGAGGTGTCAAACATAAGGCCCGGGGGTCAGATCCTGCCCTCCAAGACCTTTAATCTGGCCCTTGGCTGATTTTCTACTAAAATATTTGAATTATATTTTCTATTAAAATATTGGTCATTTTTTGCGGTGCTGAGCACAGCAGCGTCTCTAGTATCTCTGTACGTGGCCCCTCCCACCAGAGCAGCACAAATGAAGACTTGTCTCTTTCCAAACGCTCTTAAAGGACGATCGTTTTGACTGTTGACCGTGACACCCTCATCAGAAAAATGTCCAACATGAGAAAAGTGGACGTAGAGAGCAGGATTTTCCAAGAAAAATTTACTTTTTCCTATTTACATACAAGTTCATGTTAAAAAAAAGATTTCTGTAATAGATTTGTGTTTCTCTGCACAAATATTTGAACTTATTGTTATTTTTGGGGTATATATGCTATGAGTTTTCTGATCCAGCCCCTTTGGGATCAAAGTAGGTTGGATACGGCCCCCAGACCAAAATTAGTTTGGCACTCCTGTTTTGTACTCTTTTTAAAGTCTTCTACAGTGTTAGACTTTTTTAAAATCATCCATACAGTAACCCCTCTAACAAAAATACAATCACTTTTATCTTAGTTCTTATCTTCTAATCTAATCTTCATTTTTATAAAGATGCCTTCTTTTTCTTGTTTCTGGTCATACAAACTAATAATAATGATAAAGAAGGCACAAAAGGTATTGTTTATGATCCTACAGTGTCCAACGCATATTCCCTGAAGCATCATGTTATTACTTCTGTTTTCAACATTTGTAAAACATTGCTCTTTTCTAACACATTTAAACAGAACTGAAGTGTGGTTTGTTTGTGCAGATCGTGGAAGCCCAGTATGAACCAGTGAAGAGTGATCAGTACTCAGACAGAGTCGTCCACATGATCAAATGGTGAGAACTCAGTGTTTAAGGTACTACAGTCTGTGACCTGCAGGTAGAGAAACATCCAAGTGTGTCTCATTCTCAGTATATGGACAGGCCTCATGTGAAAACTCAGAACCTCCAGAATTCTGCAGGTGCTCAGGTTTAGGTAGTGTCCTTTTAGGTTTAAAGGTGTATTGTGTAACTTTTCAGGTGGAGGAGCCGTCAAATGCTTTTTTTCATGGAGATATTATTGCTTTACCTGGAATGTTTCACAGTATGGCATTAAACCTTTCTATTGTCATGGAGACCAAACCAGACCAAGTTACAGGTCAGATCTGTGGAGAGGCAACACACTCACTGTCGAATGCCTGTTTTTCAAGGTATTTTTGAGCCAGAACAACCTGTAACTGAATACATGTAAGGTAGGGCTGTTTTTTTTATTTTTTTATTAGTTTTTATTTTGAGTTTGTGCCAAGAGAGAAACAATATTCCTACACATATTAAATATACCATACTATAAAGAACAGAAAAGCACATTTTTCTAAAAAAGTGGGAAGAAGACAAAAAAATATATATATATACCAGAGTTCCCATGGTCATGGAAATACTGGAAAAGTCATGGAAATTGAAAATGTAATTTTCCAAGCCTGGAAAAGTCATGCAATTTTGTAAATTCAATGAAAATTTTGGAAAAGTCACGGATTTTAGTATCTCTTTCACACAATTCCAGTGTTCTGTTAAGTTCTCATGAGACTATTCTGATTATTTCTGAACATCTGCACCTTTTGTTTAAAAGAGACGAAAACAAATGCAAACTATAATCCCAAACCATAAGGTGAGTGGAAAGAGTTAACATTTCATATTTAGCCCTAAAAGTCTGATCAATTTTATATATGTAGGTGCCATAAAGTCATGTAACATTTGTCAGTGAAAAAGAGTGGGAACCCTTTTATATTAACCCAGCCCTATCCACTACGTAGTTTCAAATATTCCAAAATGATTTGGTTGCTGTACATTAAGGATGAAACTTTACAAATATTTACATAACCAAAATAAATTACATACTATGCATACTAAATATAATTTTAACCCAGTTTCTTTCTTTTTTTATATTGTACTGTATTATGGTCGTACAAACTAATAATAATAATATACAGGTGCATACAGGTAGAGCTGTTTAATGTCATACTGTGGAACATTCCAGGAAGAGTAGTTTTGTATTCATAGAAACAAGCAGGCAACAGTCCCCCAAACTAAAAGTTACATAGAGCACCTTTACGCAATGAGTAACAATGAACGCATATTATTAGATGAACTGAAAACATACACAATACATAAGTGTGATAAAATGACAGAAATCCCACACGAGATATTGTTGAGAAGCTCCTTCACAGACAGAGCAGCTCTCTGTCTCCCCCCGTGGATATATTCATTGAAGGAGGTGGTTTGCACAGGTTGCTGAGTCCGTCCCCAGAGCAGCGTCCAGACATCGTACAGGTCAGCTCCAGCATCTCAGATCTCCTGATGAGAGCCATGGACCGCCTCCACTCCTCCCACAATGCACTGGAGCGCAGGGCCCAGAGGGACAGGAAGAGGGCGCACAGATACTTCTTAGAGAGGAACCAGGCCAACGCGCACGCAGCCCCTACACAGGTGAGAATATATTAGCATGTCACAGTGGTGATCCTACACTGACTGGAGCCCTGGTCGAGACCCCCCCAAACCAGGACTATACCAGGACTTAACCAGGTCTAAACCAGGACTAAATCAGTGTTATTAGCATAAATATATACACGCCGCAACCACCAAGCTGATCGCAAGGACTTCACCAGGACTGGACCAGGACTACACCAGGACTCAACTAAGACTGGACCAGGACTGAACCAGGACTACACCAGGACTGGACCAGGACTACACCAGGACTGAACTAAGACTGGACCAGGCCTGAACCAGGACTACACCAGGACTGGACCAGGACTGAACCAGGATTAAACCAGGACTGGACCAGGACTGAACTAAGACTGGACCAGGACTGAACCAGGATTAAACCAGGACTGGACCAGGACTGAACTAAGACTGGACCAGGGCTGAACCAGGATTAAACCAGGACTGGACCAGGATAGAACCAATTATTTTTCTCTCGTTCATTGTTCATTTGATTCACCTGACTCCTCCGTATGTAATCACTACCCGCCCATAACGTTTCCAGATTCTATTTCCAATTCCAGAACGTTAACACCCGCCCGTTTCCGTTTCAGGAAAGGTGCAGGACTCAGGAAGGCAAAGACAAGGTATAAAAATAAGTTTAAATTTTATAAAATAAAATCAAAAGATATAATTTAACAAAGGCTCAAATTAGGCAAATTATTAACAAAAAAAAAAAAAAGCCAGGCCCAACTGGGGAAACTCAAATCCCAGCTGCAATAAGAGACTCCACCACATTCAGTACATTTAAAACTAATCTGAAACGATGGCTTAAGAGAAACCAGATCTGTAACCACTAATGTTATCTTATGTAAATGTCAGTGTTGTATGTCATGCTTGTGTGTTTTTTTTATTGTGACGTGTTTTATGTTCTTATGTCTTTTATGTCTCTATCTCTCTGACCTGCCAGGGACTACAGATGAAAAGTAGCCTTTGGGCTAATTCTGGTGTATTTACAATTGTATGTTCGTGAATATGCATTGTCCCTTTCAAATAAATAAAATTAAAAAAAAATAATAATCAAACTGAACAGAATTGAAAAAAACTAACCCCACCAGACAAAGGAACAGGACTGTTTAAATACTTGAGGACCAACTAAAGCAAGACAAGAGGGAGGGATTACACTAAATAATTATTTTGCTTTTGCTACTTCACTTTGTAAACCTTGTTTTTATACCTTGCTTTATAAACAAAGATGTATTATTTTATGTATTTAGGTTACTTACTGTATACTGTCTGTGTTGTGTTGCAGGATAAGTCCTCAGTGCAGATGGATTCTTCCGCTCCTCGTCAGCACAGTCCTACTCAGGGTGATTATCAAGTGATTTTCTGTGACAATGAAAAGTGCATGAAAGTGATTAGATTGTGAACAGTGTTGTTGTGCTCCAGGTGAAGGCTCAGAGGAAGAAGAGGAACTGTTGGACATCAAAAACAACGGACCCAATGGAGAAATGTGCGGTCAGTTCTTTTTGTTAATCTAACTTCTATAGTCATTTACCAATTCTGTCACAAAACTGTATGTAAAATATAATGTAAATGTGTTTAAACAGCACATGTTCACGAGCCTGTGATCAATACGAGTGTTCAACATCTCAACTTAATAAAAATCTCATAAAAATGTACATTTAAATGACCCATATTACACTGTTCTAATGCTGTTTCTTCATCACAAACACACCTGGAGTTGTGTTTTGTTTAACACACTAACCCTGCAGATTTACGCAGGAGGAGGTAACAATATTATGACATGGTTTAAAGTTCACAAGATTAACTTTCGTGTCATATAAATATTTGTTACACAGGTTTTGAATAGTATATGTTCTTATTATTAAGGTGATAATGTGTTTTATTTTCATTGTAGTTTTCAAATCAAAGCTGTGTTCAACCCCAGAGCAGTTAACAGAGCGGTAAGCCCCTCCCTCTTCTGTCTCACAAATATACAAATATGATTCATTCATTCACATCACATCACTTTGTTTCAGGGACTGTGGCTCTGCTAAGACCAAATCCAGACCAGGTACCACACATGCAGCTTGTGGCTCCAGTGGATATTCAGTCCTGGTGGTGTATAAATGTTCCTCTCCCTGTGTGTTGTTCAGGTTCTGTGTCTGCAGCCCTGTGTGTGTCCCAGAGCCGACTGAGACAGATCGATGACCCCAGCAACAGACTCCTGCTGCAACTACACAAAGTCCTCTTCATAACACAGGTGTACAACAGCACTATGCTCAATGTGTTTTTATGGTTAAAGTATACTTAATCCCCTGTGAGGGAAACTGCATTTGACCCATCTTCACCCAGTGCTGCTGTGGGAGTCTGTCAAGAGCAGTGAGCTGCTGTCATACAGCACCCAGGGGCCCGTCTCCAGATCTTGAGCTATAGACTTAGTCAGGAGGTTCTTCTGGGGGATTTTAAACTATCTGCATGTTTTGTGTGCTATTATACTCACATAAGCTACTTAAACAAATGAAAATATTCAAATTCCCCAGTAAGAAACAATTGTTCTGAGTGAGTTCAGAGTGTAGTTACTCAAGTAACTGTAATGGACAGTATCTCCTTATGAATTGTTTCTAGAGGAGTAGAGAGATGACCGTTAACAGGCTTAAATCCTCTGTTCTCCAGCTTCCTCCTGCTCTTCATCATGACTCCAAGCGCCACCTGGTGGAGAGGTTCAAGAAGTCCCTTTTCAACGCACACAGTGACCCATACAACCTCAAAGGAGAGCTCAGCAAGGTACAGGCTCACCTAGATTGTTAAAGTGTGTATGACAGGTTTTCATGATTTTCTTAGTTTTACATCAGTTTGTGGAAAATAAATTTGAAATGAAAACTAAAGAAAATGCAGGAGGTAGCGCTGAGATCTAAAATTGCATCCCTCTACCTACGTCATCATCAGCAGTGCCTAATCATTGTCTAATTATAACTATTGCGCAATTTAGACAAGTTTTGACCTTGTTTACATTATGGTTTCTTGGTAACAGTTATGGAATTAACTCTATATATGTCAGATGTCCAACCAGGAAGTACAACTGCCTTTTTTAGTCAAATCAAATGAGTAATTTAAATATGTTTGTATTTGACCTAAACTGACTAGAAACAGAATAAAAAATAAGTCTGATATACTATGACCATGTTTTCTTGCAGCTCCTCCAGGCGTCTTCTGAAGTGATGGAGCTCGGTTTGGTCCCTGACTGGTCTCTAGTCCAACAGCCCCCCACACACTCCGCGGGTACACAGCTCTCTGCACATTATTATAAACTTTGATTGGTCCCTGCGTGTTTCAGTAATCCTGTATTGTCCTGAGGCACCTATCCCCTATCTCCGCCCACTGCTCTAGACGTACTTGTGAATAATTTCAGACACCGGATCATGCATGTAGGGTCCAAAAATGTCACTTACTTTTACTTAAACAATGATACACACACATGCAAATCTGCTGCTTCTTGTGGTTACTTTTCACTTTGTAAAGGTGGGGCCAAAATGTAAAATCGAACTAAATTCATGTGTGTAGACTGCTTGCTTGGCTCTTATTAGTGTATTTCATTCTGTCCAGAGGGTGGCAGTATAAGCGCACTTTTATACTCTTAAAATAGGCTCTTTTCACACACACCTGAAGACTTTAGGAAACATGCGCATGATGATTTCCGGTGTAGTGACCGACACTGGGCATGTGATAAAACCGTGGATTCAGCAGCAGCATCTTCACAACCTGCAAAAACTTTCCATGGACAGTGTTGGGAGTAACAGATTACATGTACTGGAGTTATGTAATCAGAGTACTAATTATGAGTAACTGTATTCAGTTACAGTTACTGTTTCAGTGAGTGGTAATTGGATTACAGTTACTTTGTTGAAATAAATGGATTACACAGAGGTATTTTCCTGTTTTCACATTATGTTTATTTTTATTTTTATTTATTTATTTATATATATGTATATATATATATATATATATATATTTTTTTTTTTTTTTTTTTTTTCCCCGGTAATTCCATTCATTGGGCCCACTAAATGAAACTAAACCAGGTCTAAAACCAGGTCTAAACCAGGTCTAAACTAGATCTAAACCAGGACTAAAACCAGGACTAAACCAGGACTAAAACCAGGTCTAAACCAGGACTAAAACCAGGTCTAAACCAGGACTAAAACCAGGTCTAAACCAGGACTAAACCAGGTCTAAACCAGGTCTAAACCAGGACTAAACCAGGTCTAAACCAGGACTAAACCAGGTCTAAACCAGGACTAAACCAGGACTAAAACCAGGTCTAAACCAGGACTAAAACCAGGTCTAAACCAGGACTAAACCAGGTCTAAACCAGGACTAAACCAGGTCTAAACCAGGTCTAAACCAGGTCTAAACTAGATCTAAACCAGGTCTAAACCAGGACTAAACTAGGACTAAAACCAAGTCTAAACTAGATCTAAAACAGGACTAAAACAGGATTTAACAGGACTAAATCATGCTGCGTGGACGTGTCTCCTCCTCTTCGATCAATAATATTTTTAATACGGCTAAAAAAAATCCTCGTCTTTGCTTCTCTACAGCAAATCAAGTAATCTAAAGTATTCAGATTACATTACTCACTTTACGTAATTTAATGGATTACATTACAAACTACATTCTGGGGTATGTAATCTGTAATCTGTAGGGGATTACATTTTAAAAGTCACCTTCCCCACACTGTCCATGGAGGATATGACTCTAACTGCATCTTCATGTCACTCACAACATAATGGAACGGTACTATCACTTCTTTTTTATATATATATATTAAGTTACACAAATTATAATGCACAAATTAATTTATAAAAGGAAAAAAGAACGAATATAGTGACATGTAGATGAAGAAAACTGGGCCATTTTCACAGTTTTTTCCCAGATTTTGTCAGAGTTAGTATCGCAACAGAGCCCAAAGGAAGTCATCACCTGCTTGTTTCCAAATGTCTTCTGGTTTTGTGACGTGACGTAAGCGTGAATATTGCCCATTGTTACTTAACATTGTCTTGTTGCGTTGTTTCCTGCAGCAGATGGAGTCACCTATGAACAGATGCAGGTCAGTGCCATTGTCACTTTATAGGCAAAGGTCCTATATAATGCAAATTTGACTCTTGTGAGCTTTTAGACATGTTATTATACTGTTACCGCCTCAAAAACAGACCTGGAGTTGTGTTTTGTTTCATTCATACACGTTTAAGTAACCCTTTATTACTGGTCTTAAAAAAATCCTAAAATTTTTTCATTCTCGTTGTGGTTTATTTTGTACAATCATAAATGATAAACTTTTTTGCCTTTTTTGTCATTATTATTAGTTTAAATGACCACAAATGAAAATATATTTGTGCATGTATGTGTACATGTGTTTACGCACACTGTATGTATGTATGTGTATGTATGTGTGTATGTATGTGTATGTATGTATGTATGTATGTATCTGTATGTATGTATGTGTGTGTGTGTATGTCTGTATGTATGTATGTATGTATGTGTATGTATGTATGTATGTGTATGTATGTATGTATGTGTGTATGTATGTATGTATGTATGTGTGTGTGTGTGTGTATGTATGTGTGTATGTATGCATGTATGTCTGTATGTGTGTATGTATGTATGTATGTGTGTGTGTGTGTGTGTGTGTGTGTGTGTTGTGTGTGTGTGTGTGTGTATGTATGTATGTATGTATGTATGTATGTATGTATGTATGTGTGTGTGTATGTATGTGTATGTATGTATGTATGTATGTGTATGTGTGTATGTATGTGTATGTGTGTATGTATGTATGTATGTATGTATGTATGTGTGTATGTATGTATGTATGTATGTATGTATATGTCAACCACATGTTAAGGTAAAATAACTGGGGAAGGACATGATGAGTTTTTAAACTTCAACCTCCTCCTTCTGAGCACCACAAATGGTCCCAAACATGTACAAATATATATCCTTATGTTTGTAATATACCGTGCTCAAACAAAAATACTGATTAAATGAAATGAAGTCTGTGTACATCTCCAAAGCTCAAAATGCTCTGTTCCACCTTGTGATGTCATGACGTGTTATTTCTCAAGTGAACAGCTTTACTTTTAGTTCAGTAGAGATTGGCAGGACTGAAATGATCCAAATGATACTGGTGATGTGTGGATGAAACAAAACACAACTGCAGGTGTGTTTGTGATGAGGAAACATTAATATGGGCCCTTTTAAACAATATTTAGAATGATCATTTATCATCTGTTTTCTTCCGCTTTAATGTATGACAATGAATACTTTGATTATTTTAGGTTTTCATTGAAGAGCTGCTTGAAGAAAACGGCTACTACAAATCCACCAGGTGACTTCAGAGCAGCTACAACCGGACCAGAAGATATTTTACACATTTTATTTATCTCTCTCTTTAGGGGTACACAGAAAAGACTTTTACCAACATAGTAGCAACTAAATGTACAAATATAAAAACACACTCAGGCTGTTTTACTTCTTCATTGTTTTGCACTTTTTGAGGTCACACTGTGTGTGTGACAGATAATATTGGAGATGGTTAAACATATATATTAATAAACAAATGAATAATGTAGTAGTTTTTTTTGTTTTGTTTTTTTACATTCACTGTTTAATGACATGTACTGTGTCCACAGAAAACTGTACTGAAAAACCGTATGAAAGTAGATTTAGATAAACCTACAAAGGATGACTGCATAAATCATGGATCTATAATAAGAATTTTATTATAGATCTTGATAAGATTTGATTGTTATATATATTTCGATTTTATTATTAGGGGTGTGCAAAAATATCGGAATATCGATATATTGTATCATTTAATGTGATGATACAGTATCGATATCGTGGGCTGCTGTATCGATATATCACCAAGAATATTTTTACGTGTGTTTTACTAAATTATTTTGTTACAGAGCTACAGTTTTGTTGCTTGTGGAGTGAAAGGAAACTCATTTATGCGACACATTTGACATTTTCACTATTTTGATGATTAAATAATGTTTGTGTTTCATATGAACTTTGCACAAGAAGAAGTGGTTTAACAAAGACTTTTAGTATCACAGCCACGATTTAGCCTTTATTTTTTATTGAACCGTATCGAATCGATTTGAAATATATCATATCGAATCGAAAGTGCACTGTATCGAGATATGTATCGTATCATGGCCTGTGTATCGAGATATGTATCGTATCATGGCCTGTGTATCGAGATATGTATCGTATCATGGCCTGTGTATCGAGATATGTATCGTATCGGCAACTTCTTAATGATACCCAGCCTTATTTATTATAGTTCTATTGCATAAATCCAATGAATTCACAAGAGACTAGATCAAGACCTCAAGCAGCTGCAAACTACAAACCTGAAGGTCTAACGCTGGACGGCAAGACAAGAAGAAATGCATTTTTGTCTTTTTAGACATGTTTAGCTTCTTAACTCAAAATCCAGAGCGTTTATTGGTCATATGGTCTACAATATATTTTTTCTGGTTAATCATTAGGACAAAGCAGATATTTTTTGCATTACTATACTTATTTATTGACTCACTTCTAACTTCATTTGTCCCTGTAGAATTTTCCAAAAATTCTAATAATTTACAGACATGACACAGGTGAACCAGCTGATGTGACGTGGTTGCTGTCTTCAAAATCATATCAGTAACTTGGCGGTTTATTAACTTTTCAATAAAAGTAGGTCTTGTGGTAATTAGTTATTAGAAAGCATTTTACACAAATGAACTGACTTTGTCATAATTTAAGATGCAAAACGTTTCCCATATTCTCCATTAACATGAATGATCCTCATTTAACGGAAGTGTCACCACAAAAATTGCATTTTAGGAAAATTTAGAGACAAAAGTGGGTGAGGTGGAATAAGGTGGACAGGTAAATTCACTAATGTTGACCCTGTTCATTTCTATTAGTGACTAGACCCAAGAGTAAGTTAACCAGACGTCCCTGTTTACCCGGGACAGTCCCAGTTTTGAGCCTGTGTCCCCTGTCCCAGCAGATTTATTCAAAACCATTAATTTGTCTCAGTTTTATACTAAAAATGTCCAAAGTGTCCCTATTTTTGACCAATTTGATCCCTGCCAACAGTAAAGAGAGACATAAACTGTCATTTAAGTAAAATACAGAAAAGCTGCTTAAAAAAGACCAAAACACAAAGAAAATGTGACTATACTGACTCACATTAGTGCCGAGTGCAGAACAGTTTTCCTTATTTACTCACTTGTTTCACAATTTTATTATTACCAACCACCACAAACCAGGGATGTCTCAGTTTTTTATTTTATTTTGAAAATCTGGTCACTTTTTATAGACCAGAAAATAGTATAAAATCCACAGAAGACAATGAGCTGTGAGTGGATTTTAAAGACTAAATAAATGAGGTGAATCATTAACACAGGGATATTTCTGAGGACTCATTCTGAAGCATAATCAAAGTTCAAATAATGCATGGTACTTCTATTTAATGTTTTAATAAAGTTAGGGTGACCAGACGTTTCTAATTACCCAGGACAGTCCCAATTTTATACAAGAAATGTCCCAAATGTCCCTATTTTTGACCAATTTGATCCCTGCCAACAGTAAAGAGAGACATAAATGGTAATTTGTTTAGGTAAAATACAGAAAAACTGCTTAAAAACGACCAAAACACAAAGAAAATGTGACTACACTGACTCATGTTCGTCATAAATGGGCCAAATGCAGAACAATTTTCCTTAATTACGCACTCCTTTCACAGTTTTATTATGACCAACCACCTCAAAGCTGGAGTGTCCCAGTTTTTTATTTGGAAAATCTGATCACCCTTCCCCAGAGCTCACTGTATTACACCACAAACCTACCACGCTATTCTTTTTAACGGCCCCCATCTGTATTATTGGTCTTTAGAATGTTGTAATGTCATCTAAACCAAGCAATTATAAACATATTCAGAAAGTAATAAATGCTTATCCATCATAATACTGCACAGAAATATAATAAGGCTTAGCACAGTGGACATTTCACTTTTGAGGACCCCCTAGTGGCCCAGTCCATGACATTTTGGCTACGTTCAGACTGCAGGGCTTAAAGCTCAATTCCAATTTTTTTGTGAAATCCAATGTTTTTGCGAGGTCGTTCACATTTCCAATTAAATGTGACTTGTATGTGACTCCAGTGTGAACATTAAACGGCCCGAAAGTGTCCCGCATGTGCACTGGAGACACGACGACGTCAACCGCAGCGAGCGTCTCTGTGTTTACAGAAGTTGTCCAAACATGGACGCAGCATCGAGCACCTGGAGATTTTAAAGTTCCTCTCGTACCAGAGCCAGAACATGAACAACTTACTTGTTTTAAGGAGGAGATTGAGAAGGAGAAGGACGAGGTTTTTGGTCGTGGTGTTTTGTGGGGCAGCGGCAGTGACGTCCGTTGAAAGGAACGTGTGGATGTGGAGACGGAGCCAAGAGTGGTGAGTGGTGATGTGCTTCACTTCAGTGACACGGAGTTCATTAACAATTTTCACCTACTTCAGAGCAGAATAGTGACGTTTGTGTCTTGTTGATAACGTGTAGGTCGGATGGATGCACTTTGGCCGTTCACACTGAAGTCGCATGTCAAAAGATCAGATATGTAGAGCGGCAGTAGTTCAGTTGGTAGAGCATTTGCCCACTGATCTGAAGGTTGGTGGTTGGATTCCAGCTCTCGACATAAACATCACAGGTTGAGCATCAAATCCACTGACCCACAGGTTGACTGGTGTGATTCCAGCTCCCACAGATGAATGCTGTCATTGTGTCCTTGGGCAAGACACTTAACCCACCTTGCCCACAGTGTCTGTGTACACTGGTGTGTGAATGTGTGAGTGGTTCCTTGTTGTAAAGTGCTTTGAGCCTTGAAGGTGGAAAAGCCTATAGAAAAATGTGACCATTTACCATATGTATCGGTTTCAGGACCACATATCCAAAGCTGCGTTCAGACTGCAGCCTGAAGTGATCAAAATCCGATTTTTTGGCCTCTATGTGACCTGTATCTGATCTTTTAATGACTGTCTGAACGACACAGATCCGATTTTTTCAAATGTGACCCAGGACACTTGGATATGTGCTCCTGAAACTGATACATATCTGATCTTTTGACATGTGACTTCAGTCTGAACGGCCAAAGTGCATTCATCCACTTACACATTATCAACAAGACACAAACGTCACTATTCTGCGCTGAAGTAGGCGAAAATTGTTAATGAACTCCGTGTCACTGAAGTGAAGCACATCACCACTCACCACTCTTGGTTCCATCTCCGCACCCACACGTTCCTTTCAACGGACGTCGCTGCCGCTGTCCCACAAAACACCACGACCAAAAACCTCGTCCTTCTCCTTCTCAATCTCCTCCTTAAAACAAGTAAGTTGTTCATGTTCTGGCTCCGGTACGAGAGGAACTTTAAAATCTCCAGGTGCTCGATGCTGCGTCCATGTTTGGACAACTTCCGTAAACACAGAGCACGCTCACTGCGGTTGGCGTCGTCGTGTCTCCAGTGTCACATGTGGGACACTTTTGGGCCGTTTAATGTTCACACTGGAGTCACATACAAGTCACATTTAATTGGAAATGTGAACGACCTTGCAAAAACATCGGATTTCACACAAAAATCAGAATTGAGGGTTAAGCTCTGCAGTCCAAGTGGCCTGGGTCGCATTTGAAAAAATCAGATCTGTGTGGTTCAGACTTGTCATTAAAAGATCAGATACAGGTCATACAGAGGCCAAAAAATCGGATTTGGGTCACTTCAGGCTGCAGTCTGAACGCAGCCTTTGTTACACGTCTGTGTTGGAGAAAGAAAACTCTCAAGTCCAGTTCAGAAGACTTTAATAGACCAGCACATGAAACTAGGGATGTAACGATATCCAAAACTCACGATACAATCTGATCACAATGTTCATTTCTCTGTATCATAAACTGTAGATAAGACACTTTTTGCTTTTAAAATACATTGACAAGAGTTCGGTGTGAATCAATACTGTCATAATCCCAAAAATTAAATTAAAAAAACATATTTCTTCGTGTTGTCTGTGCTGAAATGCATCATGGGATATGTAGTTCCCTCTGTTTATTAACTTTTCCTACTATAAACCGATACATTCAAGCAAAGGAACTTGTAGCTGGATATATTCTGACAGCTCTCAATATTATTTTGAGACTTTCGGCGAAACATCACGATATTTCGATTATTGTTACATCCCTACATGAAACACGAAAAGATAAAAATGGACTGAGCTGAACCAGCCCCTGTGTAGAGACATTCACAACCAAAGATGAACACGATTTCTGGATAACATGAAGAGAATGAAAATATATTGTCCTTAAATTGAGCACAAAACTTGATATCCTTGTAGTTTAGACCTCTACGAATGTCTTCTGAAGTACACAGGACTCTGGGATTAGTGTTTCAAACGTGCACTGTGAACTCAAGATGTATTTTAGAATTATCCAGCAGCATCTCATCACAACTGCATCATTCGTTCTGGAGCCTTTAGAACTCTACAGGAGATTCACAGCTTTTGAATCTCATTACTTGTTACAGATTGGCTCCACAAACATACATGACATAAAGTATTCATCTCGTGGCTAAGTGAACTATTCACTTTTTTGTTTTTGTTTCATGTGAGTAATAGGCTCTGTGCAAAATGGCAGAAGGCTTGCTCAAATAACTAAATACATAAAGGTTATTATATAACACAAATTTGACTTGAATAGAGATTCCTGCATTAAAACATAGATCACAAATGAAAATAGCGTAATATGAGCCCTTTAAAAAACCCACAGAGGACAATGAGCTGTGGGTGGATTTTAAAAACTAAATAAATGAGGTGAATCATTAACCCAAAGACATTTCTGAGACTAATTTTGAAGCATAGTCAAAGTTAAAATAATGCAAAGTACTTCTAGTTGATGTTTTAATAAAATTAGGGTGACCAGCACTGTCCCTGTTTTACACAAGAAATGTCCGAGGTGTCCCTATTTTTGACCAATCTGAACCCTGCCAACAGTAAAGAGATTCATACATTGTCATTTGTTTAGATAAAATGCAGAAAAGCTGCTTAAAAAAGACCAAAACACAAAGAAAATGTAACTATACTGACTCACATTAGTGCCGAGTGCAGAACAATTTTCCTTAATAATGTCCCAGTTTTTATTTTCAAAATCTGGTCACCCTACATAGGAAACAGCGTAAAAACCACAGAGGACAATGAGCTGTGAGTGGATTTAAAAGACTAAATAAATGAGGTGAATCGTGAACCCAAGGACATTTCTCAGGACCTTTTGTCTCAAGGCGTAATTAGGGCTGTCGCAATAACCGCCAAAATGAATCACCGCGGTACTAAGAGGCCCACCGCAGTGGATGTTGGGCCACCGTGATCACATGACCACGTGAATTGACCCAGAGTCCTGCACGGGTCAATTTAACATTCCACCCGTTACCGCCCATGCCCGTGATAACCCAGGACTAACCCAGGACTAACCCAGGACTAACTAACCAGGACTACCAGGACTACCCAGGACTAACTCAGGACTAACCAGGACTAACCCAGGTCTAACCCAGGACTAACCCAGGACTAACCCAGGACTAACCCACTAACCCAGGACTAACCCAGGACTAACCCAGGACTAACCCAGGACTAACCCAGGACTAAGGTGTGCCCGTGTAGATCGTTTGGTGACCGCAGGCAAGAGGACCACAGCAGCTCCGCGCCGCACGGAGGTAAGTGCGGCCGTCGCCCGATCGCGCTTTGTGGGCACCTGCTCCGTGTGCTCGTGCCAGGGGCTCTCTCTCTTAAGTCCACGGGTACCCGACCTGGTGCAGGACTCTGACCCGACCTGGTGCAGGATTCTGACCCGACCTGGTGCAGGACTCTGACCTGACCTGATGCAGGACTCTGACCCGAGCTGGTACAGGATTCTGACCCGACCTGGTACAGGATTCTGACCCGACCTGGTGCATGACTCTGACCCGACCTGGTGCATGACTCTGACCCGACCTGGTGCATGACTCTGACCCGACCTGGTGCAGGACTCTGACCCGACCTGGTGCAGGACTCTGACCTGAGCCAGTGCAGGACTCTGACCCGACCTGGCGCAGGACTCTGACCCGACCTGGCGCATGACTCTGACCCGACCTGGTGCAGGACTCTGACCCGACCTGGTGCAGGACTCTGACCCGACCTGGTGCAGGACTCTGACCTGAGCTGGTGCAGGACTCTGACCCGACCTGGTGCAGGACTCTGACCTGAGCTGGCGCAGGACTCTGACCCGACCTGGCGCAGGACTCTGACCCGACCTGGTGCAGGACTCTGACCTGAGCCGGTGCAGGACTCTGACCCGAGCTGCCACAGTGAGAGCTGGAGAGATGCAGCGGCACTTGTTCCAAAGCCAAATGTTTCTTCTCCCGATACACATACACACACTATATCCACACAACAACCAATGTACATGTGCATCTGCAGCAAGCGCATCATCAGAGAGAGTTTTCAGTACCTCTGGAAATATTGTAACTTGAGGATGAGGGAGGAGAAATTTCTGGGAAATTCTGAGAAATTAACCACGATGAAAGTGAAAATAATGCCAGATACTTCTGTTTGATGTTTTAATAAAGTAAAGATTAGTGTGGAGACATGTTGAGCTAGTTTGCGTGCTGCCATGCACAGAGCCTTTCACTGCTCGCTCCAAACATCTGCAACATGACACTTAAACAGCAAATTCCACCATCGAACCCTGACCTGTCTCCAGCTCAGGTGAAACTACAGAGACTTTACAATGAGCTGGTGTGACATGAACCAAACCCACCGTTCCACCCCTCGCCCTCTCTGTGTACTCTCTCAGTACATGAAGTAGAAGTACATAAAGACGCTTCATGGTTATTCCAGTTATTGCAAACATTCCACGGAATAAAAAACATGTAGTTATAACATCTGTATTCACATTTCCCTTTTGTACAATTCAAACTGCCTTGAGTCAAAATCAAATACTGTATACAGACTCTGCTACTCTACTCTACTCTTCAGTCATGAGGTATAAGGTTAGTTTAGTGATGTTTCATGCACGGTTATGTAACTGCATGTGTCTGTACAGCGGCTCTGAGACATGATAATATTAGTGTCATCGTAAAAATGCATTGTATTTTGAGGTAAGAGCGAACAGAGCCCGGTGTAAAAGGTCAATGGTTTGATATATCCAGTCAAATATCCAGTTTTTATACATTTTTACAAAACAAAACAAAGAATATAATAAAATGTTATACCATTATAAGCTTTAAAAGGTTCACCATGTAACTTTTCTGTCAAGAGTTAGCCCCCCAAGCTGGTGTATCACTGTCAATTAACTTATACACATTATCATTCTTAAATCATCGGCACGAATGCTTCACAACAGCAGAACGAACCGGAAAATCAATCTGTAGTTACATCCAGTTGTCCAAAAATGCACAAACCTCTGCACGTCTGCACGCCCGAACCGTCGCTGTTCTGTGACTGGTCCAGTTTAGGCCCCGGGCACCAAGATGGATTCTAGCGAGACGGCAGACCCTCCACTTAGAAAAGCTACATAGTACATCTTTAACGGTGTGTCCTTTTGGTCCCAAGTTCCTACAACAGAAGCAAAGTCTGCGTTTAGTCTCTGGGAGGAGTTATGGCGCTGCCGGAAATAAGTTTTTTAACAATGCGGACAAACGGCGGATCCACCCACACCGGCGCTCCGACTGTTGGTGATCATTTCGTCCGCTGCACCCGCAAAGTCTTTTCTCTAGTGTCACGTCATTATTACAATCGCACACTGGGCCGTCATAAAAGTGAAAGTGTCAGACTCTAGAAAACTATATAAAAATCTTGACATCGCGAGTTCCTGGGTTTTCCGTAGTCCTAGTGTCCTAGTGCCCTGGCCGTCTCAGAGCCTGCCCCCGGTGGACGTGTGTGGGGTGGGCGTGGTTGTGCAGGTGGATGTGGGGCTGGTTGTGCAGGTGGATGTGGGGCTGGTTGTGTTTGTGGGTGTGGGGCTGGTTGTAGAACACTGTCTCCTGTGGCTCATCTGCAGGTTCTGAAGGTCCTCCAGCATCTCGGCGATCAGCGGAGGTAAGGAGCCCGGGATCTCCATCTTCAGGGTGACCACGCGCTCGGCTCCTGATGACAGAACACAGTTAGGATTAGAGTTTTATTGTGTACGTTACAGGCGGAGTAAGAAGTCTACACTCGGACCTTTGGCGCTGATGGTGCGCAGGTCGGTGATCTTCATGAGAGCTTTGGGGAACATGAGGGGCATGCTGGGTCTGCGTCTGCGCGAGTAAACCTTCAGAGCCTCCAGGAGAGGCTCCTGCAGAACCTCCACCTTTGAGGGCTCCTCCAGGTCCTGACGATCTGCAAAACAAAAGGAAGCAAATGGGAAACATCAGAGCTCAGCTTGTTCTACAGAGTGGTACTAAACTTCTCTCTCGTCATGGAGACAAGCAGGTGACTCCATAGTTCATAACACACAGTAAGAAAGCATCGTGTGTCTTATACTGCCATCTATGTACTGTATTTTCTGCACTATTAGGCGCTCTGGATTTTAAGACGCACTGTGATTAAATGGTCTATTTTCGAACTTTTTTCACAAATAAACTGCACCGGACTTTAAAAGAAACACAACAGTGTGATGGGTGAGTGGTTTTGTTTGTTAGTTCACAGTGACTCTGGGCTTTGTTCAGTTGTGGCGTGTAGGGAGGGTGCTGTCTGGGACCAACGGATTGTCGTCGTGTTCACAGTGACTCAGTTGTTCAGTTGTGTCGAGAAGCGGCACATTGGACTCACTTTTTCAGTTTGTTCCTCCGTTCCGTTCCTCGTCGGCGTGGAGTGTGCAATGTTAGGTGTAGGTTACGTTGCTAGGTAAAGTTTTGCAGAGTTGAGAGGCTGGTCCCACATTTCACATTTCATTCATCCACATTAAGCACAATAAACACGCATTTCGTATAACCTTATTTCTATTTGTGGATATTTCTATTTATTTCTATTTCTATTTGTATAAAAACACAATTACAAAATAAAGTGTTACAGAGCTCCAGTGCAGAATGGTTTGTTCCATAAACAGTTAAATTCATCCATCACGCTTGACTAAAAACACAATAAATATAAAATATATATAAAAACACATCGATAAATAAATAGATTACATTCTATTCATAAGTATGATAGCGGCTGGAAAGAAGCTCCTTTAAAAGAATTCTTTCTAGATCTTGGGACTAAAAGCCTCAGACCAGAGGGAAGCAGCTGAAACTCTTTTAGTGGATGTTGCACGTCTTTTAAAATCCTCTGGGACGTCCTCTGTAAGTGTCTTGAGTACAGAGAGTCCAGGCTGTATGTGTATGTATGAAAAAGAAAACTGAGTTGTTGCAAATAAAAGTGATGATCTCTGTTTGCAATTAATTAATAATTGTGATTGAAATTGATGAAATGTTTTAAAGTAACTCTCAGTGTTAATGTAATGTGTGGAAAAGGGCTGAGGGGGCAGATAACATAAGATTTCTCTTCTTTCTGCTCATTTTCATTCATTTCTTGTATGTTGATGTTGTGACACTGTTAAAGTCTTTTTATACTTTAAGAATGAAATAAATAATACAATCATAAAAATACCTCCAGAGACCAGGCAGATGGCGCTGAGCAGGCCGCTCTCTGTGTCGTCCATCCCCAGAGGCAGCAGCTGTCCGGCGAACGAGAAGACGTGGTCGGTGAGCGGTCCGAAGCCGGCGTTGTGGATCTGTGTGCGGGTCAGTGTGAGGCCATCAGAGAACGTCATGGTGTCCTGGTCCGGAGTGTAGCGCGTGCAGATCCTCAAAATCTGAAGGAGAATCATGTTCAGTCATAGTCGAGTTTGATTTAAAGTACGACATTTTCTGATCTACGTTCTATAATGTTGCTTCCTCATCACAAACAGACTGGGAGTTGTGTTTTGTTTCATTCACACATTTTTAACACACAAATCTGGCATATTTAGGCTTCTCTTAAACAGAAAACACTCTGTTCAACCTTGTGAGGTCATGTGGTAATACAGGAATTGCTCCACTGTGTTTTAAACTCCACACACCTTCACTTCAATCACTTTGGATGATTTCAGCCAAGGAATTTCTAATCTCTGCTGAATTAAAGGTAAAAGGAGCTGTTCACATCCATTTTGTCTCCCCAAAAGTGGGGAGATTTTTGTCATTTTAGTTGTAATGCGATAAGATTTGAGCTGGAGAGGGTTGAATAAGGGTTCATATGTTTGCAGTACTGGTAGACAGAGACATGCACTTCCAGTAAAAGTTGGGACTGGGTGCTGGGGCCAAAGACAAAAAAAAACAAAAAAACTGTTTGGCCTTCTGTGTTTTTTATTTGTCTATAAAATGTAATTAGTGTAAATACTTTTGGTTGTGGCAAACTGCGTTAACAAGAACACTTTAAAACAGAGTGAACACCTGTTTCATGCTACAGATTTTTTTCTAACATGTGTAAAACTGAACCTTGCTTGACCCGAAACGTCACATTGTGGTGTCATTAAAATAAACATTTGGGAGTTTCAAAGAACTGCAATGAGGATCTTTTTTCTTCATAGTACGTTTGCAGCTCAATGTAGATATTGTATTTAAGAAAGGTTTGCTAACACTACTAATTTACTTTGAGTCAGTGGTATAAAGTACTGTAATTTCCAGACTATAAGCCGCTACTTTTTTCTCACACTTTGAACCCCAAAGTGTGAAACAAGAATGCAGCAAATATATGGATGGATTATTTATTTATCACCACAGTGGATGTGTGCACAGAAAGTGCCGCTGTCTGTGCGCTTAACATGAAGTTGCATAGGAAATTGCAAACGTCTGTTTTTACCCAGACATGTCAGTTTTTTGCGTCCTGTCCTGGCCATCCAGGGTTTTTTTAAATAAAGTGAATATAAAGTGAATCTAAGGCTATGTTCAGACTGCAGGGCTTAATGCTCAATTTGGATTTTTTTGTGAAATCCAATGTTTTTGCGAGGTCGTTCACATTTCCAATTAAATGTGACTTGTATGTGACTCCAGTGTGAACGGTAAACGGCCCAAAAGTGTCCCGCATGTGCACTGGAGACACGACGACGTCAACCGTAGCGAGCGTGCTCTGTGTTTACAGAAGTTGTCCAAACATGGACGCGAGCATTTGAGCACCTGGAAATTTTAGTCGTTAGTTCGTGAACATGAACAACTTACTTGTTTTAAGGAGGAAACTGAGAAGGAGAAGGATGAGGTTTTTGGCTGTGGTGTTTTGTGAGACAGCGGCAGGAACGTCCGTTGAAAGGAACGTGTGGATGTGGAGACAGAGCCAAGAGTGGTGAGTGGTGATGTGCTTCACTTCAGTGACACGGAGTTCATTAACAATTTTCACCTACTTCAGAGCAGAATAGTGATGTTTGTGTCTTGTTGATAACGTGTAGGTTGGATGGATGCACTTTGGCCGTTCACACTGAAGTCACATGTCAAAAGATCAGATATGTATCGGTTTCAGGAGCACATATCCAAGTGTCCTGGGTCACATTTGCAAAAAATTGGATCTGTGTGGTTCAGACTGTCATTAAAAGATCAGATACAGGTCACATAGGGCCAAAAAATCTGATTTGGGTCACTTCAGGCTGCAGTCTGAACGTAGCCTTAGTAAATAAGTAAATATAAAGCGCAAATGTCCGGGTTTTCATTATTTTTCACTGGGCCATTAAATTGAGCGGCTCTTGTACTGTAGCTCTGTGCATCAGAAGGAGCGAGCAAACACAAACAGTCGGTCTGCAACGTACCGAAGCACAAATGCACATTTAACGATGACTTGTCCAAGAAATTCCTTGCTTTCCATCCCGGTCGAGACAAGTGGGAGGCCATGTGCACAGTGTACAAAGCAGGCACATATGTTTCAGCGTCCAGTGGGGGTGTCAGGGACCTCAAAGCACCAGGACACCAAAAAACATTAAAAATCTTTGCCAGGTGAGAGTAGATCAATGTCGATGACGAGGCCCCACCTCCTACCCCCCGTACCGTCTTAATAACCGGTATGTGTTAAATGCAGGAGTACGGAAATGACAAGAAGAAATGTCTCAAACTTCAGTAGCCGGACATCCACTCATACCTGATCCATACACCTATCCCCGCCCCTGAGAGAGCCTGAAATCTGCTGAAATCCTATGAAACACTGACATGATACAGACAGAACAGAGACTCTTTCTGCAGGAGATGTGTAGTAGTAGTAGTGCCAAGTGACATAGTCTGATAATCCTTCAAAAAGACGACAAAAGCTTTCAGAGGCGATAAAAGCAGATGGCTGAACTTGAAAACGTTCTTGAAGGCGTGAACACCTGCAGCTTATACTCAGGAGGAACCTATATGTGTATTTTTACTTTTAAAATTTAGCTGATGTAGATTAATATTCAGGTGCCCTCACTAGTCCGGAAATTACGGTAGTATTGATATTAATGTTTATCGCAATATTTCTCTCTAGCGATGTATCATGCTTCAAAAAGTGTTAGTGTGAGAGGTAAATGGCAAAAGTCCAGTTTATTCAAAGACTGAACCGTCACTGTAAAACCCTTCATGTGCAGTGCAAAAACCCTCTGGTGAGAAACAGTCCAACGCGTCGGGGTGACACCTCTGAGCACCCGTCTGTAACTCTCACACACATTTGGCAGGAACAGACACAAGAGGAGTGAGAGTGGAGGTGTCGTCAAACCCTAGAGTGACACAACCACACACACACACACACACACACACACACAAATCCACATTCACACACAAACAGTTGCGTTTCCAGGTTTTTTAGGGACATTATCCTGTCTTATAATTATTTCCTGGAGACTGATCCTTATCATAACCATAGTCCAGGGGTGGGCAAACTACGGCCCAGGGGCAGTATGCGGCCCTTTAAACCTTTTAATCCGGCCCGCCGAACTTGAATAAATTATAATAATAAACCTTGTTAATGTTTTATTTTCCCTGCAATTCCGGCGTTTCCCAATAGATGGAAATACATCCACCTTTGTTGAGGTGCGGCGTTTTAAGATGGATTCATGTGGTATTGAAGACTTGCCGAGTTGTTTTTCTGACATGAGGCTGCGTTCATATGATCATCCTGAAAATAGCTACAAAACAAACTAACTCCAGACTTTGATGCTCTGGGTAAAAAGGGACACCAACAACACTGTTCCCACTGAGATCAAAAGTGAGTTTCACTGCTGTTATGTAAAAATGCATTTACATGTTACATGTCATTTCTGTTCAGGTGTGCACTGTTCAGATGTGCACATTATAAACAATATGCACCAGATCAAATATAACACGCTGGCAGACTGGCACACTGTCACTGTTCCGTCCTGGCGCTGGTCGTTGTTGAGTTTTGGCTCTGGGGACGCACACTGAACAGAAGTAGATCTACATCTTCTACTGTTTTTGAAATAAAGAGTCAGGAGGAGAGTGATGATGATAAGATCCTGAAGGAGAACACAACTTTCAGTGCTTTAAAATGGTAAATGTTAGTAAGAATTTTTTAAAAAAAAGCTGTATTTTATTAATTAAATTTTCAGTGTTTTAAAAGTAATTTCAGTAAACACCGTGGGACTTGAAAGACAGATATTTTGTTGTAATGCTTTGTAATGATTTTCTATTGAAATTCAAGCACAGGTTTCCTACATATCCCATGTTATTTTTTCTCTCCACTCCATCCATCTGCTCCTGGTCCGGCCCTTCCATCAAATTTAAGAACCCTTTGTGGCCCACGAGTCAAAACATTTGCCCAACCCTGCCATAGTCCCTAACCTTAAAGGCCCTTTTCTAAGATTTTTACCCATCTATTTGAGCAAAATGTGTCTTGCCCCAGTACAGATGTATTGTATAAGGGTCCGGTCAAGTGGTAACGGAGGGAAACAGGGGCAGATTTTTGACATTCAAATGTCTCTTATTCAGAAACTAGAGGGACTATTGAAATAAGTAAAGTATCAGAATGTAGGAAAGAGTTACACTCCAACAGGGTCAAGTTAAACCTGTGATATTCTTTCAAGTTGTTGACAAAAAATTTAAAAAACTCATGTTGGTAACAGAGGGAATGAAATATGCAGCACTTTTGGGCAATAAATCCAAACAGTGATAACTCTTGGTTCTCACTTCCATATCCTTAACAAACTGGTTTGAATATTTGCTTCATATAGTTTTCTACCATATGGTACAAGATTAGGTTGAAAAACCTCTTACTTTTTGACTCATGAGATTTTTTATTAAGAAAGGTCATGGTAACGGAGGGAAAAGTAACAGAGGGAAAATTGTACAAACAAGTAGAAGGTGCAGGATTTTACATCATTTATCATCTTTTTTCCCCTGAATACTTTAATATTACTTCAAAATGAAAGGAAACTATTTCTATAAAATATGTCAGTCCTTCCAAGCAAATTTTTATCATTTTAAATACTTTTTTTTTTTTGAAAAATCATGTACCTTCATCAACAGTTCAAAGATGGAATAACACAAGATATGATGAAATACATCCATTTATTGACATGATTTGCAGGTCTTTGAAATTTGGGAAATAATTTTTGTTCCATGTTTCATACATGGTCTGTTTAAAACATATGGAACTTTAGAACCAAAAATGGTACAGAAAAAAGGTCAACAGTTTCATAAACTAGAGTACATATGTATCTGTTCAATACATTTTTATATCAGATGCTTTAACTTGAATTTTTGGCCTTGTTGTTTACTTCTGTTTGACCGGGCCCATAAGCAGCTCTTGAGGTCGAAATATGACTGTAGCATGCTGTTTCATTCACACAAACCCTACATATTTAGGTTGAGTTCTTCTCTCTGACTGAAAACACTTACCTTGTCATGTCCTGTGATAATACAGGAAGTACTCCATTGTGTTTTTAAAAACCCCACACACCTTCATTAGAATCATTTGGGCAATTTCAGCCCTGGAATTGCAAATCTCTAATAAACAAAAGGTAAAAGGAGTTGTTCACTTGAAAACTATCACTTCATGACATCACAAGGTGGAACAGAGCATTCTGAGCTTTGAAGATGCAGACAGACTAATGATAAAGGGTTAATCAAACGTGTGAATGAAACAAAACACAACTCCAGGTTTGTTGTTGATGAAGTAACAACATTCTAACATGGTTTAAAACTCACAAGAATCAATTTTGTGTATTATAAGACCATAAACCTGTAGATAGAGGACACCTACATGTTTTCTTTGTATCTCCCTGTCCATATACTGACATAACGTGGTGATTTTAAAGCACATAGTCTGTACCAGTATGTCGAGGCAGGCGGCCTTGAGCAGGGTGATCTGGTCTGCGATGGTGAGCCCGGTGAAGCCTGGCACTCGTTTGGCAAACTCCACCACTTTGATGATGCACTTTGTGGCCAGTTCGCTGAACTTGTCCCACAGGCCGAGGTCCAGCTGGATCCTCTGCTCTGCACTGGAGTTCTGCAACACACACATACACACACAGATACACACATATGAGGTCCTGCTGTTTCTCAAAGTTTGACTTATTTTGGTGGGATAATACCTGCTGTAAATATATACTGTAGTTTTACACCAATCAAGAAGCAGTTTGTGAAGACAAGTTGAAAAATATGTTGAAAATTACAGGAAGTAATGACATCACACCAAGGATCCGAAGGTCTATCCAAACGTTTGCCACAGTTTACACATAAAACTATTTTTATTATTTTTTGTAAAACAGTAATTCTCTATTTTTATTGTAAAATAGTAAAACTCTATGGCATGGTTGAGAGTCAACTTTGTGTATATAGGTAATATAGGACATTTAAAATGGAAAAATGACACAATAGTTATGATTAGACAAATAAAAATAAATAACTGGCTCAATCTCCGTTCCTCCCCTCACCTATGGTCATGAGCTTTGGGTAATGACCAAAAGAACAAGATCGCCGATACAAGCGGTCAAAATGAGTTTCCTTCGCAGGGTGGCTGAGTGATCCCTTAGAGATAGGGTGAGGAGCTCAGTCACACAGGAGGAGCTCGGAGTAGAGCTGCTGCTCCTCATGTTGAGAGGAGTCAGTTGAGGTGGCTCTTACATCTGTTCTGATGCCTCCAGGACACACTGGAGGGACTATGTCTCTCAGCTGGCCTGGAGCTAGAGGAAGTGTCTGGGGTGAGGGAAGTCTGGGAGTCCCTGCTTAGACTGATGCCCTCGCAACCTGGCCCCGGATAAACGGAAGAAAATGGATGGAAAATAAATGACAACACTTTTATTTTGTTAAGTGAAGGTCAGGAATATGTCTTCCTTATGTGTAAATTGTCTCTGCATTTTTGAGATAATTTTCCCTGTTGAGGACATAAGTAGAGAGATTCTTCACAGTCTGCCACATAACTCATGTAAAACTATGATGAATACTGACCATAGGTACAATCCCACCAAACACAAGTCACATAGAATAAAAGGTTGAGGTGTTGTACTGACCGTGGTGTATTTGCCCAGCTGACACAGCGAAGGGAAGGTCTCTCTGTGAGCTCTGCAGATCTTCTCCACGATCAGGCCCAGCTCTGCGCTCAGCTCGTACGTCTCCATGATGGTCATCTTCACTGCCTCCTTCTGACCCTTACGCTTGTTACGGTCATTTCTCACCGCTGCAACACAACACAAGGCTTAGATAAAGAACACATGATGTATTCTTGTGGCTTCAGCTCCCCTTTAAACAATCTTTTGGCCACTTGGAATCAGTATTAGGGCTGTTGCGATAACTGCAAAAATGAATCACTGTGGTACCCACCCAGACCCGTTAACATCCCACCCGTTACCGCCTGTGCCCGTGATAACCCAGGACTAACCCAGGACTAACCCAGGACTAAGGTGCGCCCATTTAGACTGTCGGGTGACCGCAGGCGAAAGGACGGCCGCAGAGCTCCGCACCTCATCAATCGCGCTTTGCGGACACCTGCTCCATGTGCTCAGTGCTCTCTCTCTTAAGTCTGCGGGTTCCCGACCTGGTGCAGCACTCTGACTCGAGCTGCCACAGTGAGAGCTGTAGCGTACGGGTGGGAGGGACGGTCACTGTAACCATCTTTGTCTTTTGAGTTGTAGACCAGCTAATAATAATGCAGGTGTGAACGAAACAAAACACAACTCTGAGTTTTTGAGGAGGTAACATTATAATAAACATCCATCCATCCTTATTATTATTATTATTATTATTATTATTATTATTATTATTATAACATGGCTTAAAATTAAATACACAGAAAAAAAACTCAGATGGGTGTAACAACTAACTGTAATTTTTCTGACAAGCAGTGAGATTATGGTTAAATTTGCCAGAAGAATTGACAAAAAAAAGTGAAATATGAACTGGCAAACTAATACAAAACTGTTTGTGCAGATCTAAAATACAGGGTTAGCAGTTTTTATGCAGAATAGAAGATTTTGTTATTTATGGAGGGAATTCTAAAGAACCCATATCTGATCTATGTTATAATCTGGTTTCCTCATCACAAACAGACCCGGAGTTGTGTTTTGTTTCATTCAAACGTGTTTAACACACAAACCCTGCAGATTTAGACAGTTCCACTCTGATCCACCTTGTAATTTTATGTGCTAATACAGGAAGGGCTCCACTGTGTTCTTCAATTCCTTACACCTTCACTAAAATAATTTGGATCATTTCATTTCATTTCATTATAACATCTATTATACAATCACATATACGTAGACCTTAATTAGAATTTTTGCGATTTAAAAATTTCGTCCATTCAAATTACGATTTCGATTGTGATTTATATTGTAGCCTCGGTAGCTGGTTGATCCCACAGCGTTATGTACTCCCCCTCATCCAAGTGCAGCCTCCTCTAACCAGGTTACCCTTTCATAATGACTTTGGTAGCCTTTGGGTCAACAGAGCATTTCTCCGTCGCCCCACTGACTCTGATTGAGGCCTCCTTCTCCTCTCACATGTCTGAACCGTAGAGGTATTATGCAACAGCCCTGGCTCCTCCCCCTCCCTCAATCCTCTCACTTGTCTAAACACTGGGAGTCAGTATCCAGTTAGAGGGGAGGGTGGAGGAGTGCATCCGTCTGCGCTTACATGGAACTGGGCACAATGTGAGGCAGGTTTATGTAACGCGACGTGGGGCTTCGCGTTGGGCGGAGGAGGAGGGGGCGCGCTCCTCCTCGCTCTCACCATAACACACGCTGCTTCTGTCTGGGTTAGATTTGACATAGATCTGAAGAATTCTGAAGAACTGACAAGAAGAATGAAATATGACAAACTAATACAAGAGTTTCAGTTTTTTTCTATGGAGAATAAAACAGGAGATTATGTTGTTTGTGGAGGAAACCAAGATTGCAGCCTTTGTGATCTGTCACATTCACTCAAATGGCCAGTTCAGTTCTATTGTGATTCATCTTGCAGCCCTAGATGTACACCAGAGAGGAGAACTAAAGTTTGGATTTTAGGAGTTGAGGGGGCAAATGTTTTTAACGTATTTTTGAAGTATGCCAATTTTTTTTTTCCTTTCCACTCTCTTGGGGTGGGTCAATCAGACCCAGAAATGTATTTTCATTTATTTTATCGCCAGGCGTAAATTTTTGGGCCTGAATGACCCGCCCCAAGAGAGTGGGAAGGGAAAAAAAAAGTTTCTTCGGGTCTACGTGACCCCGGGGAGAACATGTTAAAGGTTAAAAGGAAAAAAAAAAAGAAAAAAGAAAATTACTATTATCTCTCCCTAAATGGGCAAAAAATCTGTAAAGGATGGCTCCAGCTGAAGACCAGGTCCAGCAGTTTTGCCGTGGATGACTGACCTGTCTCTGGACAGTCCTCAAGAGCTTAAGGCTGGAGTTTGTACTTCTAAACATGTCACTGTTCTAGTGGGTCTTGTATTCATTTTAAACATAAGTGTTGATTTCTGCTTATATTTTAAGTTACTGGAGACACAGGTTCAGTTGTAATTGTACCTTTATAAAACTGTATAAGTACAATCTACATACAGTTAATTTAAGTTTCTATGCTTTAAATGATCCAAATGTTGAATCTAGTTACCCGATCCTGCTTATTTCTCACAAATGCTGAAGTGTGAATAAAGTGGTGGTGTTCTTGAGGTAGAGTTCCCAGCAGATGCCCCAGTCGAATGCCAAGAACATTAACGCTGCTGCAGTGTTTTTATGTTTGATATCATGTCTGTGGTTATGTCACATCATGTGGAGAGGAGGAGTCCAACTGCTCAGAGCCATTACAACTGAAGAAAGGAGCTAATGGGTCTGAGACATGACCCATCTGTGTCATAACAGAGCATAAGGGCACGCTCACTTCAAATACTGACTTTTGCTCTGGTGATAGACACACAAATACACAAATACACAAATACTTTTACATGTCAAAGCTGGTTCAAGCAGTTTATCCAATTAGAAAGCAGAATATGCTTCACAATTTGGGTCACCTAACTAAATAAATGCAGTTTATTTCAGATTTGTGACTGTCCACAAAAGTGTTTGTGTTACACTGTTATAGCTGCAGTCTGTCACATGTAATAGTGGGATGGTGTGGGAGGCTGTTTCACAAAAAGTACTACAGTCACAAATGAACTTGCCAGAGCTTTAACCTGCAGATAGAGGACACATACAGTTTGTCACATTCTCAGTTTATGAACAGGCCTCATGTGAAGCTCAGAACCTCCAGAATTCCCTCCCTGAGCTGCAGAGGCTGCACTAGCACTGACTTACGATTAGCTGCAGATGCTGGATTCGGGGTTTAGGTAGTGACCTTTCAGATCAGAGAGAGACATTTTAGGTTTAAAACAACTGGATTTTAAGCATTGAAACTGGCAACCCAAATGAGCTTTCTGATTGGATCAAATGCAGCTACGGAGAGAAAAAGAACTTGTCCATTGTTTTTGTAAACAAGAAAATAAAAACTGTATTTGATTTGAACATGCTCACCCCATATCTAAGGACACAGGTAATGTTTATGGCATTTAAAACCTCAGTTCCTTGAATTCTGGAAAACTGGAAAGACGACTGCTTCCCTACATTAAAACATTTCCTGGTAAATTCTGTTTATGTGTATCTTAAGCACAACTCATTCACACTGTGTCATTATTGAGTCTTAAAAGCACTGACTAAAGTACACTGTTCTCATGATGTTAAAATACAGCACTGCATTCTTGGACATTTATGCAAATTTGTGAACCTTTCAGAACCCCTAAAGTCTGTGTACAATCTTGCAGTTGTTTAACTACAGAACTGTTCTTTGGCATTAATATGAATAGTTTGTTTACTCTTATAATAATGAGTTTGTGCTGCCTCAAAATCTGTCTATATCTAGTTAGGTTGTATCATGAGGGAGATAAGATAATATTATTGTTATTGTCTCAGTTATGTAACTCTCCGGACTTGGTCACTGGCCTTTAGCACGCCACACTGACAGCTGTATCTCCCGTAACCACAACCTTTACAACCTCACATGTTTTAGGGGGAGTCTAGTTCATATGAAAAGAACAGCTAGGATTTTCAGTATAGTTACAATATAAAATAAAGAAAAAAAAAAACATTTGAGTCGATGGATTTATTCAGAATTCTGTCAGTTTGAATCATAGAGAGTATAAAAGAAATGCCCCTATAACTGCAGGTCTCGGTGAACTTCATTTGACTGGAAACGAACGCTGTATGGGACATGCATAGACTGGAGAAAGAAGTGGACTGAGGGAGTGTGGTCCAGTCAAATGAAGCTCACAGAGGGTGGCAGTTATATGGGTGAATTTGGAGCAGATTTCCATATTAGGAAGAGGAATTAATTAACATACCACATTTTGAGAAATGCTGTCTGAACATTATATATGATACAGATTCAAAGCCTACAAAGACTATAAAACGACAGCTACATAAAAGAAAGAAGTATTTATTTTTTTGTATTCATGATTCCCACTCTTTTTCACTGACAAAATTTCAAAACTTTTCATGACCTAAAGTGAATTTTCCATGTGTAGAATTGATCAGACTTCTAGGGCTAAATATGAAATGTAAACTCTTTCCACTCACCTTATGGTTTGGGATTAAAATTTTTGAACATTCAAAATCCTGTCAGTGCATTTATTGTCATCTCTTTTAAACAAAAGTCACAGACGTTCAGAAATAATCAGAATAGCCTCATGAGAACTTAAAGAGATACTAAAATTCCATGACTTTTCCAGGCCAGAAACATGACATTTTCAATTTCTGTGACTTTTCCATGACTGTGGGAACCCTGTGTATTATAATTTATGCATTTCTGTTTTCTACGCACATTTTACACATTACTGTCCAACAAACATTCATTCATATATCTGGCTCCATCGACTCTGGCTCCAGTTCTCTTTGTATTGAAAAACTGTCACCCCTCGCTCTTTAACTGCTGCTCTGAGCGTTGGAATTTCAGCCTTACAATGTTGGCATTAACCCGCTCTGCATGATCCTGGTGTTTTTATTTCACTATTTTGTCCCTAAATCAAGATTCCTAATATAGAACTCCAAATTCACTCCTGTAACTGCTAGTCTTGACTTAGTCACTTCCTTATACAGTCTATGGGTAATACACACTTGGGGTTTTCAAAAATATGGCTATATCGATATACTAAATTTGGTGACACTGCATTGTTATCATGAGTGGCTATATCGAGTATTTTTTGGCATTTTTGGCTTTTTTTTGTGACTGCAATACAGTTTTGATGCTTATTTAGTAGAAGGAAACTTGTTTATGCAATACACTTGACATATTTACTGTTTAAAATGGCTGTATTTCATATTAACTTTGCAAATGTAGTGGTTTAACTAAGAAATGCTGTTGCTAAAATGTGTTTGGTTCTTAAAAAATAGCAACATATCTCAGTATCCTGCGCAATATATAGATTATCACAATATTGCAATATCATGTTAATACTGTATTGTGTATCGTACTGAATAGTGAGGGACCCTGTGACTCCCTGTGACTCCCTGTGATTCCCTGTGACTCCCTGTGACTTCCTTTGACACCCTGTGACTCCCAGCTCTCATACGTACACTCTTTGGACATGCCGGCGGCGAAACACTTCTGCAGTCGGCAGTACTGGCAGCGGTTGCGTGTGATCTTGTTGATGATGCAGTTTCTGTCGCGGTGACACGTGTACACCATGTTCTTCTGCACGCTGCGCCGAAAGAAACCCTAAACACACACACAGGGGTTATAATCATATGGTTAGAGGTCCCATTTGACACCAAATTGACTCTTGTGAGCTTTAAGTCATGGTATAATGTTGTTACCTCCTCAAAAACTGACCTGGAGTTGTGTTTTGTTTCATTCACATATGCCTGAGGGACCCTTTAGGTAGTTTTCAAGTGAACAGCTACCTTTTGTTTAGAAGAGACTGGAAAATTCCTGGGCTAAAACTATTCAAATGACTCTACTGAAAGTGTATGGAGCACTTTCTGTATTACCACATGACACCACAAGGTGGTGTTTTCTGTTTGAGAGAAGAACTCAGCCTACATGTGCAGGATTTGTGTGTTAAACATGTGTGAATGAAATAAAACACAACTCCAGGTCTGTTTGCGACGAGGAAACAACATAATAACATAGAGCTTAAAATTGCGTAATATGGGCTCTTTAACCAGTACAACAGATGGTATTTTTCACTTTCACTTTTTTATCCATCGTGCAATAAGCTCTAAATAAACAATACAAATAAATAATGAATAAATAAATAAAACATTACATCTACAAAGAGGGCAGGTACCGTATTTTCCACACTATATGGCGCACTTTAAAGCCTTTCATTTCATCAAAAAACTACTGCGTGCCTTATAATCCAGAGCGCCTGATATATGAATTTATTAGGGTGTCTTAGTACAACTTTAGTAAACTACAAAGCCGCATCACTTGCAGCATTACAGCTCCTGTAGTCAGGAGCATCAGGAGTAATACATACTGTGATTCCTTTTAATATCAAAATGCACCTGTCAAGAGACACACTTACAACGCCCACTTTAAACTCAAGGCTGTTATAAAGTGAAAGTGCGTTTAGCTGCGTGGGAGCAGTGGATGAGAGAAGGAGAACACACATTCACCAAGACAGGGAGACAGCGCCGAGCGACTTATGCCACGATCTGCCAATGGATCGTGGACGCCCGAGCTAAGGATCAGTATCAACTGTGGTCCGAGCTTTCACCAAGACCAGAATCATCACTGAACTGTCAGGGAACAGTAACCACACTGACTCGGATAATGACAAGAGGGATGTGGACGTGATGGACGCCGGAATCACCCAACTGTTTCAACTATTATGAGTTATTGTGAATACACTTTTTTTTACGTGTTACAATTGAACAAAGATGAGAGTTATTATGAACACGTTAAATAAAGTTTAACTGACTTATCTAACTGTTGTGTTTTGTTTAATGCGCCTTATAGTCCGGTGAGGTTTATATGTGAAAAAAGTTTGAAAACAGACCATTCTATGACAGTGCGCCTTATAATCCAGAGCCCCTATAGAGCGGAAAATACAGTATTAGCTAAGATCAGCATGTTTGTATCTCTGCTCCTTCATCCTTCACTTGGTCTGTTTTTGTACTTCTGTGTCCACCTCTAGAGGGGGCACTACACGCATGTGTCACTGGCTGCTTATGAATGAAGAAAAGCAGCAGGATTTCAGTGCGTGGGATTGGCTGTGCTTTGGGACATGCTCAGTATTTCTTATTGCTGGGTTTCAAATGACATGGCACAATTTTACGGGCTAATAATATTTAATACAAAAGGCAGGTGAGATAAATATTATTGAAATGGAGATTCTGGTTGTAATGAAAAAGTGAATGTGTCTAGTAGTGACTCAATATTTGTGAATTTAGCTTTTGAATATTTCATGACCAAGTACAATGTAATAAGGATGGGACAAGATCTTGTGCCACAAGATCTCGTGAGATAAAACTGATAAAATTGGATAGTGCATACAAGAGAAACATTATCTTGTGACATTTTTCCCCTAAGTTTTTACATTTAGATTGGACAAAAAAGGGTTACATGTTGGTGAGTTAAATCTCTTACAGTTCTAAAAAGCAGAACTAGAACAGAAACAAAATATGAAATCAAACTAATAAAACAAAAAAAACTAAAACTGGAAACTGAATCTCGAAATGTATATTAGAAATTATGTTAAAATCTCGTCTTGTCTCATTCTCGTGGACCCAATCTCGTATCTCGTCTCGTCTTTTGGAAATTGTGTCTCGTCCCTTCTCTACAACGTACCGTATTTTGCACACTAGAGGGCGCTCTGGATTATAAATCACAATGTCATTGAGTGGTCTATTTCCACATATAAACTGCACCGGACTATAAGGCGCATTAAACGTAACACAACAGTTAGATAAGTCAGTCAAACTTTATTTAACGCGTTCACAATAACTCTCAACTTTGTTCAATTGTAACTCTTAAAAAAATACTGTCTGAGACGCTAAATTGTTAGAGTATTCACAATAAGTCATAATAGACAGCTCACACTTTCACTTTATAACAGTCTTGAGTTTAAAGTGGGCATTGTGAGTGTGTCTCTTAACAGGTGCATTTTGATATTAAAAGGAATCACAGTATGTATTACTCCTGATGCTCCTGATTACGGGAGCCGTAATGCTGGAAGTGGAGCGGCTTTGTAGTTTACTAAAGTCGTACTAAGACACCCCAGTAAATTCATATATAAGACGCTCTGGATTATAAGGCGCGCAGTCGTTTTTGGATTAAATTAAAGGCTTTTAGTGCACCCTATAGTGCTGAAAATATGGTAATCAATAGGGAAATCTGGCTCTTGTCCCCAATCTGAGGATTCTAGAATCTGAAAACCAACAAAAGAGAAAATTTAAATGGCCAATCTGAAAATACAATGTTCTTGTACAATGTATCAATGTTATAATGTTGTTCTCCTGACCAAAACAATTTAAAGGTTCACTCTGTAACATTTCAAGTGAAGGATGGAGCGAATGAGCAAGACACAAAATGTAAGGGCAAACTTGAGCATCTAGAAAAACACAAAAATCCTTGAAAAAACAAGTATTCTTAATACAGACTGGGTCACCTCTCCACAGATGTGACCTGTAAACTTGAGTATCACTTGTATTTAAATCAAGTTCCATGCCATACTGTGGAACATCCAGGCAAAGCAATAACATCACCATGGAGACAAGCGTGTGGAGGTCCCTTCAGAAAAGTTACCGAGTGCACCTTTATAAATAATTCAAGTTCTAAAACATGAAATATCAATGCTAAGGTACTCAAAAGTATTTTAAAACGCCCTGAGAACAGAATGAGTCCTCAAAGCACCATGATCTTAAAATAACTGTGCATGTGATGTTTGTGTCATCCGTAGTGTTGTCATGATACTAACATTTTCAACTTCATTTCAGTACTAAGGAATAGAATTGATACCGATTCTGATACCACAATGATAATATAAATACTCTTTATTTAGACAACAGAATGTGATTTTCAACATTAAGTTGTAGTACTTTCTTTTCTATTCCCATGTGTCTTATAAGTGTGTAATCCTCAGTGGTCCAGTAGTTTCCATAGTGCTCCATGTGTGTATACTGTACTTTTAGACTTGTTCTGATACAACTCAAGATCATTCTAAAGACAGTCAAGAAAACTTCATCTCTGTCCTAATCATTAAGGTTTTTACATTAAAATGATCATCATTATTATTACTATCTGCACTACTAATCTGCATAAATAAACCCAAGCTTTACAAAATATAAACCATAACCACTCTAGAGCCACATCAGCCTGTTTGACATTATCATGTGTTTAATGCAGCTTTGTGCAAGTCTCACAGAAACCAAACTTAAAACAGCATGGCTAATTTGCATAAACTAAGCAAAGAAATTAAGAAGAAATAAACAGCTCTTGTGCGCTGATGCAGCCAACTTCTGTCGGACTAAAGGACACGACTCAGTGGAATACAGGTTAGTGTGACCATATTTGCATTTGTCAAAACCAGGACACCGTACGGGGGGTGGGAGGTGGGGCCTCGTCATCGACATTGATCTACTCTCACCTGGCAAAACTTCTGAATGTTTTTCGGTGTCCTGGTGCTTTGAGGTCCCTGGCACCACCACTGCACACCGAAACATATGTGCTGCTTTGTAGACTGTGCACATGGCCTCCCACTTGTCCCAACCGAGACAAAAAGCAGGGAATTTATTCTACAAGTCACCCTTAAATGCACATTTGCGTATGTTGCAGACTGATCAACTGTTTGTGTCTGATCGCTCCTTCTGATGCACACAGAGCTACAAGAGACGCTCAATGGCCAGAACAGGACGTGAAAATGGATATGTCCGGGGGAAAAACGGACATTTGGTCACCCAATAGCTGCTACGCACAGCAACCTACATTTGGTTTGTTGATTAAAAATGAACGCAATCGATGAAATTCTTAATGATTAATTATCGATTAATCGACTAATCGTGCCCATCCCTAGTATCGATTAGTTGGTTATAGGGATGTAACATTTACCAAAGTATGTTGATATCGTATCATTGACGTTCTCACAATAATATTGTGGATCATCACAATATATCCAATTACAAGTCGCTTTGCTTTAATGAAGAGTTATGGTGCAGCAATAGCTAAAAAAAGACAGAGGGAACTACATAGACCATGATCCTTTACTCCATTTCTGTGTAGACTATAATAGATATTAGAAATAACAGTTCTAAGCACTTTTAAGTTTTAAGTTTTTGGATTAAGTCTTGTCAAGGCATTTTAAGAGGAAAAAGTAGTATTTGTTAGTTTTGTTAGCCCCAAACAATATTGTTACATCCCTAAATGTTAGCCTCTACAAAATCAAAATAAATATTGTATCATGAGACTTGGATATTGTTGCACCCCTAGTCGGTTAGTATGTGATTTTCAGTAGTTTTGACACCCGTGGTCAGTGTATACAGCAGCTGTGTGAGTGTGGAGGGAGGGGACAGTACCTTGCAGCCTTCACAGGCACTGACTCCATAGTGGTACCCAGACGACTTGTCCTGGCACACGAAGCAGGGCTTGTATGTGCGGGGAGGGGGAGGAGGAGAGGAAGGAGGAGGAGGGGAGGGGGGGCTGGTCAGCAGGTCCTCAGAACACCAACTGGAGCTCTGGCTTTCCACGGCTGGAGACACAAGAACAGGGCATGTGTGTTACCATGGTCCAGTGTGAAGGGAACTCCAACATTCAACACACTAACTGTAATTTAAATGACACAAGATTAGAATCTAAGGTCTAGTCCTCAACAAAAATGATCATCATTTGTGAACTGAACTGACCTTTTAGATATTTCTTGAGATTACAATGTAATGAGGAAATGCATAACAGAATTAGTAGGCGCAGAATTTGATGCTCATGCTGTATCACCCACTTACAGTACATAATGTTCAGTCACTTTTATTTGTATTTATTTATTTATTTATTTAAGGCATATTGCAAATACCTGTAAATATCCAATTTTGTAGGTAAAGCTAAAGTTAAAGCTACATTTCCATCCTCCTGGACCGAGGCCAGCCACACTGTTTATACCACATAACACACAACCTACAATTTATTCACTTTGAGCTAGCACAGTGTGTATAAAACTAGTGTCACATGTGGAACGTCAGTGTAGTGCAGTCTGATACAGGTCTGTGAAACACACAACTGTCTCATTGTACTGAACATTTAACAGTGTTTTGTAATGTCAGTGTCTACAGCAGGTGCTTCACAGGTACAGTAAATGGTTAAAAAAAAAAAAAAAACAGTGCACGAACACACATTAACATAAGTCCATATATAAATACTACACATGTAAAGCTTAAATTGTATTAAAAGCCAAGGGAAAGAAATGTGTGTTAAGATCAGATTTAAAAGACTCTGATGTGCAGAGGTAAACAGTTCCACAATTTGGCAGCCACAAATTCTGGGCACATTTAATAAACGCTGGTTTTCTGACCTCACCGATTTGTCTGGGACAAAAGGCAAGTCAGGTCTTCAGGGGCCAAGTCATTTAAACATTTAAAAACAAACCTCAGAATCTTCTGAATCTTCAAATCAGTCTTAAATGTGACAGAGAGAAAAGCACAATCTGTGTAATGGGACATAGAGCCAGTACAGTGTGTGTAAGGGACGTGGAGCCAGTACGGTGTGTGTAATGGGACATGGAGCCAACACAGTGTGTGTAATGGGACATGGAGCCAGTACAGTGTGTGTAATGGTACATAATAAACAGTACAGTCAGTCACAATAGTCTAATGTAGACAATATTAAGAAGTAAATAACTCATTCAGTCACTTGCTGGATGGTAAAGCCTTTACTTCAGATTCTGAGCCGATAGTTTACAAAAGAAAAGATGATTTGTGTTATATTTAGCTATTGCACCACACTACATTTACATTACACTGACATTTCAATACAAATTATCTCAGTAAAATACAATAAACTGTGACCACTTCAAATACATGATATGGTTTCCCACAAATCCCTGCAGCTCCTGTGATGCAAATGTCCGACATGGCTGACTGACTGTGGCTCGTAGATGGGCAAATGTCCAGTAAATGTCCCAGTGGAGTTTGCACATCCTCCAGCCATCTTTAAAAGGTCCAATGTTACAAAAATGGACTGTCGTAACATTTAAGTCAAGTTATAATGTTTTTACCTCCTCAAAAACAGACCTGGAGATGTGTTTGGTTTCATTCACGTACAGTAATCCTGTGTTATTAGGTTGTCGGCATCGCTAATGCTCAAAATGCTCTGTTCCACCTTGTGATGTCATACAGTGGTAGTGCTCAAGTGAACAGCTCCTTTTACCTGTTGTTCAGTAGACACTGGCAATTCCAGGGCTAAAATTATCCAAATGATTCTAATGAAGTTGTATGGCATATGATGTCACAAGGTGAAACAGAGTGTCAGTCTAAATGTGCAGGGTTTGTGTTAAACATGTGTGAATGAAACAACACACAACTGCAGGTCTGTTTGGGATGAACAAATAACATTATAACATAGATCAGACAATAGTGATTCAATTATTTTTCATTATTACAAATGAAAGGGTTTGGGGTTTGTATTCGACTGGATGTTATACTGTATTTATGGTATTATCCTGCTAGTGCTTGTACTGTGCTCACTACAAAAGAAGCACAGTGGGTTTAGTGTTCACTCACCAACCAGAGACTGAGTGGCTCTAACCTTGATCACACACTATTGTTGTGTTCCTGGGCCAGACACTTTCCACAGACTGTAGTGTCGAAAGTGTGAGTGTGACCGGTTCACTGTGGCGCCCCCCAAAGGAAATATGAGATACAAGACGCAATGTTTACTACAAAGATCACTGTCACTTCAGCGTCACTTGTATGAAAAGTATACAGGTCTGAAAACATGTTATTAGTCAGTAATATTTTAACCTCAGAATTATGTTTAAAATATATTTAAAAAATATGCTCAAAACTTTAAAACCCTCATATTTTGAGTATGCAGCAGTATGAGCGTACACACACATGTCAGCCGGGTGCTGCTGACTCTAGAGTCATTTATGTTGTTGTAGTTAAAGGGCCTGTACACACTTTTTGTTTTACTCCCCCAAGTATCAGAGCAACAGTTCTCTCACTCCAGTAAAATTATATTGTTATATTGATATATATTGAGGTCAGAATAAATCTGCTGTGTATAATCTGTATCTAATTATTACTATTAAAGCTGTACTGTCTGACAATAAGGAAATGTTCATTAGCATGCTAGTTGTTGTTAGCTTTACTGTGAAGCCACCCTCTCTCTCACCTCCTCTCTCCTCTTTCTTTCCTCCTCTCTCTCCTCCTCTCCTCTTTCTCTCCTCCTCGCGCTCCTCCTATCTCTCCTCCTCTCTTTCCTCTCTCCTCCTCTCTTTCCTCTCTCTCTCCTCTCCTCTCTTTCGTCTCTTCTTCAAACTTCAAAGTATGCATGTGAGTCAGAGTGTGTAAAGATGATTGATGGAGTGACTTTAAGGAGGGAGCAGAGACACAAAGCAGCTCCAGTCTGCGGCCCCCCCGCCGCCCCGGCCGCCGCACAGGGCCTTTCACAGGGCAACAAAAGCAGAGCCACAGCCCCGTCCCCTTGAACCTATGGCCTCTGGGTGAACCTGGAGGAGCGGGTCACACCGGAGGAGCGGGCGCAGACTGTATTTATAAATGGACAAACTAACCTGCTAGCCGCCGCATTCTAAATAGGAAGTGATCATGGGGGCGCTTCTGGCTCCACTGACTCTGGCTCCAATAGAAGCATCAAGAATTTCAGACTTCCGGTCATCGCGCAATGCATACTGGGAAGGATTTTCTGAAAAAACGAGCATCAAACCGCCATGTTTGTTTTCCCAGTGGGATGCATTGTCAAAGCCAGTTTTTTCTAGTCTTTTGAAACATATCACTTTTGTTTCTGGTTCTGATATTGTCATATTTTAGTTTTGGGATTCGGACATTGTAATTGTGTGGTTGTTGGATCCTAACAGTGGAAAACAGCTTGAGAAATGTGTTTGCGAACTCCATAAATGCAAAAGTGAATCAGATGTGTGTGACTGCAAACCTCTGTTCAAACTGTTTCCCTTCCCAACGGAATTGAAACATAGTGAAAGGTGAAGGCGATGGGCAGTATTGATCCACAGAAAGGACCAAAAAGGAAACATTTGACTGTCTAAATCATCCTGAGTTTGCAGTGAACATTTTGTATGTGGAGTCATCAAAGTTTTACAGCAACATTAAGTCTTGGTCTCTTTGCAGTAGAAGGTGTTTCTTGGTGAACAGTTGGTGTCTTTCGATTTGGCGTTGACTTTTTAAATTCATAACCAAGGTGGAGCGAGGGATCAGGGTTTTGCTTTGATGATGCTCCACATGCAAAAAGTTTGCTGCAAACTCGGGATGATTTAGGCAGTCAAATGTTTCCTTTTTGGTCCTTCCTGTGGATCAATCCTGCCCATCACCTTCACCTTTCACTATTTTTCAATTCCGTTGGGAAGAGAAACAGTTTGAACAGAGGTTTGCAGTCCCACACATCTGATTCCCTTTTGCATCTATGGAGTTCGCAAACAAATTTCTCAAGCCGTTTTCCGCTGTTAGGATCCAACAACCACACAATTACAATGTCCGAATCCCAAAACTAAAATATGACAATATCAGAACCAGAAACAAAAGTGATATGGTTCAAAAGACTTGAAAAGGTCGGCTTTGTAAATAGACGGTTTTGACAGTTGGCGATTTGATGCTCACTTTATTGGAAAATCCTTCCCAGCATGAATTGCGCAATGACCAGAAGTTCGCGATTCTTTTTTTTTTTATCACTTTATTTTTATTATATTTGACAGGTTGTAAACATAAGAAAATATAAAAAGAGAAATAATAATGACAATGGAAGGAAATAAAACAAAACAGAAGCCTATGACATTGATTATTCTACTTTTGCATATATGATGTCCATTTTTCCCATTTCTTCTTCATTTGTGACTCTTGCAACCTCAGTCTATGAGTTATCTTTTCATTAGATATATGTCTTTATTGTAGATGTCCACTGATCCTTTGAGGGCACAGAAGTTGTGCCCCAGTTCCTGGTTATTGATTTTTTGCAGCTAATGACATGACTTTGAAAAGATATATATCGCCTTGGTGAATAATGTTTCCTGAGAAGTTGCATAGATAGACAGTTCAGGCGACAAAGGGACAGGATATCCCAGCACCTGCCCCAGTACATCACAAACCATCTCCCAAAATACAGTCATATTTGCACAATTCCAAAATATATGAGAATGGTCTACATTAATCTTCCCATTTCCGCCAACACATTTGATGTATCCTTTGTTTACTCTTTAATTTAGGTGTAATAAAGAATCGAATCAGGTTCTTCCAGGCAAACTCCCTCCATGTTCGAGAGCAGGTGGTGGTGTGATGATCGCCACATGTTTAACCAATCTTTTATCTCCAATTTTTATATTCAATTCTTTTTCCCAATTCCCCTTCGCGATTCTTGATGCGTGTATTGACTTCACATAAAAGAATGTCACCCCTCTCTCTGTGACTGCTGCAGTGAGCCTCTTTATTTAGGTCTTAAATTGTTCGTATAAACCCGCTCTACATGGTCCTGGTGCTAGCCTCATGAGCTTCGTTTGACTGGAGCTGAACGCTA